CGGCGATTACACCTATCGGCGGTCCCCTAAGGCAGGTACCAATAATGGCTGGCCCCAGTCGGCGGTAACAATGGGATTGGGCTTCAATCTGGCAGTCGGTGGGCGACTTTTCCCTTTCCCCCACCGTTGAAGATTTTTTATCTTTTAATTTTATGTTTTATCATTTTATCATTTATATTTTGATTCACTCTGAGTATCTACGTCCTCTTTTTTCTGTAGATTATATCTGCGTTGATTGTGTTCTGGCTAATTTCCACTCGTAGAGTCGATAGGTACCTTACCCTCGAACGTAGATTGCTTAAATTTAATCTATTTTACTTACGCTTTCTGATTCATTCCCCCAAAAAGAGACAGAAAGCGGGAACATGCATATCAACCGATTGGGACCGTTTTGAGAGACACTTTAGTCATTTTGTATGCGCCGTACATAGGTAGGTCGACAGGACTCCGTAAATGTCCTGTACAGCCAGAACAACCCCATATGACCCAGCCAAATCCAAATCCAAATCAAAACAAAACAAAACAAGCCAAAATAAACCAGAGAAATTCAGATTTTCTGGTTCAGGTGGTTGACGGCCGGGCCCGGGGGCAGTCACGGTGTAACCAGCAGAGCAGATCCCCTGGTTGAGTGACCCAGAAAAAAAGGGCGGTTTGTTTGTCTCGGCCCTCGCAGTCCCTCCTTAGTGGACTAATAATTCTAGTTCACCAGGCCAGTCCCTCGCTCACGGCCTCCTTCTGACTTGACTCCTTTGGGTATTGGGGGTTTGGGTCTGTTTTGTCGGGCTCACTTCTACTCTTGCGCTCGCTGCTGCTGTCTCCCTTTTTCTTTTTCTTCCCTTTTCCCTTTTTTTTCTTCTCTTTTTCATCCTTCTCTCCTCTCCTCGTTTTTCTCCTTTCCTTCCTTTTCTCTTTCTTCCCCCTTGGGGTTCCTTTCGTTTAATTTTCTTAGGCATCCGGGGTTATAATCCATCTACCTACCGAGAACTCTGTTGGTTTGCCACTCCATGTGGTGTGTGGCTTGGAGTCTCACCACCAACTTGATAGTCCTCCTAAACTACTTCTTCCATCCGTTCGTTCTAAACCAATAGTTCCTCTGCCCCGGTCCCTCTCAGCACCTGGGGATCCTTACTACTTCCCTCCGTACTCCAAACGCTATTCCCTCTTACCGTTTTTTAAAATCTTGTTTTGGTTTTGCTGTCTAGCTTCTCAAACTATCGCCTTACCAGGTCTCGACTTCGACTCTCGAGCACCTTATCCCGACTCCTATCTTCTATTAATCCTTTTTAGCTCGCTGGCTTGCTCGCTAGCTTGCTGAGGTTTCTCTTATTGTTCTTAAGAAGCTTGACTTCGGGCTCCCACACTTCACCCGGTCTCGTGCCCGCGCCACTTCGTCTTTTTTAATCTTTTCCTCCCACCCATGACTTCAGTCACCCGCGCCCCCTTCACACATCCGAATTCAGCTCTGTTCACCTTAGACTTTGTGCGCGGGTGTATGTGAGCGGACGTCATGGCGATATGGCCATTTGGTCGGAAAAGTAAGCGACATACCATCCAGTTGGATAATGGCGCTGTCGAGGATGCCCGCTTGTCGCAGGAACAACGTCATAGCTTGGATACCACTAAACTGGGGAGAAAACCTTCACGCAAGCAATCGAAGCGGCAAAAAAACCGACACTCTAACCCCGTGGGCGACCTCTCGACTTCCTTGAGTGAGACTTCGCCCCCTTTTCAGCCTCATCGCCTCCCTGCACCTACGTCAGACCACGAGCAGGCTGCCTCCATGAGAGACGCACGGGATCAGGCCTCCCGGACAGGCTACCGTCACGATGGTCATGCCTCTCGCTCGACCGTCGGTCAAGACCACCCCTCGATGTCGCTGGTGAAATCGAAACGTGCCGAGAATGGTCCCGCGGTCCTGAAGAAAAAGCTGAGCAAGCGAAAGGCCTACGAGATCGCCAGAGAGCGAGAAATCCGTCTGATGGCTTCCTCGCCGATTGATATTCCCCACCGTTCCTACCAGCAATCCGGAGACAACCTCTCGGTCGACACCCGTCGACCTCCGAGGACTCATAGTCGACGATCTGATCGACAGCAATCCGAACTCAGCCTCTCCCTTCGTGACTCCGCGTCGTCGCTCTCCGATTTTGCGGACTCCTACACCTTCAAAGTAAACGGGCTCAGTGCTTGGACCCCGCGTCCCGTCATCCGATACGTCGAAGCCCCTCGAGTTCCGACCGCCAAGAGCCAGAAAACATCCGAGGGGTCAACCCGGAAGGAAAAGACACCGGCCGTCTCTGTTGCGGAGGAAAATGCCTACTCGAAGAAAAGAGTGGATAGACTGGCCGATGATCTGGATGCCGGCGCCTTGAGGGAGCTGCTGGAAAGAGATCGTCGACGAAAGGAAAGAAAACAAATCGAAGACCAGGAGAGACTTCAACGTAAACTCCAACGTACCGCTGAGCGGCAAAGATTGGAAGCGGAGCGTGAATCTGCGGCTCGTGTTCACCAGGACGAAAAGGAGGACAGTGCTCAGGTTCAGCGAGGCCGGCCAGGTGCCGAGAATCACGTTGAAACCGATCGTGCAGGCGAAGATGATGCGTCCAAAGCCCACGAAATGACATCCGTCCAGTCTGCCGACCCTGCCGGCTCATGGTTGCGGGATGCTTCCAAGGATGCTCGTCGCAACGTCCGTGAATCCACCGAAAGTGTCAATGTCATTGGCAATATTGACGACAGCTCTATTCGGGAGCCGAAGTTGGCCATGCGCCGCAGCTTTGCTCCGTCTCAGGAAATGGGCATGTCGCGAAGTACTTTGCATAGTCCGTCTTCATCCCAGGTCAACGGCATGGGTCGGGAATCTACCTCTGATTTATCCCGAACTGTCGACTCAGAACGACGCCTGTCCGACCACGGCAATGGTCGGATGAACACGATATCGTCGATTTTCCGACGGGGCAGTTCACGTCTCAAGCGAAGATACCGTGAACGATTCCACGATCAACGATCAGAAATTTCTAACAACACCTCGCACGAATCATTTTTCAAGGTTTCCACCCAGTCATCTGGACCGCCACCCTACGTGCCTCCCAAGACATTCCTACATTCGGGTACAATCAAGCGCTCTCAGTCCAAGTTCACCGAACATTTTGGAGATGAGCCACTCTCCCCTCCCGACTCTCGCCTTCAGTCACCGGACATCCCCGAAGAGCCCGCTGATCAACTCGACGAACATGAACCGTCCATGGTTTCGCGATACCCTATTCCCGGGTCTGACGTGGACCTACCGGATGCCAACGGAAACCATCACCATTCTTGGACCGGCGAGAGCATGGAAGGCGACGCAGAAAATGTACCCTTGTCACAGTCGCTGGCCTCGATCGATTCCGAAGGATCATGGATGTCCGGGCAATTCCTACGCCGCATTTCGCAAAGAACGAGCAACCCGGTTCGTCCGAGCTTAAGTTCATCCAGGAGAAGGTTGGATGAAGGGAGCGAAGGACCGAAAGAAGACGAGGCTGCCAACAACGGCGAGGAATTGGTCAAATTCAGTACCATTAACGACGAGCCACCCCGAGCCAGCCATGTGGTCAGCGAACCCGACCATGATTTCGACATGGTTCAGGCACCGGCAGCGTCGGAGGAGAATTGGCACGACCATGTTGCGCGGCGGCCAGTTCTCGTGACTCCTGCAATCCGACCGAAATCGAACGAAGGGATCCTCAACTCCGTCATTGCGGACGAGGAATTCAGTCCGATCGAGGAGCATTCCGCCGAGTACCATTTCGCCAAAGAAGACGGCTATGACAGCGGACATGGCCATTGAACACCGCTGAGCTGGTGCTAAGAACCGGGCTGTGCCTTTGAACACCGGAAGGACAGCCCCTTTTCGGGATCCTGTTGTGATGTGCTGGAACATTCACCGACCACCTTTCAGATTCTGAGCCCCTCCGATTCTATCTTAGATATTTAATATGCGTTTCGAAGTATATACCCCCAGTCACTCTTTTGATCTACCACTTTCCTTTGTCACACTCTTTTCATATGTTCGAAGAACCCCCTCCCCGAGAACCCCCCTTTTATATGGCTTTGAACCCCTTTCGGTGGTACTGGATAATGCCACCCTTGTATTTCTTGAATGCTCCAATGCGAACTAAGCACCCCATATTCCTGCTTAGTGGATTTAGTGTTGGTGGACTTTGTTAGTTCTTGTGTTTGTTGATACCCCCATATCAGCGGAAGTTTGGATGAAGCTTGCAGTGCCTATTGCAACGGCTCTAGGTGTCCAGCGTTCTGGATGAAAATTATTCTCTCGATAGACTTGGAGCATTCTCATTTTCTTCAATTCAATGGACATATTTCTGCCATTATGCAGTAGTATCGCAGTGTAGTATGTATTAGACGTGAGTTGTAAGTTGGCTAATCTTGATGAGTCTGAATGAGTACCTACGAAAGGTAGCCAGGTCATCTGCCAGAAGAGATCGTAAGACCATGTCTTGATGCCTCAGGCGACCATAGCTGGCCGGGACCTTTCCTGCCTGAGGCACCAAAACCGAAGCAATCACCGAGTCAATCGCCGAGATCCAGACCCGACTGCTTCATAAGCACGGGAGCACGCCATTCGCCGCTTTTACGTTGCCAGCATCTTCCGGTCACCGCCCGAACGTTGTTCTCTCGGCTTCTTCCTCTGTCAGCTCACTCTTCTTGCCTCTTTTTCCAGCCAGTCAGCCGCTTTGTAACATAGACCAGACAGACAGACAAGAAAAAAAAAGATGCATTCCATCCGATTGACAAATCAGTCCACCACTAATCTGCTCCGTCTCACCCGAGCATCTTGGTAAGCTCTAAGCCCTCCTTTTGAGTCCAGCCAACGCCTGTGTTTGCAACTTGCACTGCGCGGTCGGACGGATTACTCAGCCCGGCAACACAACGACAACGTCATTCCGGCAATTCGTTATAAATTCCAATTTGTGCCCCTCCTTCGCTGCCCCTCATTTCGAGCTAATCATCTTTCGCGACTTTCCATAGTTTTAATCCGTCCCGCCTTTCCTCTTCCTTCTCTGCTAGATCTTTGTCCAGAGCTTCAATCGCATCAACTCCTCGGTCTTCCCTCTCCGCGTACCACCAATTCGGACGCTCGTTCTCTTCTACTCCTACCGTTCGATTCTCACCTTCATCTGCTAAAATGGCTGGCGGAAACGTTGTCGATATCACTACGTATGTTTGACTTTTCTCTCACATATCGAGGATTCTCCCTTCTTAACCCTCCACATCGCTCTTAACCATTCTCCCTCACCACCCTTTCCACATCCCATTATCAAACAAATCACCCCCCTCCTTCAAAACCAATAACTAACCCAATCCAAAACAGCGAGGCCGAGTTCAAGGAGAAGGTCCTCGAATCCCAGGACCTCGTCGTCCTCGACTGCTTCGCCGAATGGTGCGGACCCTGCAAGGCCATCGCGCCCAAGCTCGCCCAGTTCAGCGAGGCCTACCCCCAGGCCAAGTTCTACAAGATCGACGTCGACCAGCTGTCCGGGGTTGCCGCCGAGCTCGGTGTCCGCGCCATGCCCACCTTCATGCTCTTCAACAAGGGCCAGAAGGTCTCTGACGTCGTTGGCGCCAACCCCCCTGCCCTGGAGGCCGGTATTAAGAGCTTGATTGCGTAAATTGGGATATCTGTGTATTCTTCGTGTTTTTGTTTGAGGGTGGTGGAATTGTTGAACAGCAATATCAATCGATAATGTATCTTGTGTGTTTTGCTGAATGAAACGATTGAAGATATCATCTGTGCCTAATTGAACCGGACCTTTTTCTTTCACGTTTTCTGTATCCTTGTTGATGAATAGATGGATCTCATGATCGGTGCCACTGGTGACGTTGTTGTGTTATCTTTTTGGTTTTGTAATGCTACAAGTGTAGCATTCCACTGTAGACGCTATAGTAGATAGATGAAAGGTATCATATGACAACAAATGATGACCATCGGGACATACCATTAAAGGTGCCTCTTACGCCCACCTGCAGGCAATAAAGATATCTATTCATAGATCAGATCACCAGACCAGCTCAGACAGGGGTCGATCATGCAGATATCTGCATGCACACATCATATCATATCGTATTAGTTTCTGCGTGGGGCTAGATCAGACGAGTGGCGAGAAGCGGTAGTATGATCTTTCTTATTGAATAATATCATGTTAATCAGGTATGTGTAGACTTTGCTACTGCAGTAGTGATTTGCATCGAGAGTTTCAGATAAGATTATATAGATAGATCTAGAGTCGAGAATAGTTCTGATGGATAGATAGTGTATATCGCTCTGATTATCCTGAGAGGTGTGTAACCAGTACTAGAGGATTTCTGGGGATTCTGAAGTTTACTAGGTACCTTAAGGTTAGCAGGGTGTTTTGTTTTGCTAGAAATGTCTAGAAGAGAATAGGCATAGAGATTGATATAGCCAATACAGAATTTGAGAATTGTCTTTGAGAAAGTAAATAGATCTAAACTTGAATAGTACACTTACTCCTAGTTTAGGTAGGAAATAACGCAAGGAATAGAAAGAACTGGGAGGAGATGTTTCTTAGGATACTGGTACTACCTGTGTTCGTAGTAGTTCACTCTAAGGCACATTCTTCCTCTTCAAGATGAGCGTGCCCTTGTGGGTCCGTTCCCTCGCATGGACGCAGCCTGGACTGGGTATTGTGTATAGCACGTCCCCTTGATTCAACCGAGCAGAACATCACCACCTCTCTTTACGTCGAGAGTCATAATACAGAGGCAAGGCCCATTTAACCATCCACTCCTCATCAAGAACCTGCCTCGCCGTAATCCGATCCTCAGGCCTAAAAGCGAGCATGGCCCGTAACATCTTCGAAACAGCATCTCTCTCCTCCTCATCAAACGTTACCATCCCACACTCTCGTCTCGGCTGCTGCACACTATCCTCAAACCGATCGTCCCATGATCGGTACGGATTCCTGTTAATGGGCGTGCCATCCTCGGTGAATCGATCATGCCGCGCATCCCATCTCCCCCACCACTCACGCGGCAAAATACCCAGAGTATCAACATGTTCGCAGGTCATGTCATCCTGAGTAGCCATGAAACCCTCGAACAACGGTCTCTGGGCGATAAGAGTCCAGATAGAGCACGCGAGGGTCCAGATATCCGATGGGAAAGAGAGGGGCGATTCAGGTTCGAATCGGGCCTCCGGAGGGCGGAGGATCAGGGGAGTGCGATATTCGTACTGTGATTCTTTGGACGGGGAAAACGCTTCGCCGAAATCTGTGATGAGGAGTTTAGCTTCTGCGAGAGTGATGTCCTCGCTTGCTTTTCCGAGCCAGACGGGCACAACGCCGTGGGATGGTATATTAGGTGGAAGCGGCTTTCCATCTAAATGAATCACTGGGTCTAGTTCTGGTTCTCCATATTCCTTGTAAAGATTCTCGACGGAGAGCTGGTCGAATCCAGGAGGCATTTCGAGGAGAATATTCCCTAGATGAAGATCCCCGTGCACACATCCTTGAGCGTGGATATATTCGACAGCGAGAACTAGTTGCGCAGCTAATACGCGGGCAACATCCGGTCGAAACAAACGGATCCATGATCCGTCTTTTAAACCCGCGAGACTAGCTCTCCCTAGAGCTCCTACGTAGCAATCATGGGTACCATTTGGACCTGAAATGCTGAACTGGTCTGTGATTGAGGGGATCATGGTTTTGCCTAAGGGTTGACCAGAGCAACACCGCGAGCTAGTCCTAAGATCCGACAGGACACCGACTTCTCGTGGTTTCGAATCCGCCGTACAGACTTTCACGGCGACGTATTTCTTGGACTGGATATCGCGTGCAAGCCACATGGTGGAATAGGAACCGTGGCCGAGCTTGTGGACAATTTGATAACGGCCTTGAAACTGATCGCCGATTTGTATCGGGTGATAGCCTCCTGGTCGGTAGTTTTCAAGTCTCTCTATGCCTTCTAGAGGTTCGTATATATGTTGGGGTGTAGAGTCATTGCTATGCGTCTTTGAGTGGAACGCACTGGCATAGAATGTGCGATGGAGTTGGTTGAGGTGAAGTAGTGACTTTTGTTTTTGGATAGGAACAGTAAAAGACGATAATCTTTGGGAGAGGCAAAAACCAGAACGCGAAGAAAGTAGCCGTTTCATTATGGAAGATCCATAACATCTAAGATATAGGGAGAAAAATGACAATTGACGGAACTAGCCATAAGACTGACAGCTATCACCCGTTCACCCCTTGCCGCTGGCACTGGGATTCTGCCGGCCAAGAATCTGCGTCCAGCCACGTTTTTAAAACGTAGTAAAAATCTCACGCGCATAGCTTTCAACCCTGGAGCTCCAATCCTCAGAGTATGCTAAGTCGAACAAATAGAGCCTTGCTCCGACGAGATTGCTGGATCCTGTTTCTACCGATGCGGCGGCCTGTATATTGCGAGAATAGCGAGTGTCGTTGACATGTGAAGAGGGACGACCGACCCATGTGATATTTTTTGACATTTCCCTGTTCTTACGAGCGGTTTGACTCGACTGTTAATTTGTAAGGTATATCAACCGAAGCGTCAAGTCTAGGTAGACTCTCGGTCTGATGTGCTCGGTGGTTGTGTGGTATGGAAATGAAAATCTTGATAAGATCGTACACGAACGTACCTTGAATATCGAATCAAGTGGCTTAAGCGAAGGGTCTACAGATAGACGATTCCATACTATAGAGAAGGAAGTATGTTTTAGATGCACAATGTCCATCTGGTCTAGTACAGCATGCAAGGTCACACAACGACCTAGATTTTTTCGCCATGATCTACAGCTTCCACAGTTCAGAGCACACAGCAGCTATAATGATAACCTCGGAATTCATGTTAGTTTAATGCAGTGCAAGTATTCACTAGCGATAACAAAATACCACGGAACTCAGTTGCATTATGGTCGTATCCCATCCACCCCACTTGCCTTAAATTAAAAATCTCCAGCGCAATCAATCACCAGCTGAACCCTAGCTCTCGGCTACAACAGAGGCGACAGCATACCCACAATCATGCATACTGAGTACCCATTGGCATTTCCTAGGCCACGGAGCATTGGCGGTCGGCACAATTGATGGAGGGCACTGCACCCTGACCTGCAATGCAAATGCAAGTCGCCAGCAGAATGGATGGACTAGTTTATTGGCCACGTACGTACAGTGTATACCCCGTATGTAGGGATGTACATGAGGTGGCTAGCTGGGTGCACAGGCAATTGCGGCGTTGCGCCCTGCTGCACCTCCTGAGCATACCTTCACAGTACACTGCGTCCGAGTTTCCCGAGGATAGGGGTATACCCATCTATAGCCTTCAAAACCATACCAAAGCTATGAGAAATAGTCACATTAGAGCGAGTCGAATACTACGTTACAACGACTTCAGTATAATTATATTCCGATCGACGCTCTCCACTCCACATCCGCGCATCACTGATCCCAACTGACAGGGCCCAGGGGACTTGACACGATCCCCTGTCGGCGTTTACCGTTTAGTGTCAGTTGTTTCGTAGCTATATGTCAACTGTCAAAGCAGTCAAATGCTAGATAATTACCCGGATCAGTTAGTCTGCCCCCCTATCTACTGGAAACTAAACCGCTAGACTGACTACGAGAGGCTAAGGTGGCAAGTGCTTACGATGATCGCAACTGGGTCCTGTCTTGGTCGTGTTAAGTCAACTTAAGTGGTGACTTAGACAGTTAGATTCCTCCGGGCCGGAGAAGACTCGGGGACGAGATCTCGGATCGATCGAAAGGATTTGATAGACGGCTTGTGAACTGTTGGACTGGGCGAATGATAGGGCTCCGTTTGTCCTCGCTTGCGCCGAGACTTACTTATGATGATATAATGGAAATATTCAAATAGATTAATTGACTTCATCCGAATTTCATTCGGAATTCCAGTCCACACTTAACCACCCACACGCAATGGCGACGTATACTGGACTCCATAATTCAGCTCAGCCTGGTGTGTAGATCTTTGATTGAGCGCCCATGCTCCATTTCCCGTGTGTTCCGTTACCCGTAGCCACAGCCGCAGCTATGGGTTTTTGATTGTCGATTGAGTCCAGAGATTGGGTGTTATTAACTCGTGGTCGATGATTCTGTTGCATAATCACAGTTGTACATTTACTCATTCCGGAAGTTCATTGATTAATTAATTTACACCCTGGCTGACTTCACTACGGCGTAGTTAGTCTACTAGTTGAGTTCAACTATAAGGATACTCATACTACTCCGTAGTATATTGACCATCGTGAATACGAATTTCATATGCTACGGATATTAAACCCGGCTGACTGGGAAAAGGAGAGCTTCCCCCTGTCGGAACTGGAACATGCTGCTGACTGCGTCGACAATTAGATTAATTAATATTAACGGGACCCAAGGGACCGGGATGGGATTGGCAGACGGACTTACACTAGTCAAGAGTCGAGACCGAGCGTTCCGGGCGTCAATTAGGTGGTTGCCGTTTAGCACGAGGAATTTATCTGGAGTAAGGTCTCCTATTTCTGTGCCTTACAGTCTGAGGGAAGGTAGATCAAACGGAGAATGAAAATCATATGCGAAGAGATGGGGAATCATGACAATGCACATTGTGATTTGTTAATTGACTCATCAATTATGCTGTATATGTGGCTTGCACTGCAGTCACACGTGAGATCCTAAATCTATACTGAAATAGTCTGATTCGTTGGTTTGAATTAAATGAGGTGGCGCTGGGGTGACAGGGATCTTGTCCCGCTTCCTTGTGTTTGTTTATTGATGCTTTTTATTTCGCCCTAGTCTCTGCTTTCCCCTGAGTACGTAGTATGGGGAAGTATGACGATCGAGTCTGTATGCAAGGATTTCGCCCGTCATATCCCAATCAGCAGGATGGAGAGCTTGGTCTGGCTGATTGGGGTCCCTTTCTATTCTTGGAGGTCCTCTGGCGTTAGTGATCCTGCGTGGTTTCGTCATATGCAAGTAGGTCCGGAGATGCTCGCTGACATCTGGATTTGACTCCTGAGACCTGGTCAGCCAAGGACGGGGATGAAGAGACTTTGCTCCTTTTACTACACACAAGTCTACCGAGGCATGGGCAGGAACGAGCCCGGAAACACCACCGAATGAGATGCAGCGTGGCTTCTGCAGGCACGAGAACCTTGCTGGAGACTTGACGCTTGGGGTTAGAAGAACCTGGTAGCGATAGAGGAATACGAGGTGACCACTGACCGGAGTCCGGAGGACACTACAGTCTACACCTTACGGAGTACACAGAAAGAATCAACTCGACTGACAAGCGAGGTTCACCGGCCTCCATCCGGTCTAACCAGATCGGGCTAGCGGAGATCCCGATCGGACTGGAGCCAACTCCGTTTTTCCTCGTGCGAGAAAGATTGCGTCTCTCCCACGTCCCACGTCCTCGGAATTCTTCCTTCCTGGCAATGTGGTCTGCTTGTTTTTCTTGACTCCACCCATCGCCGCGGCGGTTTAATTAATCAGTGTCTCACCTGGTCCAAGAGTCTTATGATCTCGCTTGATTGTCACTCACCTGGGCGACTCAGCGAACTCCTCCGGTAGAGTTTCGCCTGCGTTGCGGTGCTAAACCGCCTAAACACTGAAGGCGTGCACTAACGAGTCAGGCTAACCTTTTCCCCTCTTACCACATGTCTGCCCGTCCGAGTGACTCAATTTCAGTCCATACCAGAGTTTCAAGTGGCAAACATTTGTGTGAAATGCCGTCAATCAGTGTCGATTCCGGCAATTGTTCAGTCAGAGGCATCAATTGACTTTGCTGGTTCCTAACTGTCGTTCCAACGAGGAACGAAATGAATACCAAACAATTACGTATCAACCATGGTTATGGCCCGACAGCCGATAACCCCACCAGGGCCATGACCCAGTAGGGTTCCCAGCGTTTGGGATCCCACCTTCATCCGCTCTTTGCCATCGTTGTTCCGAGAAAAAAAAAATAAAACCTTTTCTGAAGGCCATTCCTGTTTGGGATTGTTTACGCTCAATCTGATCGAGTTTCATTGCCATCCTCGGCTGAACACTGAACAAAGAACACTAAGGCATCGGAGAAGAGCGACAATTAATAAAGAATGCTGCGGCGCAGCTGAGTTTTGGGTTAGCGCGTTCGAGAAGGCCATCCGCTAACGTCGATACGCCAGATGCTTATGGCCCAGACCCATCTTTCTGGACACGGAGAATGTGTTTGATTGTTATCCACCGGACAAGGAAAAAAAAAAAAGGAACCAAATGTGACTCTGACCAACCAATCCATACCTTCTGGGTCCTTTTCCCGCAAGTCGGGCTGGACTGGAATCTGAATTGCCAGTGCCTTTTGCCCCATCGTTCCCTGGTACCCAACTACGATCTCTGATCTATACTCCGTAGATCCAATCTGACCCGGCTGTCCACAGCTGACGGACTTCATTCGACTCATTCCAGTGACTTCCACCCCTCGTGGCTCCTCTAGTGGCCCGTGAAACCGGACTAAATGTCTCTGCTTAAGCGCGCCCTGATAAATTAACGTACATAACTGAACCAAGGTATATAGGAGTCCAATCGGCACCCGAGGCAGACGGCGACGGACTAGCCTTCCCCTCGTCTTTTCTTCCAATTATCAGCCGCCGCTATATTATACCCTTGGAACTCGGAGGAGCCTTCGACCAGGGGCTGCAAGGAGTCTTAGTTCACCCTTAGGGCCTTGGAGTATTACCATTATTTATTATTATTATCAGGCCCTCCGCGTGGCCGATCGGGTCCTGCTTATGTATCAACCTTAATTCCTGGTCTTCAGTCTTTTCCATTACTCTTGCTTTCTTGTGCATCCTCTCGTTTCTAGCCCTGTAGTTTGGTGGCCCTTTCGGATACCGATGCGTTTGAACACTCTTTTTTCGATAGGTTCTTTACAATAACCTCGATGACCTTGCCGACATCTTGAGGCGCTTATTCATATCTCATTCGCAAAATGTCGAATGCAGACAGCCGCGAATATGCGGCAAACGTTGGCGTGACATACCTCGCTGGCTACATCTTTCTGTCCTATGTAGTCAGCACGATGGGATGCACCACCACGTTGGAACTTCTCCATCGACGGACATCAAGGGCCGGTTTGTATAACTGGTATGACTACACGACTGCAAGAAGAGAGGCCACATCTGACCTTGCACTCTAGGTATCTCCTACTCACATCCTCGATCACCATGGGCGGCATTGGAATCTGGTGCATGCATTTTATCGGGAACCGAGCGATTGTCCTTGGCGATGGGGCCTCCGACCTTCAGATCCTCTATAGCATGAAATTCACGGGCGTCTCCTTCGTATTGCCGGTGGTTGTCCTTCTCACAGCCTTCTACGTTATCGGTGCCAGCGAAAAAGCAGGATACATTCGAATTCTCACGGGCGGTGTACTGACCGGCGGCTCGGTCTGTGGTATGCATTATGTCGGTCAATTGGGTATCGCCAACTACAGTTGCTCTTACGAGGCTGCGAACATCGCTGGCGCCGCCATCATTGCCGTTTTTGCTAGCACCGCAGCTCTCGGTGTTTTCTTCCGATGGAGAGCGACCTGGACGGATAGTTGGTGGAGACGTGGGCTCTGTGGATGTTTTCTTGCTGCCGCGGTCTCGGGGATGCACTGGACGGCCGCCGTTGGTACGACGTACAAGGGACACGATGAAAATATCAAGCATGGCGGACAGTTGTCTCGAAGTCAGACCGTGATCATCTGCTCTGTTCTGGTTAGTCGCTTGGCCGTGTATCCTGGGATTTTACTGACTAATGTAGGCCTGTGCTGCTTGCGGTGTGTTGTCCGCATGTGCCATTGCTGCTGGTGGAAGCCACAGGAGATCGAGATCTCGCGCTCAGCAGTTGGTTTTGACGTGTGCTTTCTTCGATCCTGAAGGCCGAGTCATGGTAACGCCGCACGCTCATCTCCCCAGCCGGAAAATCGTGGACCGCTACATCGGTAGAGTACGTATACCTTTACTCTTTTAAGGTTCGTATACTGATATGCTTCGACATCTAGACATTCAACGACGACGATCTGACCCGAACACACCCAGCCTTTCTCTGGGCCTTCCGAGCGAGTAGGAATTGGCAGTTGGTTAAGGATGTCATTCCTTTCATGAGAGGTCGCATCGAATCGGATGAAGCGATGATGGAACACTACATCTCAAAGGGCGTTGTCTCTGATAATGATACAGAATTGCAGTCGAACTTTGACGATTTGTTCAAGCGCCACTTCTGCGTGGCTGCCCAAGATCTTGCTGATGAAGTCCGACAGCCGTTGCCGGCTCTGGGTATGCTCTACGATGATGTCCTGGCCACCACTGCTCCGTACTCGCGCTTCTCTCGGGCTATGGGATATTCGCGGCTGCGGGCCGGCAAGGGTCAGCTACTGTTCACCGTGCGTCAGCTGAAGAAACAGGAAGCCTCGCGCATGGCCTCGGCAGGTTTCCGGTTCACCACAATCGAGAACGTGACCTCGATCTTGGCTCGTCGGATGCATGTCCCTACCAGCATTTTGGGCAATCATCTACGCGATATGCGCGACTATGCTACCTCTAGCCGGAACTTTGAGCCGGGTGTCCACCTGGTTTCCTTCGTTATGCGTCCTACGATCCACGACCACTTTGAAGTTCTCACCGCAAAGGGAACCGGGAATCCACTGCCGTCGATATCGTTGCAGACCAAACGACTTCAAATCCAGCACTTGGAATTGATCGCGCATATGGAAGGATGGGCTATCTCCACATGCTTAGATTGGCTAAAGTCCGATACTGCCCGATCCTACTTGGAAGTGGACGAGTTCCGCCAGCAATTGATACGAGCCATGTCAGACATGTCTTCCGCCCTTCCCCCCGACGTCAACGCCGCGTCCAAGTTCTCGGCACGCCCACTCATCGCGCCCTGCCGCGGATCCGGCATCGACGATGCACAGAACTGCGTGATCCTGCCGTTCTGCGTCGTCGGGTCGCTGGACACACAGGTCTCGAACCCGGATTACGCCTTCACCCCTCTACGACTGTTCCGTGTGCAACAGCAAGTGAACGACGGGGTTGCCGACTCGGGTGGATTCGCCAAAGAACTCGGCCAGGAGCTTTTCTACTCGAACGTCCGGTCCAGTTCGGCCACGGAATCCGACATCACCCAAGTCCCGCCGTCCTCTCGATCCGGCCTTCAATTCTGGAAACGCAAACAAGCCGATTCGGAAGCCCGCAGTATTTCACAGGAGTCTCTCGCTGATAAAACCATGACGCCGGAGATCATGGTCCGCCGAGAAGTCAAGGTTGATGTTGCGAAGCTGGCGGAACCTACCCTCGAGTCTACCCTGGGAAGACATGCGTCGCATACCACCGTGGTTGCCGGTGAAATGGCATCCAACACGTATGTTGACGAGCTTTATAATCTGTGCTATTCCCCGGGTGTGCGTCTACGACCGGACCCGACGTATTCTCGTGGATCGACCCTAACATGAGCGGTGGGAGGTATCTTGATTACAAACAACATCCAAGGCGCATTAGCCTAATGGTATACAAACCCGAAGCAATTCATGTCAATTGCAGTGGCGTCCGCCTACTATATCATCTGCAAGATCAAGACCGCCCAACCTTGATATTCTGACTACCCCTTGACAGTATGTCTCAGGTGTACACGACACCTCACTCGGGTTTACTTAGCAGCAAGAAGCAAGGTAGCTCGTTGCCTCTCTCCGGGACCCATACCACCCCTACCAGGAGAAATGAAGAAGAATCAACGCTCTGTCCTTCCTGGGTTACCACCCTGTCTACCCCTCTCATTTGTGTTCTATAGAACCTGAACTTCCATAGACCGAACATGACACCTCATGTAGGCATGTCATATTATTTCTTGATTGCATGTCTGTATTGTACGGACGTGCGTGATATGTATTTATGAATTATATACCTTATATCATTTTCTATTCTTTATATGGAAGCGTATTAGATGAGTCTGTATTCCAGAAGGGAGGTATAGTTGTAGTATGGAATATTATAGAATAAGATACGGCCACACATTCGTCAAAATGGGTGATATCGATAAAAAGAAGTAAACGTGCCATCAACCCCAATGTCTATCTAATCTTGCGGTCAGTAATCAGTACGTGTTCGCACAGCGAAGCATATTATCTAGGTAGTCAAGTCCAGATGCCTATCTGGAGTTCCGTAGGATAAAAAACTGTAATCAAGTAGCCTAGGTCATATCTGCCTCGTCCTCGTCTCGACCTAATCTCTCGTTTGAATAGTTACTACACAAGTAGAAGCTAAGCCAGTAGACCAGCAGACCAGCAGACGAGCAGACAGGCAGACAGGTAGATAGGTAGACAAGGTAGACAGACAATACTCCAAACCAAAGCACATCTGCAATGATAAACAACCCCTAGCATCTTGAAGTGCATGTATGTCTGAAACTGAATTGTATATCTACTAGCCATCTGTACTACAGTATATAGTACAGCGCTTTTGGTCCGGTAGCAATATGTACTGTATGTATGCATCTAATAATTACATGTTTATGTGAGACGCGTCGCCCAGTCAAAGGAAAGTCTATTTTATATAATAATTATATTTTTGGCAGGAATACAGTTAAGATAACTGATCAGGTAAGATAGCAACAAGCTTGATTATTTAACCGTTTATTAATTAATTCTTTTTTTTGCACGTGTAAAGCTATCCATTTTTAACAGTAGCATTGTGGAGTGTTTTTAAATTGCAGATAGTTTGGGTGGCTATGTTACTGATATGCAATTTATTCTAATCGACCGTGTAAAGTCAGTTGTAGTCTTGAGAATATTTGTTTAATATATATTTAACTAATAATTAGCTTATTTCTTGATCTTTCTCTGTGATAGATTACAGATTTTATAATCTTGTCTCTCGGATGATAAATAGATGCGCAATTTACCGGATAGGCGAGGTTATCTTTGTAGCCATATTGTTAAGCATTTGATATTTACATTTTCGGATATTGGGAAATAAAGCAGAACTAAAATTCAAGTTCATGAGATGGTTGGCTTTAGTCTATAAGCATGTTATCGAGAAGTAGGATGTTTGTAGCTTTCAAAAAGGATAAGTGATGCTGCCTTCTGGTTCTAGGACAAGAGAACAAATATGCTAAAGTTACAATTAGCAGACTTCTCTCCTGCTTTGTCTGGAATATTTCTACATTTATTCAAGTACATACTATATCCCGTGCCAAATAACTAACGAGAAGGTATGGGTTCTTTGCAAATAATGGATAAAATTGGAAGCATTAATCATGCTGGCAGGAAAGGACCAATTAAATATAATATCTAGTAATCAAAGGAAGGACATGAAGATTTCGTGTGCATAGTAAGTTATTCCAAATATCCGCGCAATTCACAGTAGAATATCATTAACCACTACAATCTTAAATAATTGCCGGAACGTAGGAACAAGATAAAGCGAAACTAAGATTTTGTCAGAAATGCTCATTGTCTGTTCAGTTTTCTTTAATTACAGCTGTCTTCCAATCATCATACATGATTATTTGCGCGCAATAGAACATTCCGCTAGTATGTAGCTATAGAATTTTATATACGCGGCTCGGTGGCTCGACGCGTATCAGTCAAGCGTCCGGACCGTGGTGAGATTGTCTTTCATTCTTTTTGAAGAGGTTATAGATAATTGGCCGATGTCCAGCCAAAAGGTTAAGCCAAAATGCGTCATCAGAACAAAACGATCCCCAGGCAAGCCGCATGAAAAAAACACTTTACATATTCACGGTGGAGAAGTTTGGGACAGCATAATGCGTTGCTCTGTGCGAAAAGCCATTAAGAGTTGAAATGATCTTTATTGGCTGCCTAGAATATAGGTTTTAAGTAGCATTTTGAAGACTATAACCGTAATCCCTACCCAGAGTAGCCTGGAGTAAAGCTGCAAGAGCGCTGAGCTAAAATCAGAAGATTGGTGGTCACCCACCCAACTTCTAACTGGACGGCATGTGGCCTAAGTACGGCTGAGCGGACGGGAAGCCCTGTTTTCCATACCCTGTGGTCGGATGTACTTACTTTTACATAGTTATAGTAAACAAAGATTACTCTGGTGAGTAATGGATACAATCTAGAGGGGAAGTGCTCTAGAGAAAGCCCTATCTGGGCAGTAACTGCGGAAGAAGGCCCTCGGGGCATAGGCATAAACCAATGCTTTAATAGCTACCTACACTCACTGTGAGCAAAGAACATGGTAAATCCTGCTCAAAGCCATCCAGGTCACAACTAGCATGTGAGGACCTGTGAAATCGACGAGAGAAAAAGTACTAGCCAGCTCTACTTCATCTCGGCAGTCTCTGGTCGGTTCCTGTTGTTGCCAATGCGGTTTAACATTCTTGTACAAAGGATCATCCGCAGCCCTAATTAACCCTGATATACCGGCGGAGTTAGCACAAAACTAAACTCTTTCAAATGTGGCGAAGGCTTCCATCTTGCAAAAAGCTGCCCATTTTCCATCAAGATGTGCTTTAGCATCTTTCGTCTCTCCTCTGCGTTAGGCCACGCTCCCTTCCATATCCCCACATATGTTTCTATAATCTTCAAGGCCTCCATTAACCACAATCTGACTCTGTCCTCCTTAATTCGACCACTTTGCACCATCCCCGTCTCCAGCTCCCGAAGAAGATCTTCTCTTTCCTGTCCAGTTTTCACCGCAGCCCGCATCACCCCGAGTAGTATATGTGACCGCACTGCAAGGTCCAAGTTATCTAGCTGCTCCCCCACACCCACTGTTTCCTCTACTGCAACAGCAGCCAAAAACTCGATCTCCTCCTCACTGCCGAGCTCCCCATCCCATCCCCTCAACCACGCATACGCCGAGATCCCGCCATCCGGTTGTCCACAGTATATTATCTCGCTTTTTCTCACGCCATTCTCCACATCCGGCTCAACAACTCCCTTCTGCTCCCAGCTTGTCTCCCACCGCTGTACCGAGTACGTCTTATCCCACTCATACATATCGTAATAACCCTGAGCTGCAAGTATCCCGAAGCGATTTTTCTTCCACCATGTTGGACACGGCGCCTCAGTTCTGGTGCGTGCGTTAAGGTGTGGAGATGCGTTAAGGTGTGGGGGCAACATATACTCCAGCCAGAAGCGCGCCTGCGTTTCTGAGTAGGGCCGCACATTAGAGTGCGTCTTACGCTGGCGATTAATTGTTGTCTCGAGTGTGCGGAGGGCTATGTCGGTGAGAGTTGCGAGCGGAAGCAAATGTTGTCTAAAAAATGTGCGTGCAACATTATAGGCCCAGCGAGGAAGTTTCGTGATATGTGGACCACCGCCGACGTGAGATTGTTCGCGAATCGGTAGATCCAGCGGGTTGTTTGAGTTCGGTAGATCTTGAAGATTAGGAAGACAGTAGAAGCGGGCTGTAGTATTCTGTTTTAAAAATGACTCCGAATAATATTCACGCCAGACGGAAGAATGCAGGAGTGCATGGTGCTCAGCGTAGAACGTATTGAATCCGTCCAAAGTATCGAAGATGCCGTCAATTTGCTCAGAAGAGCTATGGACAGTGGTATAGAGAGCTGCAGCGATCTGGGCTAAGTAGAACATATCTAGGGTGCTAATGTCAAGATTAGTATAGTATTTTTAAGTGGGTAGCAGTTAACTAACCGATTGAATCTCAACTCGCCCTCACCGAATGACCACCCGTGCGTGTGCAGCTTCTCGATAACATCAAATACACCCTGACCATTCCATAGCGGCTCATCCAGATAGATCCATGCAATACGTAACAATTGACTGTGGCTGTTGACAGGCACCACGCCGTTTTCGACGTCGCTGAGGAATTCCCGGGCGCCCATGGCAAGCCTCCAAAATGGGCAGAATGGAATGTGGAATGTAGAAGTTGAGTTTGAAAAAACAATTCAGGTCCCAGGGGTCCGAAGGAACTCTTATAGACTCTTTCCGCTTAGTCACCGGTCCCATTTATTGCCCCCTGCAGCGGGAAGAAGTGGGGGTTGGGTTGGCCTTGATGGGGGATCGGAATAATCGACTGAGTAGGTTGGCTGGGGTTGAATAGTGACGGGGACAGGGGTTGTGTGGAAGTGGCGTGGTACGGAGGAAGGGTCCATAGGAAAGATGCCGCAGTGATGCTCTGGACCGGGTTGATTGTATACTTTGCCGTGTCTGTCGATTGCACATAGACCGGTGCATTCGGGCGTTGTCATCTGAAACGAGCGCCCGTGTTCAATGATTGCCTCAGACTACTCAAAGTGTGCTCAGATAACCTACTATGTTTCCATGAAACCAAACCAAACACGAGATGAGCAGCAGGCAAGTACTATAGAACTACAAGATATGGGGGAAAATCTAGTACTTCCTACATACATATGTACTTGATTTTCTAGCCAAGTTGACAGCTTTCCCTAAGAGATGGACTAGCCGTGCGCTCTGTGCTTGGTACAAATAAGCCCAATAATTCAGGGCTAAGTTGTCGAGTTTGAGGAAAGACAGAGTCTAGAAGAATTGGTCTCGTCCAGATTTGTGATAGCCCGTCTCTCAGATAAATATAGCAATGGCGATAGGTAGGAGGGGAATGCATACTCTACTCTTAAGTTTTATAGCTAGTAAAATACCTGGTTAGTAATGCGCTGTACATGTATAAATATGGAGATATATCCGGTCTGTCCTACATGCAACCCTTACCAGGACGGTGGAATCCAATACTTCTGCCAATGCGCCTCCGTGTCCGCCTCTCGAAACTTGTCAATCCCCCCCGCGACCCCATCCCCATTCACTTCCCAATCGCCCCTCTCCACCCGATCAGCCCAGTTGTTCAGCACCTTGTCTATCTGCACTGGATGCCTGTTCGTAATACCATTTGAAGTCCCAGCCTGATACAAGTCCCCATGAACATTACGAGGCTTTGGGTATTCCTCCATATACTCGAAGTCGTCTAATCCAAATGGTTCTCCATTCGAGAGTCGAGCCCATCCCAAACCTCCAATCGCAAAGGGTAGTAGAAGTCGACATCCGTTACTCCAGAATAGTGGCCATGTCTCCACAACGCGAGAGATGTAGAATCCGGCAGTGATATTGTTAAGGCCGAGATACTTACCATGCGCTACTGGCTGAGGATACTCTGCGTCGTCAATCTGGAGGAACCGGAGAGGGCAGTTGCCAGGGTACTGGCCGAGGTGGTTATGCGGCGATGTAATAAAGTCCGTGATGGGTTGGTCCTGAAATTCGGCGACGGTGGGGAATCGGATCCCCGGTGCGACGTAGTGAAATCGGACGCTGTAGTCGGAGATAGATCGTAAGAACTCGTGGGCGAATGATGAGGGGGGGATAACACTCTGGTCCTCGAACGTTGCTGGATCATGCCACGGTAAATTAATGATACTGGTGGAATCATCTCTGTGCGGGATTCGAGATTCGATTACTCTCACAAGACGCTTGAAAGCAGTGGTAGCCCTTTCTAGGTCCGCTTTTGTGTACTGATGGATTATCCAGGGTTCCATGAACCCATGTAGGAAGTCCATCTTTAGTAATTTTGCCTGATCCTTGGAAACTACCTGCGCCTTTTCTTCGTCAAGCATCTGAAGATATGAATCTAGAATCACCTCCAAAGGCATCCAGCTCCATTCTTGCCTGGTAATAAACCTGGTGTCATAAGTATCTTCAATGAAAGTTGCTTTTAGAGTCGTCTGGTCAAAGCTAATCAACAAGTCAGCTCGCCTTGCCTCCAAGTCAGTCATGGGATAGTTTGACGGAATCAAGCCATACAAAACACCCTCATCATCTGCGTTTCGGTAGTGACTAGACTCATAGAGTTTGACAAGCCTTCCCTCCTCATCCTCCCATTCATGCCTAGTAGCCTCTTGATCCCGCAAGTTATTAGGAAGCTTCAACGCACCAAGAAAGACAAAGAGCCTAAAGTAAGGAGATAGCACATCCTCATCCCAAGCACGCTTCAGGAACTCTATCAAAGACGGGTGGAGACTGTTGGCAACTTCCTCAGAAGGCGCTTGGGCTTCCCACCAGGTTGAGGGCTTGGAGGGCATTTCGCCGCCTTGTCCTTTGACAGCCCTGGTTAGGAGCTCATTGTGTAAAGCTGCACAACGCTCATAATCCATGGTTCCAGGACCGAGGTCTCGGACTGGACTGCATTTAGTTATGCGGGGCCATCCATTGGGGAGGGCGCGAGCTGTGGTTGACGAGGACAAGTAATGCTCGGAAGAAGCCATCGAGATGGAGCGGATGGGTAGCTGAGCTGGTTGATATGGAAGTTAAGTAGGAAGGTAAGTAGGAAGGTAGGTAGGGGCGGCTGATAAGAAGCCCTAGAGATCACGTGCCTTAGTATTCTGGCTATGACTCACGGACATGGATCTGAGGATAGACATTGAAACTGCATGTTCTACACGTGAGTAGTCCTGTGTCGCCTATTGGGTGAGTGGCCCTGTGTCTGCTTGTGTATCCAGTTTTCAGTCAGTTTCTCGTCCATCCAATCTCAGGTAATCTGTAAGCTCATCTTTGGGGAATTTAGATGACATGAGTCGCTGCCTCCAGAATTGGACGAAACACTCGCTACATAGCTGCAGAAGCCGTTAGCCAGAAGTTACCTATGTTGGCTATGACCCTGCGGACTTACCTAGTCCTTGTCATAGAGGCGCGTGATGCCCTTCAACTCCAGGGTGATGAACGGTGTTGAAAACCACGGGTTGTTACATTCAGGAGGCATCTCATCCTCGTTTTCATTTTAACATGCGATATATGAGTAGGTCCTGAGTACCCTCGCTACAGCGGCGGCAATCAGAACAGTAAATCCTCAGCTGTGCTAGATACTCCGACACATTTAGGCATATACATACATACGTATCTATGTATGTATAATCATGACCTAGAAACACCTACCCTAGTCTAACTACACACCCATCCTATAGACATATATAGTTGATTCATTAGACAGACAGACAAAGCACCTAAATCGCGAAACCCTCAACCTAAACCCCCTCCAACCTCCCTAGAACCCCCTCGACCTCCCCCGCCACGGTCCCCGGCTGATCCTTCTGAATGAAATGTCCCGCCCCGGCCACCCGAACCGGCCCTCTCGCATACTCCCTCTCCGTAATCCCCACCAACCCCTGGTTATACCTCTCCCAGGCCGGATTCAGAAAGCTATTCGAAAACACCTCAGGAAGGCCCATCCTCGTCGACTCCGCGGCAAACACGTCAAAGTCATGCCCAAGGACCGTGACGTAGGGATATCCGCCTTGGGACGCAGGGCCGGTGAGTTTGGGCTCCGAGGCGAAGGGGAGGAGGGTGGCAAGGTTCTTGCGAGAGATGGATTCTTTGTTCGGGACGCTGGGGTGGAGGATACGCGCTGTTGTGGCGCGGACGGTACGGAGGGTTTCGGTGTCGATGTCTACGCCTTGGGGGAGGTGTTGAGTTGGGGAGAAGTCAGGGGCGTCTGGGTCTGGGAAGACGGAGACGAAGTCGGAATTGGCGAGGATGCTGTCGAGGAGAATTAGAGCGGAGACAGTGCCGGGGTATTCGGCGGCGTAGAGACGCGCGAGGGCGCAGCCGAGGGAGTTGGCAACGAAGATGAGGCGGATCGAGTCTGGTTCTTGGTCTGGGGAAGGGAGACCCAGTTTGATCGGGATCAGCTGGACAAGAAGTTGGTGGAGGTCGTGCACGGCGGAGAGGCAGTCATGGCCATGCGAGGGATCTTCGGCGATGGCGTCCTGGGGGTCTCGATCGGTGGTTTGGTCCTGGCCGAAGCGGTCGTAGGTGAGGAAGGATGGAACCGGGAGACCTTTGCTTTGGCGGAGGGTGGTCAACTCTGTGATCACGGGCCGCCAGGAAGTCTGGGGGAGGCCGAGGCCGTTGAGGAAGACGATGAGCGTGGGTGGAGTGGATGAGGTGGTGGTGGTAGCTTTAGCTTCAGGTGTTTGGAAGGTATAGCTTAGCTTCGCTCCGGGCTTGGTGGAGAGCCCAATGAATTCGACGTCCGCCATGTTGTGTGTAGTATGCGGGTATTGAGTTGCAGATGGTTGAATTGGGAAGAACAGAATGTCGCAACAAAGATGGAAGGGCCGGGAATTTATAGTTCGCGTTAGCTCGTGATAAGCACAAGGCTGAAAGTTACCGGGAGCGGGATTCGGAGGCGAGCACGCCGTTGCTGCGGACTATACGAGTTGGTTATGGAGAAATGATTTGTTGTCGTATTTGGCCCCCAATTAGTTCATTAGAACGACGGCCCTAAGGTTCCAATGTTGGCATGCTAGTGTTGCCTTTCCAGGTTAAGTGTTTTCGTGGTGGGCAGAGAGGATAGCTAGGACGTAGTCTGGCAGGTAGGAAAGAAGTATATGCAATGGACTATCTGGTGACCATGAGGTGGTCGTAAGGGGAAGGAAGGCATGGTGGAACGTTTAGATATCTCACCGCCTCGATCGATGCTGTTGGAATAGCCGTTTACTAACTGCAGGAAGGTGTTCTGATTGGAACAAAGAATGGACTACTCAAGATGGTGCTGCTGGACCAGTGCTCAATCATCCAGGATGTGAATGAAAGACATCGTCCGTTTCTCAGACTAATACCCCGACGAAAGGGCATTATAAAATGAAGCCAAGGCACATGCCTCTTGAAGACTAGAACCGTAGATCATCTACTGACTATCAGCCAGCAAGTATTGTTGATTCATCTCTATACCAGATACCGGGAATGCTTATCTATCCAGGTGAAACCCTCGACAAGTCCAGAAACCAGTACCCGAGAAAGACAGGATCATGTCGAACGACCAACGTTGAATAACATGAACCTGTCGAGTTCCTTTTCCTCCTGGGAAAAGAAATTTAGATCTCAAAAAATATAGAAGAGCAAAATAAAACCACCCAACAAAATTGGTTTTACTTTTTTTGATGCAGGAATGCCTCCCAATGCAGGTCATGTCGAATCGATGCATGCAACCCTGTGATTCAAACGCCTTTTTAAATGGTAGGAGAAGCGGGAACCCCCGGAAAACCGGGAAAACACAAAAGAGAGTAAGGTATAGTAAGGCACCGGAAGTAGATAGGTCAAATGAAAGGTCGTAAGGTCGCTGATATCATCCTTCATAGAAAAATATCTTGTAAATGAAATCAACCGCTTGTTCGCTAAGAGAAGAAGAATAAGCAACCCAAGTCTAAAGCGGGTAAACAGAAAGAATAAATAACTCCCAACGCGCTTTGCAATGCACCCAGAAACTGGAAGCCAAAGTGTATGAGGTGGTCGTGACATTCGTATACGTGACGAAATTCATCCAAAGAAGGAGGGAAAGGATGGGGAAAATGTTAGTGATGTTGTAAGTTAAGCCGCTTGAGGAGGGTTGCGACTTCGCGAGATGCGCTGGCTGCGTCGTGGTTTGGGTCCTTCGTTGGATTCACTCGGCTGACTGGAGATCTCATCCGGGACCGCAGGCTTAGGTTTAGCCTTGGGTTTCTTCTCTTTGACAACAGGCCGTGGTTTTTCTTTTTCGGCCTCCGTCGAGGCCTCTCCGTCAGTGTTCTGCTTGGTTATCGTCTTCTCTGCGACCGCATCTGGACTAACTCGCAGGCGGAGGGAGACGAGATCGTTTTGATCGTCCCTGAAGGCGATCCCCACCGTGACGTCGGGCAGAATCCGTCTCTTTTGCTCACGGGCTCGACTGCGCCGAACGGCTGGGCGAGGGTTTTCCTCCGAGTCACTGTCATCGGCAGAGCGTTTGCTCCCCGTGCTAAAGGGCGACGATGACCGGGAAGAGGTAGATGGTTGAAGACGCGATTTCATGATCGCCCGGGAAGCTGTTGACTCCGCCGGCTGTGTGCTGGTAGTGCTACCTTCCCCAAGTAAATTTGTAAAGGCTCTATCGATATTGCCTCGACACTGTTGAAGCATTTCCACGATGGCGTCCCGATCATACTTCCCCCCGAGACCCTCCTGAATAGCCGAGATCTTCCACGGACTGGCCAAGTCTACGACGGTACTCGCCGCAGCAGATGCCTCTTTTTCGAGTTCTTTATCATATTTGGGAATCTGCGGCAGGCCCTCGTGGGGACCATGCGTATGCCGTACTGAAGAATAATGATGAAAGTCCTAGACAGGTCAGAACAGCCGGTAGGCAGAGAACTATAGGCAGACTCACGTGAAAAGCAATATGGACCGTTTCCCGCTCTTCCTCGTCAGGAGCATGGACGTCGCGAAAGTTCTGGATCCCGTACATAGTATAGACATTGACGTCCTTTTTGAACGACTGACAGAATGCCTGAATCTCCTCCGCTCCTCCCCAGACACCCCGTTTCCGCGACTCGGCCACCTTCGAATCGAAGCTGCGCTCTTTGTCCTTGGCAGACACCGAGACCGGTGCCGGACTAGCGGAGGAAGAGGACCGACACGCATGTCTGGCAGCCGACGCAGCTGCACGTCGAGGAGCCCGACGCTCCCCACCCACGGCGGCTATAAAGCTCATGAAGTAGTCCCGATTGGCGGCGATGTGATCGGCCAGACGGACGCGAATTGGGTCGGCGTGGGAGAAGTCACCGTAAAGTTGATCGGAGAGCGCGTAGTAGAGACAATTGCCTACCATTGAGGGTCAGGAACCAGGCGATCCGGAGTAGTGGAACCATTGCAAACTCATGGCTTGTGCATGCAGACACCGGTCCAATCAAGGGACAAAGGGAAATGCTTACCGTCACCCTCGGTGGGCAGAGCATACAGCCCTAATTCGTTGAGACACGGGAGTTTCAGAGACGCCGCGTCCTCGGGCTTCGGACGCATGGATCTCGGCGGATTGGATTGAGTTAATTGCGGAATTTGCTGAGAATGCTGGACCTCGTCCAGCTCAGCAGGAGGCGAGGGAAGGGAGTAACGCTGCTGACGGGCCGGTGAGACAATGGGCACGATTCTGCCACCGTTGGGAACATCCGCCATGATTGGAACGTAGCTCTGCCCGACGAAAGGCCCGCATTTGTATGGAAGACCGAGAGGAAGTAAAAAAGAACAAGAGCTTCGTCGAGCAGAGAGCAGAACGAAGGGCAAGAAGATACAGAGAGGAGAGGAATAGAAGAAGAGAGGAGAACGGAATGAGAAAGAGGGGAGAGGGGGGGGAGTGAGGGAGAAGGAGAGGGAAGAAAGAGAGAAAGCAGGTCTAAAGAGCGAGCAGCAGACGGGGGTGGAAACTGGAAATGGAATGAAGAGAAAGAGAATCGGGGATCTTCTGCCGATGCCTGCCTGAGGTTGTGCACACGCGACTACGCGAGGCGGTCAGTCGATCGCGCGCACCTGATTGGCAGCGGCCACGTGAGTGACGCCCGACGATGACGAGACTCGATTTTCGTGGGTTACCTGGAGTACCTGGAGTTGGGAGGGCAGTTCTCTGGTCTGTCCTACATGATCCACGAGGTGCTGGGATATTCACCGGCCGAGGTCGATCTCTTTGGACGAGTCGGGCAGACAAAGTCATTGTGATCTATACCTTTTTACACTGACACCGTAAAGTTGTAGATAGTTACGTAATTTTTAAATACCACTGACTAACCCGTAATAAATACCGTACTGTAACTCTCCGAAAGATACCCGTCGATACTCCGCAATCCGGGGAGACAAAGACCAGCCCCCTCATTCCTCCCCTCATCCGCCGGCCGTCTCTTATCTTCCCCGGCGGAAATCATCCCTGCCTCGTGTTAAATGGCCTGACATCTCGCCTTGACCGTCTCAATGTTTCTCTCTTCTCCATTCTGCTCCCTCGACGAGGTGATCATTCACTATCCCGCATTATCCATCCCGCCCAATCTACGTAGATCCATTCCAGCCACTCAATATGGCTACCCAGAATAATATCGTCATCCTGGGGTAGGTCGATTCACTCCCCCCTGCAATTGACCGTCCAATTGACATACTCATAGCGCCGGAGTCTCCGGACTCACCACCGCATATCTCTTATCCAAGGATGCATCCAATTCCATCACCGTGGTCGCCAAGCACATGCCCGGCGACTACGATATCGAATACTGCTCTCCCTGGGCGGGCGCCAATTACCTTCCGTATGGCTGAATTCGTTGGACAGGAACGTTCGAAGCTAACCAGTTGCAGAGTTGGAGTCCCTGGAAGCGCCCACGCCCGTTGGGAGCGAGAGACCTGGCCGGCCCTGAAAGATCTGGCGGAGAACCACTTGGATGCTGGAGTCCATTTCCAAGGTACACCCATTCGTTTATGCATTCAACTGGCTCTCAAGCATCAATTCTGACACAGAATAATAGACACAATCGTGAACAATCGTCAAAAAGATCGTCAGACACCTACGGGAACGTGGTTTGCCGAACTGACGGAGAAAGAACCCTGGTATAAAGATGTCGTGCCCAATGTACGCGCCCTCCTACCGCAGCTGCATTGACCCAGAACAGTACTCACCCATTCCAGTTCCGAAGCATTCCCTCCGACCAACTCGCCCCCGGAGTGGACAATGCATCCACCTTCACCTCCGTCTGCATCAACACAGCAGTCTACCTCCCATGGCTAGTTGGCCAATGCCGCAAAAACGGCACGGTCTTCAAACGTGGCGTGCTTAAACACATCACCGAGGCCGCAGACGCCCACCACAGCGGCCAAAAGGCCGACCTAGTAATCAACTGCACGGGGCTGTCGTCCAAAAAGCTCGGCGGCGTTAACGACGACACGCTGCACCCGGGCCGCGGACAGATCGTCGTCGTGCGGAACGACCCCGGCGCGATGGTCTCGATCTCCGGGTGTGACGACGCGCACGACGAGCTCGTCTACATGATGACAAGGGCGGCGGGCGGCGGGACCGTCATCGGCGGATCGTATCAGAAAGATCAGTGGGATCCGCTACCGGATCCGAACCTGGCGGTGCGGATCATGAAGCGGGCCATTGCGCTGCGGCCGGAGCTTGTGCGCGAGGGACAGGGCATCGAGGGGTTGGATATCATTCGGCATGGGGTCGGTCTGCGGCCCCTTCGGGACGGCGGCCCGCGCATAGAAGCCGATAAGATCGACGGGGTTGCTGTCGTGCATAACTACGGCCATGGAGGATTCGGATACCAGGCTTCGTACGGGTGCGCGGCCGAGGCAGTTAAATTGGCCGGCGAGGTGCTGAGGCAGCGGAGAGGACGCGCTAAGCTGTAGGCTTTAGGGCTGTCGTACAGAGTAGTACATAGCATGTAGAGGGTACACCGTACGTAGACATGCCGACCGGCCCAGACAAGGCTGAATGAGCTAATGAAAATAAATAAGACTAATAAGCAAATACCTGATAGAGTCAGGTCCAGGCGCCTTGACCAATAATCTGCACCCCCAACGCGGAACTGATATCTTCATCATGACGACGTCACCACCTCTACTACTACCTTTGTACCTCATAAGTCACAACACCCCCGGACTTATCATACTCCCATCAAACCATCTACACCCAAAGCCTTACCAAATCCGCGCAATTGTCTATTCTCAGTATCACCAGATTCAAAACCCGACAAAATGAAATACAAATCCCCCAAAGTAGAGGAATACCCAGAAACCGACGAAAGCACCGCCGCTTTCAAACGCAAACGCAACGACCGCGATCTCGAGTATCTCTCTACCACGAAAAGACAAGCCGCGGAGAGTAAGGACCAAGCAGGGGAAGAGGATCAGCCGCCTGCCAAAGCAGCGAAACAGGCTCCAGCGGCAGCACCCACAGCCGAGGAGGACGATTTCGACGAAGAAGACGAGACGGGTGAGTTCGATGAGAACGATGCAGATGCAGTAGGAGACGAGGAAGAGGAAGAGGAAGTCGATGAGGTGGACCAAGACGAAGACGTCGAACCTGATGAGCAGGAGAATGACGAAGAACGAGACGAGGAAGGGGAAGAAGAAGGGGAGGGAGAAGAGGAGGAAGAGGCAACGGACAAGCAACACCCCAAAGTACAAAAAGCCATCGATCAGCTGGGACGAACACCCCTTGACGGCACATCTATAGCCAAAGAACCCCTCACGGCGTCTGCGGAAACGGTCCTCGCGATGGTCATCGATGCTATGTTGAAGTCACGGCCGATCTCACATGATCTATCGCAGCGGGCCATCAACAAGCTCATCGAGGTTGGGTATCACGATATCCACAAGCTAGGGGAGAGTAGCTGGGAAGAGAGAACGGCGGTGCTGAGGGACGGGGGATACAATCGGTACAGGGAGCAGGGGGCGACGAATCTTGGGGATTTGGCACATTTCGTGGATGAACGATATGGTATGTGTTTGTCGTACTACGAGACATCAGGCATCGTTGCTAACTCAAGAAATAGATGGAGACTTGAACAACCTCTGGGAAGAGGCACATCATGACCGAGCCAAAACGCGCGAGTTGATCAAGGAGATCAAAGGACTGGGCGATCTTGGAGTCGAACTCTTCTTCAACAATGTCCAGAGCGTATGGCCTTCCATTGCCCCGTTCGTCGACACACGAAGCCTGAAAACGGCCGATCAGGTGGGACTCGGCACGGATTTGGATGCTATCTACACGGAGCTGGAGAAGGACTCGGTGAAGATGAGCCGACTAGCCAACGGGTTGTCCGTTGCGAGATTGGAGAAGAGACAGGGGGAGCTGTTGGTGTAAACAGTCTACTACACCTGTGGTAGGTGCTGTCGGAATAGCAGGGAGGTCAGGTAACGCGGGTGTAATCCGAAGTGTATCACATCTCCAGCCCTGTCCGGGGAAGCTGGAATCCTTCTGTTGATACATCATAGCTCGGGATAAAAATAGCAACCAGCGATCTCATAGCCGTCTTCCTTGTCTTGTCCCGAGAACAGTAAATAAACTCCTAGATGCTTCCATAGCACACATGCCCGATGTCTCTCCAGTTTCCACGCGTTCAGACGAGTGCCGGGCCCGCTGAGTCATCCGCGGACGTTCTTGGCAGACCCGCTGCTTGCGACGGCGCAGCAACTGGATGCTTGAGCCTCTCATCTCCTTCATTTTCCGCACTTTCTCCCTGCTCTTTGCTTGCTCAGAAGCTTTATTCTGCAAGGTGAATTCCATCCCCTTCCCCTGTCTAAAGCCGTCTGCCAGCCAATCGAGCCCTCGCCTGTCACGCGACTTCCGGTGCTTCGTGGTGGTCCACGCAGCTCAGCTCAGCTCAGGCTACGAGATTCCCAGCCTGCGACTTTCTTCGACCGCCAGCCGGACCAAGAGTCGATTCATCATAGATACATGGTTTCCTAACGCTTGCCTTTACTCAGAACTCATACCAACCGTTTAGCCTTCCGCACATACCTTGTTTACACCCTCCGACGGAAATCGATTGCATAACCTGCGGAATCTTTGTCTACTCCGACAACCATCAACATGGATCTCTCTAACATCTTGTACGAAATACCCCGTGAGACCGATAGCGCGTTGATGATCACACGGACGATGGAACGCACAGCTAACCAATAACAGCCGGATCATCAACATCGCCGTCGGCGTGATCATGGTGTTGGGCGGAATCGCCCAATTCTTCCCTCCGTCCTTGGGCTCCATCATCGTAGGAGCTTATGTGATTATCTTCGGACTCCGTGAGTACTATGTCGACACCGGACTGGTTAGATAGAATGGACAACACGACGAGACTGACGATTCCCTGCCTTAGTGATCGGTGGGCTGGAATTCCTGCCCAACGTCCCTGACTATGTCTACCGCTATGCGTCCTTCCTGTTCTCGTTCCTTGGCCGAGGTGTTTGTAAGTGGTTCCCTGTTTTCTGTTCTCGCCGTGTTATGTCACTCGGTTTTGCTGACTGGCTGGGGTGGAAAAGTCTACATCTTCGTCGGATCGATTCTCCTGCACGACCACGTGTTGCGGTACATTGCCGGTTCCATCGTCGGATTCATCGGTGTCGGTTACCTTGCTCTGGAATTCGTTCCCTCCATCGAGCCTCCCTCGAACATGCGCGAGACCGACCAGGCCTGGGGTGCTGAGCAGATCTAAATGCGATTTTGATCCGTTGGGTCTGTATTGACAGGGGATTGACAGGGGGGTTGATCGGGACGTATCATCTGTTGATCTTACGTCATGATCTCCTCCGCAACAACGGCCGATATGAAAAGAAGATAGGTTGATGGTGACAGGAGAAATACAAAAGATGGAAGGAGAAGCATAAGAACCATTAGCCGAAAGCGATGATTTCAGCAATGGACGACGATGTACGAGTGCGATGAAAATCTATACGATGGTATCCGAGCGATCACGGATCAGACTTGAAGCGAAACAGAAAAAAATGAGTGTGTTGGCAACGGACAATGCACTGACTGCACTGTGTTTGGCGATTTCATTTGATTTCCCGAGATGATCTGCTGTCTCTGTTGGGGTGGTGGGTTGATTTTTCTTCTTTGGAATAGTTTTACATTTTTTCTATATTCTCTTTTTCTTTTTCTTTCGCTAGAAAAGGGAAAGCCCTTTTCTTGCTTTTCTTTCTTTCTTATTTAATTCTTTCCTCCCGACCCCAAGTGGCGTGGCAGATTCGATTTGATTTGATATGATTCCACAATGTTGCAATTTCAATGAAAGATTCTTGTAATATAAGACCTAAGCACCTGTGATCTGGTCTGATCTGGCAGACAGTAGCTAAACAAAGAACGAGACTATCTATTTCTCTGGCATTTCCATCAGGCATCTACATAGTAGGCATTATTCCTTAAACAGGGCCATTTCCGTGGTAATTATTAGTTAGTAAGGTAAGTAATAATTTCCACCGCGCAGGTGCCACGGTAGGTATCCTCCCATTCGATCCGGCCGCGTGGCATGATTGACCGATTGACTGATTGATTGATTACTATGGATTGATAGATTGACTGATTGATTAGGTTTGCGGTTGACTGATCACATCGACCTTCCAATCAAACTGCATTAGTCTAATTTCTTGGTCTTGGATCTACGGAGTAGACACCTGCCACCTACCTTACCTTACCTATGCCCAGAACCGGACCCGAAGCCAATCATGGCGGCGATGATGAATTATGGGTACATATTATTATTACATAGTATAGGTAGGTACATGATTGGAAGGACGTAGGTCTCCTGCCTAGGTGAGGTAGAAGGTGTCGGTGGTCACGCCACACGCCACAATGCATCACGAGCACCCGGTAATCAGATCAGATTCCATCGGTGATAACTGTCCCGTGCTACATACTCAACAATACCCTTCGGATCCGGGGATTAGACAACAACGGAGTAGTCAGATTCATTAACTATCAAGCAAATGATGTTGATACCTACAAAACCAACAGACCTCGGAGTCTCCGTCTCGGAGATAACAAATTCAAGAAAACTGACTGGATCGGTCGTACGAGGGATTCCCCGAGGTTAAGGCGCGGTGTCCGTAGTCCGTACGGGAATTCGGATCCTAGAGCAAAAAAGAGGCATGGTATGGTAGGATGATGGGAGACCTAGCTAGCCAGGTAGTTAGGTAGTATGGGGCCAACATCCAATTCTACTGCGTATACGTCGCCCTCATCTCTAAGCGAGATAATCATGATAATTATCGGCATCGGTATCCGGAGTTGGGGTTTGTTTATGTGACTGCCTGGTCTAGATGAGACAGGGGTACGGATACGAAGGGACTAGTTATTTCATAGAGATGATGAGTAAATTATTCTGTACCTACTTATGAAATGAGGCGTAGCTTTGATGGTTATTGAATGAGTGGTATCGCAGTGTTCAGATCAAATGACGTAGCAGTCATAATCAACCTACCTAGGGAGATACAGTAAGGCTGCGCCTGAAGGAGTAAGAGTGGTACTTTGCGCGACTTGCTTCTTTTCCCAGGCCGAGAAGAACAACGGTACTTTTTAGTCCGGATGCCGACGGCAGAGTATCCGAGTTGATTAGTTAGTTGCCTTAGTACAAGAAGGTAGGTAGTGTTATGTAGGACCGTAATACCTACTCTACTCATGGAATGCTAGTGAAGGTTGTACAGCAAGAATGGTGAGTGCATGAGATCGATAATAGCAAGCCACCCCTATTAAATGATAAAGAATATGGAAGACTGCAGACGGTAAAGTTTGCGTTGACGCCTGTACAGTACAGCAATAAGTACAAAGTGCCGAGTGGCGGACCCCTGTTCAATAATAATCACGCAGAGATAATCAGCGGCCGAGGGGAAAAAAAAAAAAAAAAAAAAAAAGAGGAAATCAAAAGGGCGCAGCACGCCACGGCGCACCATCCAATCAGCGGGACGATAGATCAAACGGCAGCTGGCTAGGAGATAACAAAAGTCTAACCTCCGAGGAAGCGGTGGACGCTGAACGAGTCTAGCCCAGCCAGGCAGAAATGGCCACTCAACTCACCGGCCACCCGCTCTGAAGTGACTAAAAATTAGCACAAAAACCAGTAGAATTACCGGAAGCAGCAAGGCGGCGTCGGGTCGGTCCAAGCAAGCCGAAGGGAAAGTCATCGAAAGTGGAGATCGTAAGATTGTTCAGTCATCGGGCGGCGATTAGAAATGCAACCGAAGGCGACGACCGTGATGGAAGGCACCGTGTCAGCCAATTATCGCCACTGAAATGCCGCTGACATGAGGAGCGACGGGCTCTCAGCCAATCGGGGACGCGAGAAACGGGCTTATTTGAGCACAGACGCGCTAAGTCCACAAAGGGCAAAGCGTGCATCCACCGGACCCGGCCGACTAGACCGGATGAGGCAGCGGTGGATCCGGATGATACGATCTGGGGAGGAAAGAAGAAGGAAGAAGGATGGGAAAAAAAAGAGAATGGAGGATGAATCTGTTGATGTCAGAGCAAAGGAAAATTCAGAGTTCGCCAGGGACTTCTCTCTTCTGCCTTCTCCCTCAACCTTACCGGATTGACTGACTCCCCCAGCCCGACTCATCCCAACCATCCCTTAAGTTTGACACTATTGAACTGCAGGGGCAAAAGAAGGGAAAAACAGAACTAAATTTTCGAAATTAAAAAGAACCCGAGCCAAATTGGACCGAAAGAGGCAAGATTCAGCAGAAACAAAGGGACCTTAACTTTAGAACGCAACACACCCCGGTTGTAGATCCCCCTGGGAGATCGATAACGAGCACTGCCTTCGATAAACCAACACGCTGGGAATGCGGACAGCCTCTTATACGAGTTCGACATGAGTGACATCTGGTAAGCCGCCATGCGCATATGAGAGATCCCTCCGGTCGGACCCAGTCATCATCATCATTGTTACCCACTTGTCTTCGCCGCCCTTCCATGCCTTCGAATCGCTATCAAATCAATCACATCTCCCCGATCGATCCCTCAACTCAATCCATCCCTCTCCCTGTTGTCCTTTCCTTCCCTTTTCCTTTTTTTTCCCAACCACGCATACACCATACCGTCTCGTCTCACCCTTCGTTCCCGTCCTCCACATCATATCTGATCCGACATCCCGTCGCTTGATTGATCGCCGTCGATCTTTCTTGTCCTTCGTCCGCCTCTTGGTCCCCCTAACCCACCTTATCTCCTGCTCGCTTTCCCTTCCCCTGATCTGTTCGTCCTTCTCTCCTACTTCATCATTCTTGAATCTGTATTTTCTTGACTGGAATCCTCGTTTCGGTTCTTTTCTCTTTTCTCTTTCCCCACTGATCACCTATTCCTTCCAGCGTGTCTGCCTAAACCTCACGATCGCATCGCCACCTTTGCAGCCTCGCGAAACAAACGCAACACCCTACGCCAGATCCGTGACCATTAAATCTACGCTTCTGCTAGTTGACCCTCTTTTTAAAATTCTTTCGATTTTTCTTTCTTGGCCGCTGGAAATTTTCTCCAACTCTACTCCGCCCCGGTATCTCTGGTCCGCTGTCAGGGATCATCGTCCCTCTTCCCCGGCTCCGCCTGGTTGGGTTTGGAGTCTCACTAGCTGCATCTACCTACCGTTCGCCCTTCCGGCCAGACACTCTCCTAGTCCTTTTCTTTTCTTTTTCTCCTGCACCGTCATCTTGACCGACTTTTGACTTTGTGATACCATACATTACAACTTTCGACTGTGGTGCGACGCCTTCCTCTCACAACGCGCTTTCCCCTTGATTTCGACCGTCCATCTCGACTCATCCTACCCTTATCTCCGGGACCCTCGCCGTCTCCTTCACCGTCGGCCCCTCCCCTCTTTGCCTTTCCTCGTTGGGAGGTAGTGGAAGAGAATTACCAAGGGCCTCTCCCTTTCCGACAGACTACGTGGAAATGTTAGCATCCATTCCGCAGATGGAAACGGTGCGATCGCTCCCTCGAAACCCCGATGTCGTTGCGCGACACCCGTCGGCGGAGGATCTAGACGCTGCCCAACAGCTGATCTCGTCGGCCCAAGCTGGTCGGGAACACCCTGTCGAACGGCCGCGAGATGATACCCGGGCTCAAAGCTTCGAAGCCGATCCGATTCGTGGTCGACCTGAGATGGATAGCCGGGTAGATAACTCCGGATACGCGTCCGCCGAGGTGAACGCAGCGGCCTCGGACAAACTATCGTCGTCGCCCAAATCCCAGAAGGATACTTCTTTTCTAGGACATTCCTGCAGGTTGGTCTTGACCACTGGATATAGCAGCGGATGGAAAACTGACACAATCTAGTAATTGCGGGACAAAGAGTACTCCGTTATGGCGACGATCACCGACGGGTGCGATGATTTGCAACGCCTGTGGCCTCTACTTGAAAGCACGAAATGTCGCCCGCCCGACGAAACGTAACCGTGTCCAGACGAGCCCGGAAGCTGGCGTGCAGCCGACTGGAACTCCCTCGAATCTGCCGCCGGACCAACCTCCCGCACCGAGCGAGGGAGGAGGATGCCATGGTTCATCGGGATCGTGTCCTGGCGGAGGTAGCTGTAACGGCACCGGTGGTGCTGAGGGCTGCGACGGATGCCCTGCCTACAACAATCGGGTCTACAAGTCGACACCCCGAGGGACTGTCCCAGTACATGCCTGGAATCGCGCCCCCAACCCACCCGCCGAAAAGGCGGTGCCTTTACCAGAGCCGGATGTTCCAGTTAAGAATGGGACACCTACGGCAGCAGATGGGAATATGCTGGTGTCTTGTCAAAATTGTGGCACCACCGTGACGCCTCTCTGGAGGCGGGACGAAAATGGTCATCCCATCTGCAACGCATGTGGTACGTTCCCCTTGCCCGCGGCTTCCAATTTCAATTTTTGTTTCCAGTCAAATTTTGTTGTGTATCAAGGAGATTACCCTAACGCTAAGCAGGTCTCTATTACAAATTACACGGATGCTACAGGCCCACGACGATGAAGAAGACCATCATCAAGCGGCGGAAGCGGGTTGTTCCGGCCTTGCGCGAATCGTCTCCGACGGGCGCGACGCACTCGTCGAATGGCTCCTCCGCATCCCCCGAAGCGTCGCCTGCCGCTCTGGCTCACGGCCACGAAGACCATTATCGATACTATAGCAGCGAACCGATGGACCACTACGGCCACATGCCCGACCGAGTGTCGCCGCACGCTCACCGGCCGTTTGGATTCGCACCACCACCCGTTGACTTCACCGGATTCAGTTCGGGCACGGTGTCGTTACCACACCACCCACCCCCACCTCGACTGTTGGAGCCGGACCGTTTGGCGCCGAGTCATTCGCCCGTGCCGCAATTCGGTCGTCGCTCGCTTTCCCCCAATCCTGCCAATCCCAAGAAACGCACGCTCGCCGAAACTGCCTCATCGGCCGAGGCTGTCGCAATCCCAACCACTCTGGAATCCGGCTCCAATCAGCTTCCCCCGATAATGTCCTCGATCAACCCCTCTCCCCCGGCTCGATTGAGCTCCATCTCTTCCATTCTCAACCCCTCCGGTGCCCACGACGAGTCCCGCCTAGACCCGTCTCTCGCCGCTCTTAGTCGTCAACAGCAACATCCCCATCAGCCCCCACTGGCGCCTTCCCACTCCCAGCCGCTTCCTAGCGTGACCGAATTGGATAGGTTCCAAGAGGATCGCCGCGCTAAACTACAACGGGAAGCCGAAGAGATGCGGGAAATGCTGCGTGCGAAAGAGCGAGAATTGGCAGAACTCGGACGGCAATAATACCTCCGAAATCATGAACTACGCTCCTCGTTGCCTTGATTTGCTTGATTTGTACACCCGGCGCCGATAGTCAACCTTCTGAGATACCACTATTTTTATCTTCAAAGTCACGCTCGACGATTGATTTCACGGGGGTGTTGCAAGATTTGCAAGGGAAAAAAGTTGTTCCATTCTTTTTCCTTTCCTCTCCATTTGTCTACTTATATTTATTGATGCTTTGAAGCGCTGGCGGGATAAGCGGGTTTTCCTTATTTATATCAGAAAAGAGATTTGTTTGAATCAGGGTGGCTTTTTGCTTGGTTTTGTCTGTTTCGTTCTCTTCTCATTAATCACACACTGCTCTGTGAGGATTGAACTTTCACATTCCATTTCTTTTCGGAATCGGCGCGTGTATTAGACTGCAAGGTGTTTGTGACTCGGGATTTCAGCCATGGTATGGCAGGATAGGCAAATAGATCTCGGTATGTGTAAGTAATTCAAGTTACTGGTCTGGTCAATTTGCCCATTGTAAAGCCCGCGGAATACCCATCCCGAATGATGCCAGGAAGGTATGTCTTGTAGCGTAGCGGCTGGCTTGTATGTCTTTCCCGCTGGGTAAGAAGAACGCTGCGATATGTTCATTCACGCTTTACTGACACCCTTCGAGATTGAAGCCTGGATAACTACTGTAGCTGGCTCCTAGGCGTACTTTGATCCACTACCATAGTATCTAGAACTGAGCATGATGAGGCGATAATGGAAGAGATGTTCGAACGATCGACCTCCATCGCCGTATTTCTTTCCTCTTGTCCCACGCAGTGAATACCAAGTGAGGTTCTCGTCGTCTGCTGCTCACCTTCACTCCCTCACCTCTCTCTCTCTCTCTCTCTCTCTCTCTCTCTCCCGTGTGCTCTACAAGAGGACATCTTTCCTTCCACGAGTAGCGATTCTTACTCTCATTTTCATCTTGCCTTACTTTACTCTCTTTACTACTATCTCACCCCCTTAGTATTGACACCTACCTTGCCTTTTCTCTTGTTCCATTCTCTTGCCAGCGAGGTGTACGAAGAAACCGAGAAATGGGCTTTCGTCCGCGTGCGATGGCCAGAAAGTGAGAAGCCCCATTATGAAGTTCATCGTATCTGTCTTTCTAACCATCATAGATTTTGCCGTCCTGTACTCCATCTGTTCTCATGTTTGCAGCGCCAAATGCCATGGGACAGGCCCATTGCCCAGCTTGTGCTGCACCTTGTACTGTGGAATGTGGCCATTCGGAATGTCCCCAGAAATGCTCCGAACACTGTGCTCCCTATGCAGTTTCCCGATGTCTATTTTCATGTCCGCGCAGCACATACACAATGCCTTGTGCCGCACCATGTGGTCACATTCTTTGCTCGTTACGCTGTAATCAGTATTTGCCGTGCGGCCACCAATGCCCATCCGTGCGCGGCGAGATCTGTCCCTCCGAGACATACTACCAGACCTGCGGATCCGATGAAATCAAAGAGACTCCAGTGGATTTTATCTTAGGCCAAACATACCAGGAGATTGACCTGACAGAGAACCCCTGCATCTGTCCCCAATGTGGACATTTCTTGACGATTGAGAGCATGGACGGCCAGATGGACTCCCATCCCGTCGACCCAGTAGCGTCAAGAGTACCGACTACCCCCAGCGTGGTGTTCTATACTTGGCTGTCTTCGACAATTGCAAGATAGGCTAAAGTGGCACATATGGCTGTTGGAAAGTATGGACGCGGCCTTCACTACATAATACCAGAATTGTCCGTGGCTGACTATCGATAGGAACAAGCGCTTGTCCAAGGGCAAAAGGGCATCAAGAAGAGAACCGTCGATCCTTCCTCCAGGAAGGATGAGTACTCTGTGAAGGTAGGATTTCAGGCTTCTTTGATTTGGTCATCGCTCACTTAAACCAGGCTATCAAAAGCTCATATTGTACGTGAATCAGCAATACGTGCCACTCGCACAAGAAATACCCGTCATCTTGTCTGGGTTGCAACAAAGCCGCAAAAAGCTCGGCGCAGTGGTAATCCCAGGTGCAATCAAAATCCGACTTGATGGCTCGCCTGCCCATCAAGTGTCATTGATGAGTAATATTATTGGGAAAAGCTCCAAGCCATGCTGGGATAGCATATTGGCCCTCCGCAGCAGGATACGAGAGTATCAGGACCGAGGGAAGGTAGGGGAGCAGCCATTCAACCAGGTCCGCAACATGGTCGAAGCTGCACAACATCGCAAGAAAACTGGCGGTCATTTCTCCTTCGAAGGAAGTGTTCTCCAGACGAAAAGGACAGATCCAAGCTGCATCGCTTCTACTGCGTCTTGATACAGCTCCATTGACAGACTTTCTTTCCATGAAAAAGCTCATTCGTGTCCGCACGAGTCGGTGCGAGCTATCCGTCAACCTGAAAGAAAACAGAAACGAAAGTCGACGTCTCATCAACGACGCAATCACCTCACACCGCATCCTGCAACAAACAGAAAGGCACATCTACCCCGCCTAACACTACGCCTTGGAGCTTCAACACGTAACCAATCCCTCTCTGGCCAATACCCTCCGAGACGGAGGCAGAGCAGCGACTTCAGAACCCGGGTGACTTTGCAAACTATACCCGGGGCAGAGACGCGGTCTCGCGGAGGAAATCGAAGCCAAGTCTACGCTTAACGGCGGAGCATACTATACCCCCACTTGAATATAGCACCAGCAATGGTAGGTGTGTAGAATTCTTGAAATGGGATATCCAGAGATCGATGTTGAGTCCTCACCGTCCAACCTAAACTGAGAGTGATTGTCACTAGACAGGTTTGATACAATAACGAGGGCCGAGTTCTTTATCTTCAATATTGGCATCGACGCCTCAATCTAGTAGCGTCTGGACCACCCTTTCATTTCCTCCCAAAGATGCCTCATTGAGTGCAGTGCCGTACTTTCCTCTTTGGGTGCAAAGTAGTCCATGCCCTGTTCCCAGGGTCCCACAAAGGTCAAAATTTACTTTAATGATATCCAAGAAGAAACGGTGTGGGTATATTAAAGCCTGCAATGTGGACTATTTGCTGCAAAGAAGCTAGATCAAACGTTCTGGGTGCACGATAGGTAAGGCGCCAAACCACAGGAACACTGTTAAAAGATCAAACCAAAGGACGGCTTGGACGTCGAAGAATCAGATATCACTCCACACCGCCTGAGACTAACGGTTCAAATACTAGATCCCAGCCTGGAGTTGTTTCGCTATGGTCTATGATATCACGACCATCATTGTCAACGTCAGGCCAGCTCCCTGGGATCAACTCTTCGAGAGGAGCGTCTTCTCTCTTGTCCTTGACACTGATTTCCAGGTTGTCGCTCATGTCCCCGTATCTAAACAGAATTTTCCGCCTAACTCCCTTTCTAATTTGCCGACAGTGTATCAGGTTTCCATTTGGATGCAGTCGAGCCTCTTGCTTTGCATATTCGTGTAGGTCCAAGCCCCGAGAATGTAACATCTGGAGCCATTGATGCACGGCCAACTCATATTTCTCTTCGTTGATCGTGCCAACGAAATGATGTGTTCCATAACAGAGATAGTCCAAGGGTGTTGCGCCATATTTATCTCGAGGATGTAAATCGACGTGAACATCAAGGAGTAACTTGAGAATGTGCAAGGTATCACCTGCGTCGAAAGGCACGATTACCGAGTCAGCCAGGTTTGCGGCGACCGCGTGCAAGAGAGTCCGCTGAGTACCACATTGTTCGTCGACAAGGAGGGCTCGCTCAGGGGAAATTGATGACTTGTCAAAAGCTGACCTCACGTAGGAAGTTGGCTGTTCTCCATAGCAATTGCCACATTGCCAGGCTAATGTGTAATCCATGATCTCATAGACGCCATGCATAGCATTTGTAATGTATTTGAAGGCTTCCAGTGGACCATGGAAGACGTGTACAGCAGTACTGAGAGGCTCACCACCCATGTCTATTGTGATGTCGGCACCTCCATCTGCTATAAGAGACTTAATAGTGTCATAGCATCCTGATTTGTTGTAATAGGCCAATGAGGCATAATGCAGCGGAGTCCTATAATGGTCAGTCTAAAGATATGTACTGTCCCGAAGGTGCCTTACATTCCATTATTTGTCCAGGCATCAACATCAGCACCTTGTTCTAGGAGCCACCGAGTCATTCGAGGCTGGTTGTATAACGCTGAAATCTGTTTTCAAACGCATCTGGTAAGGTAGTTTCATCACATTGTGCGGGGTGATCTTCCACTTACGTGCAGCAACGTTTCTCCTCGCTCGTTGGTATCAGCTAAGGTGGCGACCTTACTCCGCAGTAACTGAATAATTTGTCCGACCTCTCCGTTCGCGCACATTTTAAAGATTTCAGAGTCACTCTCTAGAACTCTTATTGCTTTCAGAGAGTATTGCCATTTCCCTAACGATGTAGCCCGGCTCATGCAAATGCCGTCGAGTCTGAGCCAAGCCATCGGTATCAACCTCCATTCTTCGTATGTATCGCCTTCACTTTCTTGGCCAGTTTTTGATCGCTGCCCCCATAGGGGAAACTTAACTGTTTTAGTTTTCACGACCGTGGCGAAGCCTAGGGACCTGTGGCTTTGTCGCAGATGTCCGTTTCTTAGCGACACAATTTTTGTCGCACCAGGGTTTGTGGCACCGGTCGAAGTAGACTTGTCTGAATTGGTCGGCTGGCATTTGAGGGGGTGAGATGGTGCATGGGCTATTGTGGTACACTGTTGAGACTGCACTGTCCTGTTGAATGAACAAACATTAGCAAAAGTTAATTCAATCAGGGAAGAAAGAGTACTGACATGGAGTAACAATTAACGGCTAGATTGAGGTACCTGACAGCACGTTGAAGGCGTTCCCGGACATCATGGATCTCTGATTTCTGCATAATAGCTTGAAGTTTGATCTTCTGCCTCTTGACAGAAGTAGATTGATTCTCAATACGCAGATCCATCATGAGCTTGTCAAGATCTTTGGTGGCGGTTTGACAGAATTCCAGGCTTCTCTCAACGATCGTTGCACTTGCAGCATTGGCTGCATTTGACTTAACGGAGTTTTGAATGACCAACAATGACTGACCAAGTATCTCCAATTCCTCCAAAGTATCATCAATGTCTCGAGGTAGATCCCGGAATTCTCGCCAGAGCTGGCGAAGCTTCGGGATCCCGCCGACAACTCCACTAGCCAACTGAGTGACTGCGATGCTGCTCCCTAGGATACCCAGAACCTCCGCCATGGTGACGAGAAGTTGAAATATGTGCCTACGCCGTGTCTGATACAGTGAAGAAAGCAGTGGAAGTACAAATACTAGGTTCAAGCAGGGCAGTCTGATACCTTTTTAGGAGGAGATATAGAGTGAAAAGAAGTCAGAATTCACGGATCCCTTCGCGGAGCCTCACCATTAACATGTGATAGATGATACACGTGATAGATAATAGTCAAGAGTACTGTGGATCTTTATCCGTGAGTGCCCAATCATGGTGAATCAGTGCCTAATCATGGTGGGCGGGTGCCTAATCATGGTGGGTAGAGGGTCAATAGGACATGGATAACACAAGGCTATGAGCTCATGGCAATCGTGAGGTTTATCTATTATCAATTTTATGGTATGCACCATGTCAGCTGAGACGACTGTGAATCAAGGATATATATCACCCGATCACCAAAATCATTAGCCTCATTCTCGAAGTCCTCTTTCGGCATTTGTCATCGGTCTGTCTTCAGGGAAAGAGAAACGTCGAAGTCCAACGAGACTGATATATAAAGCAGAGATTATGTCTTGGAGCGCACAATATGTTCGCCTCAGAAATCTGAGTTCGGATGACATATTAACAGGGAGCATTGCTCAAGATGGCGGCCGGCATGACTCTCACCATCGGAAATCTTTGAAACGCACACTCCGTCGACCAGCCATAATAACAATTGCCTTTCTGTTCTCTCTAACTCTCAACATCCTCTTACTGGGAAAAGTCTTCCTTTCAAATACTGCGCCCAACCGAATATTGACTTATTGTAAGTATCGAAACACGTCCATGTATTTTCTTGTGGTTTACCACTGCAAACAATTGACAAAGCTCCGAACAAACTAGCCCCAGCTTTATCTGCTATTAGCTTTGAACGGGTTGTATTCTCAAGTGGATTTGGTATCGAAAGATCCCCGTTCCAAGGGCCACCTTCGGATGAGAATAACAAGCTCTGGGTTGATCTCTATAACTGTAGGTTTGTTACTTATCTTCATTCTAGGTTCTACTCACAACAAACCACCGTGTAGTCGGGATCTCCAGGATACAGACAGATGAAGCGCGGCTAATGGAGAACAAAACTCTTCCTATCCCAGGTCGGGCTGGGGGATATGTTATCCAACTCTCTGTATTTCATCAACTTCACTGCTTGGTAAGTAAGTGGACCCTCAAGATTACTGTATATCGCACCCTGGACTAACGTGAGGCGTAATTTCTAGAACGTGATCCGGAAGGGCATTTATGGGGATGTCGACATGACGAACCAAGATGATCTGCAGGGCATAGAACATATTGATCACTGTGTTGATATACTCCGGCAGGGTATAATGGTATGTTTGTCCTTATATCCTTCTATAATGTACCGCAAATATTTGGTCTGGAAATTAACTGCCAATAATGACGGCTGTAGTGCAGTAGTGACATTACTCCTATAACTTATGCACGTACATCTCTTCATTCCAGAATGAAGCCCGTGAATGAGGTCGTGCATAGCTGTCGAAATTTCGCGAATATCCAGCAATGGGCATGGAACAGACGGCTCATGGAGGAGCTAGACGAAGACACATTGGTCACTGACGACCCCCTCGGTTGGGGATCTTACACGTATTCTCCTTGATCGGGGCTTGCATTGGGGACATATCATACCGTGGGGTGCTTATATTGATATTTAGGTTAGGAATATTTGCTAACTTATAGTTGTTATATATCTCAGGAGTTCCACATTGGGTATCCTATATATTTTTCTTTTCCCTGATAGACCCTGGCCTCTGGGTCGAGACTCTGGTAACTATGCTACTTCCATTTACATGGAACATGGTGTGTTGTGGAAGTTACAAACACCTGTCAAGTTCCCATGGTGTTCTGTTTGTTGAGGATGTTTGATAAGACATCAAATATATTTGATGCCTTTCTCAGCACCTCGGTCGGCATGCCCTCAATTCAAAAATCCATCTGTCCACTTTATTGATATTGAACGCAGGCATACTGCATATTGACTGCATATATGTGGCGAAGAGATCACTGCAGAATCGAGTACAAACACCTGTTCAGCTTGATTCTGTGGGATTCTCTACTGTCTGGAGCTGACTGCTGGTGCGTGTCAAATACTCGATAGATTCCCTCGATTTTGAGGTTTGTACACAATTCAATTTGGATCGTGTATCCTCAAGCTTTCATCTGTTCACGTACTCCAAACCGCCATCGTCATCACCTGTCATTTCTCAACACTGTTTCTGCATATATGCCAAGCTCAGAATTGTGCTCCCATACCCACTCAGATATTTGTGAGAAGTTTCTACACATATGCGTTGTCGAGACGCGAGCTTCGGGTTGCCCGTTGTCATAATCGGTGTAGAAGAGCAGTCCGGTGGCACTATTGCACATAAGCACCTGCCGTAGCAAATCTATACAGTGATCTGGTATATTGCGCTCGTTAGGAAGCAGTTACAACGGTCGCGAGCGCGGTTGATTGAACTTACCAACATGTTTCCACACAAGCTCAGGTGGGTCTCGAAAAGTATCAACGTGGTTATAGTGGTCTCTCCAAATGAACTTTCGAGTTATATCCAAGCAATGCAGATGATGAAAAACTTCAACCGTTGCGTAGTAATGATTATAAGAACCCTTGGTGGGCTTTGTCGTAGCATCAAATGCTTGCAGTGTTCTATAGTCCACTAAGATCATGGGGTCTGCACTCACTTGTAAGCTGAGTTCAAATGACACATGTGATCTCCGAACGCGCATAACATACGATCAACTAGCTTCTCCCAAGCTTCATCAAGCTCTTTACGAGGCTGACCTTTATATATGGAGGTAGAGAAGAGCTCAGCCTCGAATTTCAGGGGGGCAGTCGTCGTTAGCTGTGGTAAAGGGTCTTCCCGCTTTATTAGTATGGATATAAAAGAAGTGACATCGGAGAAGGAGGTTGCTGACAGTTACCCAGGGTGCCCCTCTGATCTCCTCCTTCGCTAGACACAGGTTGTGGTAAGCATGTGTTTAGCCCACGGAGAGCCCATAAATTCAAAAGGACAGCAGAGCAGAATAGAGCAGTGTGGAGACACATCATGCCGATGCGCGCTCGGTAGGACGGGTTTACCTTCCCAAGCTCTTCAATTCCGCTGGCGTCCATTCTGATTAACTGTCCAAGGAAAATGCCGAATGTCACATGCAGGTGATTAGCTTTCCTGTTTCATTTTCTGTCACTCGAAGGGATAACTGGAATATGTATAGGAGCTCTACGCAGTAAAGGCAGGTATGAGTCTACCCCGCAGTCTAACTTGTACAATAAAGGTACGACACCTGGCCTGCGTTTCTCACGACCCACTTAGTAAACCTGCCTTATTAGGCTTTGATAATCCTGAGCCAACATTGATTAAGCTGATCGTCTCTACCTAAGAACCACTTACTGTTTCCAGGCGGCTGTAGCAGGGCATGGGTGGCAGTTTTTAATGTAAAGAAACTACTTGTCAGTGTAGTAGGGCTGTCGATAGCCAACGAATCGAAGATGAATCATGACAGAAGCAACTCAGTACATTCCTGGTAAGAACATGACTGAATCTTGAAGAGGTTCAGTACAGTCAATCGGTTGGGAAACTAAATAACTCCTTAACTAGTTATATCAGTAGTTGGTTAGTTAACGTCACTGGCGGTTCGCTGACATCTGCAGGGGGCGGCGTCTACTCTCTTCCAGACCCCTTGCACACGTCACATTTGATCACTTATTCCATAGGTCTGGTGACATCCGTCAGCCTTCATATGTCATCTTTAGCTTTGGCCTCACATACTATATCACATTCGTGTCTGCGTCTTTATGGCATTGTTTGCTCCCCGCGGTTAATTTTCACCTCAGCAAAGCCGTCCTTACCTTTTATCTGGTCAAAGTCTATCTCATGACTGAGCCCCCTATTTATGTGGGATCACTGGCAATAACCTCCTAAAGTGACTCCCATGAATATCGATTTCCTGAAGAAGCATATCTTTGAAATTATATGTCATGCCAGCTAGTCAGTGCAGGATCTTTGTATGCAGCCTCGGACTACAGTTATTCATTCAAGCGGCCTGTGCGCGTATTTTGGGGAGGAGGGGGAGAGGAACCCCCATACATTTATAAACATATATTATCTTTTCACTTCCCTGACTCACGCTTGCTTCCGGCAAGTCTCATTAACCGCGCAAAAGGAACATACTGCATTTTCTACCGTACACTACTCTAAGATGAAGAGGTATGTCTTTATTACTGCCTTTACTGGCGTAGCTTCTCTCGCCATAGCTCCTTCTTTGAATCTCGAGGTACGGCTTGATCTTTTTCCCGTTAGGCCAAATCCGCTGAAACCATGCTACTAGAGAAACGAGATCGACATCCACAGCCCAAGCTTCCCCCCAACCGTTGATAAAGAGAACACTAGAAGCACCTGGGTAACCTCGTACAACAACGCCGAATGGGCACGCACTGGACATTGGGTATTATTGGACACAAGTTTTCTTGTTAAGTTCGTTCTAATGACAAACTAGCTGCCTACCGGGCCAGGATATCTTGATCTCGAGACCCTTGAAAAGGGATACCAAGCACATCTTATGGCGACACACGATCCAATTTCATGGCTACATTCAAGTCTCCCTATGGCCAAGCGGTTCTTCGGTTGGTGATAATATTATGAGCAATATTACGGTTTAGCGTGGTGGCTGGTTTGTTGGGTGGATGAAGCTGGAGATCGAGAGTCCTCGAGATTGATGTTACATGTGTCGGAATTCAGTCCTCGGATATGGAATATGAATTATCTAGATTGCCGATTGTTTTGTATTAACCAAATTCATCTTGACCCCATTAGAATGCCAGATAGGGGCCCACTACATCCTGGGTTGCGACAGCAGGATTTCTGCCTCAGGCGCCCTATTCTCCACTTCCTTTTTATATCAGCTGCAATACATGTATACTAGATACATATTATAAGTGTATATATTAAGTTCCAGAGCCTCTAGATATAAAGTGGTTGAGCTATAATAGTATTTTGTATGGTGTGGTAGTTATTGGGGTGGGCTGACTAACTGTGTGGGCGGATCGACCGTGAATTACGTTAATATGGCTTCCACCTGGAGGCTCCATCAGCCTATGACATCTTTAGCATCACCCCAAGGGCGCCTTTTTTAGCCTTGCTCGGCGAAGTGGGTTACGTCAAAGATATGGTCTGCTTCAACTTCCTTTATAAGCAGTCAACAGCTTTCCGATTCGTCTTATTGGTCCTGGGCAATCACGAGCCGTACCATAGCAGTTGGGCCGAAACAAAAGCTAAGAGAATTCTGGAGAGTAGATCCATAGCGCACGTCCGGGTGACGAGGTACTTGGGAAACTGATTGTGTTTGATCAAACTCGCTACAATCCTTAGCTGCATATTACTCTCCCACGCCGCTCAAAACCAAGTGGAGAACGCTAGCTTTGGTCTTAATGATTTCTACAGCACCCACGATTGGTCTCTTGAATCCCACCAAGACGCACATCGCGCAGACTTTACCTGGCTAAACAAGGAGATTGACTCGGTCTACCAAGAGCCTGGTCGGAGAGTTTGGTTTTTACGCATTACTTATTATACTCTCTTTATCCCTTTAGGAACTTTAGGAACGCTGCTCATTCCCTTGGTTCCTAGGAAACACTAGGAACGTTTGCTGTTTTCTAGTATTCCCTTGTTCCTTGGAACGTCAATGTCAATCGTCGTTTTCTTCCTGCTTGGCGTCGAAGACGAAGAAATCGCTAGTATTGCCAAGTGTTCTACGCGCAGGGGACATGGCGGGCTTTGGATCAAGATGTACACGTGTAGGTCGACGAACGGCGAAGACGCCTGCCACTGGCGGGAGACGCGGTTGTGTGATGAGAAGCGACTGGAGTCGTGAAATGGCTGGCTCAGGTGCTTCGACATGGAGGCGCAGTACGAATATTAAAACCGGTGGTGGAATGCAAGTGGATTTATTGGAGGGAATGACGGCTTACCGCGAGGCCCGCAGGTGGAAGAGGCAGCCGGCGAAGCCGGCGTCTGCAGGACAGGGGCTGTAAGTGCCTAAGAGGGGGGGTTACACGTTCGAGTCTCTGTACCCCCGCAGGCCCCGTCAAGCCGTCCAACTGAACAACTTTAATTATGTCACTTCCTGGGAGTTTCTTGTCTTTGATCAAGATGTTCTCTCCAGGTCCAACCTGCCCAGGCGACTCATCATCGATACCTCGTACCAAATCATTATTTTCTATATATTTGCAGCGAAGTCAGCCCGAGGTAGCATTGAGCTAGGCCGAGAGGCCAAGTCAAGCTACAAATGTCGTGGTACCCCGCTAGCCCTGCCCCCTCCCCGGGGCCGGCTCGACCCGTCGTCAGCGCGGCGGATTGCGAGGCTCGCCGTCAACCTGGATGATGCAAAGCTCAAGGTCTCGCTCGAGAACCTCGACCTGCTTGGGCGCTGTCCGGCGCACAGCAAACTCGATGCCGCGTGGGTGTCCAGATTGAAGGGATGTGGAGGGAGAAATGCGGTTATGGGTTGGGTTTCCTTGCCACTTTTCAAGTCGTGATGAGCTAGCATTTATCTGCTTTCCCAAAAAGATTCCTGATAGCCAAGTACGCATGCAGCCAAATTGCAAAAGATTTTTTTAAGGAATTAGGGATGGATATTGTAAGCGTTTTAGGTCTTTCGAGCAATTCACTAAACCTTCTTCTTCAGGAGCCTCCCTGAAACCTTCAAATCCCTACGGGTTAGAAGCCCGGAACCTCAATCATGGATGGCTGCCGACGTGTTTCTATTCCCTCTTTAGGCAGGTTTGAAGCCAAGCAGAGCTCTCTGCCACCGCCTCCAAGCCGCGATATTGGAAGCGCTGAATCTGTTGAATCAATCAAGACCCACCCCGCCCTACCAGCCATGTCTCACGCAAGGAATCCGCTGCATAGCCCAGCAAGATGCCGAGAACAGTTTATAGTGATCAAGTTATCTAGCGAGGCGAGATTCCGGCAAGTTAGTCTTGCAAGAAAAGTAGCTGCAAAGACAGTTGATCCGAGTCATTCTGACAACTGGCCCTGAAGCCAAGGTATCTGGATGCATTGCCCTGCTACGGGGAGAAAAGGTTTGGTCTTGCGGTGTGCTTTTTCTCCTCCTCCTCCTCCTCCTCCTCCTCCTCCTCCTCCTCCTCCTCCCCCTATCCGTTCCGGCTCGCCTTCAGTAGAGATGAACCCTTCGACTACAGCGCGTATGCCTCTATTGCGTCTTTTCTTGTGGAGGCCTCTACCGGCAAGTGATGGGAAGAATCGGAAAATGCCGTCGAGGTGGACATGCACTGAGCCAGCGTGTATGCCTTGGTGAGTCTCGAATCCTACCGTTATCACGTTTTGGTTGTCGTTTTTGTCTCTGGAGGAGCGATGCGCTTTGGAGCTTCTGTGGGGTAGGTAGAGTACAGTTAGCTTGAGGTGGGGTCTGGGTTGAAGGTAAGTATTTAAAAAGAAAGAAAGAAAAGGAGGAAAGAGAGGAAGAGAGGAAGGAAGGACGAAGCGAGAAAGAAACATTACTTGATCTCCATCGCAGTGACTCGTGGATCTTAGGAATGGATGAGTTCATGTCTGCTTTTGATCATTAGACTTCCTTACAGGTTTCTCTATTTCATCACAGACTCCAACTGTCACAGTTGACCATCGCGCCCCGTCGGATCCATTGCTAGCTGCGATTTCTTCAAGAGTGGGCCCTACATATTCAACGGGGACTTTAAACTCGGCAACGTTATGGGCCATGATGAAGATGAAACCCTATAGGAGAGACACGATACGTGTACAAGTTATTGTCTTTCTGTTATTGGGCTAAGGTATTGGGAAATTTAGCAGCCGAGCGACAAGAGAACTGACTTCCCTCAAGTATGCACAGTGCGGTGTGACTCACTTCCTGGCGATAGAAGTTTCGCGTACGCCGCGGGAGTTCAAATCCGGTCGATGGCCACATACAGCACCTTCAGGAAACACCTAGAAGCATTCTTCATCGTTGGTCAGATGAGAAGATTAGGGGACCTACCTCAGTACTCACCGGGATAGAGACACTACATCATAGTCTTAATAGTAGTCTTCATTACATGTAAGTCGCACCCAAAGAGAACCGCATACGATCCCTTCAAATTCTTGCTTTAGGACCAGGTAGGTTGAGCCCCTTCATCATCCATTCATCTAAGAGAAGCTCTGTCGCTGTAGGCCTGTCTTTCGGATTCCATTGCAGGGCCTTTCGGAGCCATCGCAGGAATCCCTGCTTGTCCTCCCCACGGATTTTGGCGGCTAGGGTCTCTAGATTGATATTGGGGAGGGGAGCCGAACGGTCCCAGTTTCCTTTGAGTTGAAGGTATTAGCAGATAGTCCTCTCGAGCGGATAAACGCCAGGATCATACCCGATTTGTCCCAGAATACCGAACTGAGTTTGCTCGCGTCGCGAAACTCGGATGATGGAGGGCCCAGAAGCGCAACCAGCTCTGCAAGATGGACCCGATCATCAAAAATGCCATCCGGGTTTCTACCATCAATGAGAGTATGTTAACAAACAATATCCCATGCCTTTGTTGATACGAGTTAGTAAAGGTCGGACAGCCCAGAGCAAACGAGGCATCTGTCGAAAGAATGACAGCACGTACAACCATGGCAACATTCCAGGTGTCTACTTTATAATCCCACTGCATCCTGAGAATAATCCCCGGGGCCCTGTAGACGTTGGGCATAATATCTTCACTGTGCTCCTGGTCGCCAAGTCGAGCTTCGCCAAAGTCACTAAGTAGGGGTATGCCGTCACTCGCTGGGAATCTTGACGATTCGTAGACGGTCCGGTCCTTTAGCACTTTTCTGGCTGACGGTGCCTTGACTGCTTCTTCTTCAAAACGTGAAAGGGCTTCCTCGTCAGGTGCTGGGAGGAGCAGGTTCTTAAGTTGAAGGTCTTGATTGTCGTCAGCGGTACATTTCCAATCGCCGACAAATGTAAATTTACCTGTGTGGACCACATTAGAGACAGAATGTAGATAGTCTAGAACCAGAAGTAGTTGCCTGATGCAAGGCTTCAAATCTTCCAGCGTCATCGCTTGACCGGGAATCCGTCGCAAGAGTTCACCTGCGCTGATTCCCAGGGGTTCATGTACAAGGCAAATATGACGGCCATGAGACCCTTGGATGGAAAAATGATCAAGGAGCTGGCGAATGAACCTTTTGCCAGGGTGTCTTGTTGACACGGAGTTCATACGTTCGTAGATCTTCAGCTCATGGTTTGTTTCCCGATTATCCGTGACGTATACTTTCAAAGCAACGTAGTTAGAGTCACTGGTTGTAACCAGTCATTAAAACCTGCTTGATCATCACTGGGACAGATTGGTCGTACTAACTATAGATCCTTGCCAAACCATACAGTAGACGTCACTCCATAGCCCAACTTAGCAAGTACTTGGTACCTATCGTTGAGCACCTAGCCTTGTTGCACTGGGTAATATTTGGTCGGTTGGTAACTTGGCAAAGTCTCTTCCTCGATCTCAAATGACGGGTCAATCGCGTTGTAACCAGAACTTGGAAATATTCTAGGGGTTGATGACCATTGCGACGAGAACATTACCGTGGGATGCGACAATTTGCGTGTACTACTTTGCAAGCGAGATGAAAACAGGCGTGGAGAACAAGGGGTTGAGTGCAAAACAACTGTGGAGATTTGATGATGAGGAAAGGAAAGGCAAATGTTGCGAGAAGCTCGTATAATACTTCCCATCATAAAAAAAAAAAAAAAAAAAAAACAAACACTCAATTTCTTCTAGTGGGTAGAGGAAATGACAATTGCGGGGACAGAACATTGGTTACTTGTAGCAAGACCCCGAACAGACGTTCCCAGGTCATCGGGGCTACATTGCTTATTAAGCACCTTTGGTCATGTGTTTTCTGCACGAACTCAACTGGTCTTGCTTCTTGTAATGCCAGGTGCTTATCTCATGAAAAGGAAAGGACGGAAAGTTGAAGTAATCGCATACTAGTCACCGAGGTATGGCCTATAGTACTAAGTTCGTGGCAAATATGCAGAATGAGATGTTTATAATGCCGCGGTCATCATATATACTACTGTGCTAAAGAGAGATTATATACACTACCGGATGAAAAAAGCGAAGAATAAGAAGCGCAAGAATTCAAACCAGACAAAAGCCAGCCCAAAACCAAACCCAAACCCAAAAGTCATACATCCATAACTAACCTCCTCTGACTCGTCTCCTCCCCATGAACCGTACTCTGCTGCGTCATCTCAGTCCTAACTTCTATCCCCCCTCCACCAGCACTACTACTCCCCTCCCCGCTCCCTCTGCCATAGCCCTGGGCCGGAGCCGGACCCTGTACATCGACATCAATCGTACACAGCCCCAAGTCCCGATCCTGCGAATAAAGCGCCATCTTCGGCCCCTGAGCCTTGGACTTAGTGAGCGTCGTGAGTGTCCGCCCGCGCGAGTACGGGGTATTGTAGCTCTGCGTGGAGAGCAGCTTCGGGAAGATGCGGCTAACTATGGGACGTAGAAAGGGGAGACAGGCGCAGATGATGGCGACGTTGCATTCGGCGGCGGTCCAGTAGGCGGCGGCGACGTTGCTGTAGGATGTGTCTGGGCTTTTGGCTACTTTGCGGAGGCTAGAGAGGCGGAGGATGCTGGTTATGACGACTCTGTTCGGGTTTGTTAGTATGATAAAAGGTATTGGGAAGTTGGATCATGGATTGGATGGTGAATTGTGAGCAGTGGGGCTGTGATATACGTACAATCCGCCGATAGCAAAAACAGCCATGAGCGCAAGTTTCTGTATGCGCGGAAGCTGCAGATGAGAGAGGAGAGGCATCGGCATGATGAGCAAGGCTAGATCGGTAGCGATGTTCATGGATGCGTTGAAGAACCACACGGCCTCGAAGCTGAGACAGGAGCCTGGGATTTCGTGGTTCCAGAACCGGGCCACTGGGACGCAGTTGACGTAGCCGCTGACGATGGCCCAGGTGGAGTAGATCGCCACGATGACCATCGTGATGTAGCAGGCGATGCGGAAGCTGTGGCCTGGGAAGATGCGCAGATATTGGAAGAGAATGGAGAACTTCGTGCAGGCCAGACTGGCGTTATACATGGGGATGGCAGCCCATAGGCGCTGAGGGGATGTTAGTGGAGAAGTGGTAGGTGGAGTTTTGGGGAGAGGTTACTTTTAATTGTTGTTGATTCTCATACGTAGAAAGATCGCTTGAGTGTCTTCCGAGGCCAAAGTGCGTTTCTGTGGCTGGTTAGATCTGATTATAGAAGTATAGAAGTTCAGAGACTGACCGGATGCTACTAGACCGAGGTAGATAATGGAGAATACCTGCTCATAAATTAGCAAGGACTTAGGCAACAAATTGATCTGACAAGGTGCTCTGACCAGAGAAAGAAGAATTGTCCAGTCTTCACGACCAGTAATTTTCATCAGTCCAATTCGAGCTAAGAATCGCATCGCGACAGTGACGGCGGCGATTGCTGTCAAGACGGCCGTGACCACCAAGGCTCTTTGCCCTCGACCGGCGCCATCGCCTGCAGCCCTGGGGAAAATCATATGGCGAAAATCGTCCTCCATTCTGAGGAGTGACTTGATTGCAACAACTCGGAGTGCCTCCAAGGATGTCCTTCGATATAGACAGTGGGGTGACCGTCCCTCCGCGTAGAAGTACAGTCTTCTGACTACTCAAACCCAAGCCTGGGTTAGCAGCTACTTTTGGTACAAGATAGCATCGAGGCTTGCAACTGGACCTGGGGTTAGTCAAGTAGTTGGTGGATTGTCGGTCTCTCGAAGGATGGGTCTTGTTATATTTTCCACTGCCCGCTACCCCAAACCCAAGAGTTGCTAGTATTTCAATAGTGCATGAACTCTTGTTAAAAGCAGAAGAAGCTCTCCGCGCATTGACAGTTCATTTTCAGTCTCGCTTGCTGAGTGGCTGCTAATTCTTTGCAATAGGGGAAAGTATGACCTGAGGGTACTTGGTCTCCACATGCGTCGTGGGCGAGGTGGGTGCAAGTGATTGGCATCAACGTCGTGTCAACTATGCCTCGTTTCGGCGATGGACAGTAGTGGTTCCATGGAACGCTGCTCCTGTCTTCTGCTAGAATTCCCCTGTCAAGAATGGCGCTCGAATGTCTGGCGGCACATTGCGGATCCGTCGGCAGTGCTGAAGCTTATGATTCGGCTGTCTTTGCTCCACCGTAGAGCCGGTTGCAACTTTCACCGTCGTGTTTGAATCAGTTCGCATGAAAAGTGCAAAGCATTTTCTTTTCTTCTTATTCCTTTTTAAGAAAGGCTGAGTGGGCGACTTCACCCCTGAGCAAGTAAATTAATTCAATAAAAGAGCTGTGGATGAGGTTCACACAACAACGAGATTTTGATGAATTCTCGAGTCGCTCCCGAAGCCCCAATAGTCCTGAGCACGAATCGTGGGAGGCTCTCTCTTGTGATGACGAACAGTAGATCCGCACAAAGTTTCGACTTGATGAAGCTATCGTGCCACGAGAATGCTCAGTGGGTATTCCGGCTTAAGCCTCCTCGGACTTCCAAGAGCGTTCTAGTAAACGAGAGTTCGTACCGAAAGAGCAGGTTAGTTGGGCAACTAACACATAGTGCAAGTCTGATCGCACGGTCCCCTCCCCTTGAGATTATCAATCATTGTCTGCCATACTCCGTGAACATTCGGTGAACATGACGATGTCAATATCAGGAGTGGCGGTGGGTCCAAAACGGGATTATTGACGGACTAAATGCCATTATTCATGGCTGAGGCGCCTCAGACAAGTCTCGAGTAGTTGCTGAAACGTAGTCAGTGACTGCTCGGATTTTCATCGGTCCAAAAGGGCGGATATGCGTGCCCCGAGTTTGCCGAAAGTTCTCACAAAGTCAATGATGAACTCAAGCATGCTCAACATTTGACTTCCGGTGAACCTAACTTGACAGTAGTTGTAGAGCAACTATCTAATGTCTTTTGAGCGAGAAATCTCCTACTCTGCACTCATTTTGCGACAAATATAACCTGGCACGAGGTGAAAATCTCCCACCGGAGTAGGCTCGAATAGTGATCGACACGACAGGACTTTTGAAAAGATCCGAGGATCGATAGACGGTTTGACGGTGCCGACTGGTTTCTTGGCAATCCGCACTTGCCATCTTTTGCACAATCTAACGGCGCCACACGGTAGTTGCGTTTTGCTTTTGCTACCTGAACCTCTGAGGTCGCGTTGATCAACCACGTGGATGAGTGCTTTCACGGTGCCGATCATCAATGAGAGGCAAAATTGGCTTAACATATTTTAGGCATAGATCTTGTATGTTTTCGTGATCTCCAGACGGTGTCACGGTAATCGTCAAGACTAGACTTACGTTGCTCACACAAAAGTCTCCCGACAAAGCGAGAAAGCAGAGGTAGACCGAAGCCATCTTGACTGCGGACTTCTAGATAAGTCAGTGCACGGAAACCACATAACAGGTGGTAGAAATCTTCCGCATGATTCAATCATTGCAAAGCAAATTAGCTCTAGTACCTAGTCGCCTTGAGCCTATCACAAATCCCGATCAGACAAGATAGAGCCTCGAGGACACCTTCCACGAGTCCGGGGAGATGATCCGATCCAGACCAACCGGAAATTTTCATACATAGCGCATGCAAGTATAAGGAGACGAGGGGGACACAAAGAGGGACGAGAGTCGAAGCCGAACACGAACACGACATGCAGGAATAGCGTAGGAATGCAGACACACTATTGTTTCGCAAGGCGATCAATAAGAATGCAGGGCTCTTGTCCCAGCCGCGTGGTACGAACGCCCCTATTGGAGTCGAGGGCTCAATAAATCTATGCATCTAAGGCTTGTTGACGCAAATATTTCCTGTTCTTGCAGTAAGTAGATTGTAGTTCCCGATAGTTCGATTCGATATCTATCCCTGCAGCTGGCCCCGTGATTGTGCATGCTCTCGATGCTCCCAGCAAAGGAGCAATAGGGAGTCCAGAAGTACAAGTCTATTGTATACGTCATTGCTAATTTTGACCCCTCTACGGCGCCTCCTTGCGTGGGGGCAATAAGCAATTCCAGGTTTCTGGGATAGCGGATCACAGAATGTCAGCTTGTTCGGGATTATGGGAAAGAGTACACCGTAGTTTGACGGACGATCCTTCGAGGTGTCATAAACCTAACCCATAATCATAGCGTAGCGCTGACTGCTGTCAAGACTAGTAGCGACGATCCGTTGGTGGAGACGAGAAGAATGCAGAAAGAGAAATGGATTTTGCTGGGTTTTGCCCCTGACGATCACATGCCCGCTGCCCTCGTGACGGCTGCATCGTCAACTATAAAAATGTCATCGATTGTTTTTTCGGGATAACTCTTCCAATTTAATGATTCAGGTCCCTGTCTACCCCGTAATGACGATGGTACTATTGATGATTGAGACACTCGATTCGAATATTTAGACAATGTGTATCAGCCCTTCTTGTAAGAATAGGATGTTCTACACATAGGCTGAGCTACTCCGTACTATATAATTAAATCACACGCTTCTGGAATTCGTTTTTCATCGAATATTAAATTAGTTATCACTATTTTTTTTTTCTTGCTTTTTCCCTTTTAACTTTTTTTTTTGCTCTGCACCTATCCGCTATCATCGCCAGTGGACCACCAGCCATCTCTACCTTCACGACTCCTCCCACAATACCTGGACCAGGCTACCGCGCGCCACATCATTGCTTCACCAAGACTAGATTGTCCAAGTAATGAGGATCTGGGGGAAGAGGAAGTAGTTGAACAACTCGATCACGGAGATGCGAATGGATGATGAAAAAGACAAGATATAACCAGAATAAGCTTCAGCCTGGATGTATTGGTATCAATAACAGAAGAGCTGGAGTGCTTCTACCAGCTTGAAAGCAGTGACGATGCTTTTCATCATGCATGAAGAATTGTAGCTCTTTTTTGTTGATATCAATACATCCATCACATTGAAGTTTGCTTTTATGTTGTCCCTTTCAAAATTCAATCCCTTATCGGCTGACGAGGTGTTCAACTCCTTCCTCCTCCTCAGATCCTCATTGACTCAATGTATGCGACTTATCGAGACCAAGGAGGTGATGTGGCGGTAGGTGGCGCATGTTCATGAGTTTCAGAAGGTTATTTGAGCTTTGTGATAGATGGGCTCTTATTCTGAAACTTGTGGAAGGACACAGAAGAAGGATATTGGTAAAGATAGGGAGTCAGTGGTAGATGAAAAGCAGAGATATGCAAAAATACCCAAAATATGGTACAATGTAATAAGGAAAAACGACAAAGGATCAAAACAACAAACTATTACAACACGAGACAGAAGAAAAAGGAAAGATAAGCAAGACTTCAAATCATTTGGGGAGTTCATTCCCCAGTTCCTCCACAATCATATCTTCCTCCCATCACGTCGCTACTTCCTCCGCTTCGTCAACTTTCTCCTCGCCTTCCTGCCATTTTCCTCCTCCAGTTCACGCTCCTCATTGGTCCTCCTGAAAAGTGCACGAGCTCCATTTCGAGCTATGAATATGCATTTCTCAAGAATAACCAAAGGGCTGAACCGTCTCCTCGGTGGCCTTATCCCCAACTGGCTGAAGGAGTCGTAGTCTGCCGGGAACGTGCATTCGGAACCTGAATTTGAGGGAACAGGCTCAGGCACTGCAGGCTCGTCTGGCAACGACATTTTCTTCCGACAGTGGCATCTTTTATTTGTGTTGGCCATCGTGGAGAGGGATCGCCTCAGAGGCAGCGTCGTGCGGAGAGGGGCTACCCTGTGCCGAAGAGCCGCGGGCCGTCTGATATAGGCTCGGGCTCTGCGTGTTCGCCTCTTGGGAAAGTTACGTCGCTGGTTCGGCGGCGGAGGGAGCGGCACATCAGCTGGATCTTCTAGCGAAGAAGATAGCTGCAGGGTACTAGGGCCAGGACCGGGGATTAGAGAAAGGCTCTCGCGGGAGGCCATCCTTCCATCGCCGTCGAAGGAGGCGTTGAATTCGTCCGCCACGATCGAGTGATAGGTATCGACGTTGAGTGGAAAGGTGTCCGACGATAGACTGTCGATGTCTGAGCTGTCCGACAGCTCACAATCGTCAGGATGTCGTACCTCGTCGATCTCGCGGGAGTACAGCGACGTTGGAAAGTCTCCGTCATTCCCAACATACTCTGCATCAGGAGCAGGAAAGGGCTCCGCGTCAAGTAGTACTGGGTAGACGGTGACCTGCACATTGGGACAGAGTCCCAATTTCTTATGACCCAGACCGTCCAATGCGCGGTACGGTTCTGGGCACCATGGTATGAAGTCTTTGATCCAGCCCATGCTCAAAGAGCCAGACTTCGGCAACTCAATTAATGTCGCGACATGCGACTCAACTGGGTCTGGATCATTTAGTGAACAGTCCTTTCTCGAAATGTCAGCCCAGGTTTCTTTGAAATCGAGGGATGTCTGTGGCTCGGGAACTTTACCTCTGGGCTTTTTGCTCCCCAGAGCGATGTTCCTCAGCTCATCGGACACCTCTATCTCCTCCCAGTCGGAATCGGAGTCCGAGTGGTTGTCCGTTGGTGAGCTGAGGACGGACTGCTCGGCGTTTGAGTCCCCCTGCTGGGACTCCTCATCGATGGAGACCACGAGCGGATTCGTGGTCACTGCTGTAGCATGGCAAGTTAGCGGGACATTCCACACCGGAGTCTGAAATGGCACAGTCGCTGTCTCACCTTCTTTCGGAGACAGATCGTCCACCGTCATAATCTGCCTCAGTGGCGAGGGCTTATAATTTTGGGCCCTGACCCGAAAGTCCTGTCGCCGAGAACGCAACTTCCTCTCCAGGCCGTATGATGGGCAGCATTCAAGTTTGCAGCCCAGGCGTCCATTGCTGACGATGTTTCTCTCATTCGTGTCAACATCTTCCCTTTGTTCGTCGACAGCAATCGAGCCTTTCTCTTGAGGGTCTGCAACCCACGCACCATACGGGGAGTAGAACTTGAATGTCCGGCCGGCTGCGTAGCTCACAAGCTCCTTGACGCTTCCAAAGTTGTCCTGGAGCTTGTCCCCCTCCTCTAGCATGACAATGACGGGGTCGATGAAAAGGTTGGCCCTGTGCATGATAGACCAGAAGCGGTACTTGTCGCTGCGTCCCAGATCTTTGGAAGCCACAGACTGAACAAGGAGGGAAACTTCTGGGGGCGTGCCGCTTTTCCCCAGAACAGGGGCCCCATACCAGTTATAGTGGTGGACCTCCTGCTCCAGAAAGCTTCTCGCAGTTTCGTCATCACCGCCATCTCCAGAAGAGGTAGTAGCTTGAATTTCCGCGGAACCATTCGAGCCTGTTGATATCAGCCTCTGGTTCATTGTGACATTCTCGGTGTCAGGGATAAAGTTATAGAGCCTACCTCTAGGAAAGCCACTCTCATCCCGCGCGACGACGGTCTCTTCGTCGTCGCCGTCATTTTCGTCTGCCCAGTCAAAGGCAGATGGACGGAGGAGATCTTTTAGGCGCTCCTCATTCTCCTGCTCCTCCTCTTTTTCTTCCTGTACCTCCTCCTCTTGCTCGACGTCGACTGCCTGGTCGAGACGAAGAAGTAGGCCTACCGCCGCTTGGTTTTGGACGTGGACAAATCCAAATCTATCGTCCTTGTTAGCAGCAGTAGCAGTAAGTGTGTCACCTACCTCATCCGCACCGTCTTCCTGGTCGTCCATCTTCGTGTCACTCAGGATTTCCCAGTCGGCGTCAGCGACATCGTCTGTCGCCTCGACCTCAGAGGGAGAAGTTGAAATCCCCGTCCTCTCGGGTCCCACAATATGCCACCCAGGTTTAAACACGGTGGCATCGACAGCGGCAGAGTCAGAATCCCCAGTCTCCGCACCCTCCTCCGAGTTGGTCAGTTGAGTAACGGACCCGGGGTCAACGACTTCATAGTCGGACTCATCCGGGCTCCCTTCCATCAGATCGAAGACCTTCTCGGCTTCCGAGAGGTGGAAGGTAGAGGGGGGGACAATTGGGGGCACTGACTCTGAATCCTCCAGGTCCGTCTGTGACTCTTCCTCAATCTGGTCCTTGTCCAGGAGCTCGTTGACGAAGCCACAAAGTTCCCCATTAATATCCTTCGCGCGGTTGACATCATCCATCAGCTTGATTGTGAAGTTAATCAGCAACCGGATTTGTGCCGCGTTTGGGGAAAAGCCGGGGACGCAATAGGTTCTCAGGCCCTGGACGCGATCACTGTACAAAGTAGAGGGGATGCTTATATACTCCACCCCCTTTACCTTGCCATCGTCGCCGCGGACCCAGTTGACACCGCTGTCGTTTTCGGTGACCCCGTATGCCACAGAGTCAGTTGATGAAGAAGCATTTAGAAAGGCCCACTCGACGTCGCTATCATTGCCCTCGCTCACTACCTCAGTAGTGGAGGGAGACGCATTCTCTACCTCAGTAGCAGAGGGAGAAATTTTCTCTTCCTCAACAGCAGATGAAGAAGTATTCTCTACCTCAGGAGTAGAGGGAGAAGCGTTCTCCACCTCGTTGAAGTCAGCCTGTGTCTGCTGATGCACGTATCCGTTTTTATAGATGACTTCAAACGCAGACTCGACCCCCAAGTCTTCCATCAGAGCGAGGGTGATGTCCCAGACTTCAGAAGTAAGATGGATGGCAACGGGCTCCTCCACCATATCATTTTCATCAACAGCCTCCTCGTCCGGCGAGACAAGAACGAAACCCTCATCTTCAATTTCATCGACAAGGGTGACTTCCTTCGGCGGAACAATGACGAATCCTCCATCTTCAACGACATCCCCAGGGATGGCAACAGGCTCCTTCACCATGTCAATGTCATCGACAGCTACCACGTCCGGCGAGACAAGAACGAAACCCTCATCTTCAATTTCATCCTCAAGGACGGCCACGTTTGACGGAATAACCACGAAATCCTCATCTTCAATGACATCGACTTTGATCACCACGTCCCATTTGCTTTCAACGTGTTTCGAGCGGTGAGTAGTCATGGTTTCTTCTTCGTCCAACTCAGGGGGATGTCTGAGGTCTTGGGACGCCTGGAAATGATGTTAGATCAATGGAATCGACAATATAACAGGCCCAGAGCAAAATTCAAAATACCTCAATCAATTTGCCAACAAGACGTGTATATATAAACCCGATGATAACGTATGCGAGCGTTTGGACGCCGAAGTTGGCCTTCAAGGAGTAGTAGGGTGGAGTGATGTCCTGAAAAACGAAGTTAGGTTGATCAAGCTGACGATAGATAGAACTAAGCGACTTGTTCAAAATACCTTGGACAGGGTGTAGAGGATCTGAGGGAAGACGAAGTAGTTGAACAACTCGTCAGCCGAAAGGAGGTTGGATTTTGAGAGAGACAACATAATAATAAGCTTCAATGTAGTGGTTGATGTATTGATATTAATGCACAAAAGGGCTGGAATGCTTCATGCACGATAAAAGAATCGTCACTGCTTTCAAGCTGGTAGAAGCACTATGAAGCTATTCTCATGGATGAGAAGAAAGAGTGAGAAAGAGAACCGTAGGAGCTGAGGGGGGGAGGAGACCGTATTTATGTGGATACGCCTCCAGAAGAGATCTTGAGGCCGCAATTACTTCCAGGAACCTTCCGGTCGATGGAATCTGGAGATGGTGGAAGTTTCCAGGGGAGGTGTCTGCTGTCTCTTCTGATTGGACCTGACGATGTCTACTGGGAGCAGCTACAGGAACGTTCTGCCTCAGGTCACCAGCTAGATGTGCCAGGTGATGTATGTCTAGGGAGTGGCTACGTATGCAGTATCAGATACTGTCTTCCTGGCTCTAGGGAAAAATGTCTCTACTGAGGTCTAACATGATTGGTATAAACGAAGCTGCCGGTAGGAAGCTACTAGATGCAGATTGTATGGCCACAGTTCTATCTTGACAGTGGGTGATATCCTATGGTGATGCAACATTCCAAAGCCATAACCTTTCGCTATAGCATAACTTACAATAGTCTTGGTTCAAATTCTATTTGTAGAATAATTTACATTTGTAGACTGAGACGATGCCCTGGAAACAGTGGCTTTGTTTGTGGCTTTGTTGTACTAGTTGCAGGTGGTGGTCACTTTGTTCTCGAGACAGGAGCTTTTGTCCTAATACGTTTAAGGCAATTTACTCGAGGTCATCACAAAGCGAAATCCCCATACACTTGGTTGTTCAAGTATTTGAGCCTTGCAAGGCATTTAATCTTTCTCTCACGTGCGGGTCTTACGGTCTTGTCAACCAGTTCATTGTCTTCAGTGCAGAGACGGTCCCAAAATTGTCTTTTTCTGGACCTTCTGCAGTCCCATTTTCATAGTTGTTGCATACCTCATGAGATACATGGATTTCCTGATGACGAGGTTCTAAAGATGGGATATAGACCCTGAAGCTCCTGGTAGTGTAGATGTTCCTGATGCAGTCTTCCTGTGGTCTTATATCGTAACAGGATTCCGTGAAGATTCTAATTTGGCATGTTCGCTCAACAAGTACTGCCCTATTTTAAAGAAAACAACATCAAACAAAACTTCAGGGATCTGGAAGTCTACTGAGCGGTATATCTGTGCAATTATATATTTCGGCCCCAAGCTCTCGCCCTAGACACGTTCCTATTCTATAAGCCCTTCAACGATGTTACATTATCAGTCAAACTATCCTACATCAGTACGTAATGACAAACTAAAGGATGCACTTGAATACTACCGATGCTCTATACTTCGGTCCTGACAACCATTCGGAAAAGAGTCCGATCGGGCAAACCTTCAGCCGACAGGAGCAGGAGCCCCGCTGCGCCGAAGCCGAATCACAGCAAGAGTTTCCCCGCACGTCATCGCCTGCCTATGATATAAAAGACTGTATCCACGACCCCTCGAATCCGCGGGAATTTTGATCTTTTTTGTTTAGCTCTTGTCTCTCCTAGAATCCCAATTCAATCTACTTTATGAAATTCCTCCGAGCGAGTTTCAATTCAATTAGACTCCTCCCGCGCTTCGTCTCCCCATCTCCTCTCGGAATCCTACACTCCGCATTCCCTCGAACGAACCCCAACCCGTTCCGCGAACCGGCATTTCTCAGACGCTCAATGGCCACCGCAATGGCAAAGCGCCTCGAAGGCAAGACGATCCTCGTCACCGGCGCATCGTCGGGAATCGGTCGCAGCACCGCGCTCGAGTTCGCGCGCACCTCGCCCAAGAACCTCAAGCTGATCGTGACGGCGCGACGTCTCGAGTCCCTGAACCAGCTGGCGCAGGATATCACGCAGGAGGTTGGTGAGGGTGTTAAGGTTCTGCCTGTGAAGTTGGACGTCAGCAACCCCGAGGAGATCAAGAGCTTTGTGTCGTCGCTGCCGGCCGATTTCCAGGAGATTGACGTTCTGGTTAACAATGCGTACGTCCAACCCTGATCTAGTACTAGATCGCTTCGCAACTAACAGAACGACATAGTGGGCTCGTCAAAGGCGTCGCCAGGGCTCCTGAGATTGCCACCGAGGATATCGACACCATGTTCACTACCAACGTCAACGGCCTGATCAACATGACCCAGGCCATCCTGCCGATTTTCCAGAAGCGCAGCGACGGAGGCCGTGGTGACATCATCAACATCGGCAGCATTGCTGGCCGCGAGGCCTACCCCGGAGGCAGCATCTACTGCGCCACCAAGGCGGCGATCCGGGCCTTCACGGACGCGCTGCGAAAGGAGCTGATCGCGTCGAGGATCCGCATCATCGAGATCGACCCGGGGCAGGTGGAGACGGTAAGACATTGATTTCTCTAACCTCTCGGATTAGGACTAGAGGCTAATGGGGCTGGTTGTGTAGGAGTTCTCGGTTGTTCGATTCTACGGTGATAAGAGCAAGGCTGATGCAGTCTATGCGTGAGACCCCTTCGGAGCCTTTCTCCCTGTCAACTTGAAACCGAAACTAACAACATTTGCAGAGGCTGCGAGCCCCTCACACCCGACGACATCGCCGAAGTCGTTGTCTTCGCTGCCGGCCGCCGCGAAAACGTCGTGATCGCTGACACTCTGATCTTCCCCAGCCATCAGGTCAGTAGATCTCTACACTGGCATACCCATGTCATTCAGCGTTTGCGAAAAGTCGTACTAACCGTTCCTAGGCCTCCCCTACCGCTGTGCACAAACGGTCTTAAATCTAGGCTGTAGCCAATATCTGACCGAAAATAGGCACCTATATAAACAATTCACGTAGAACCCACCATTTAGACAGGAAACTTGGCCATGAATAATGTATCACATTGCATCATATTATATTGCAAATCCCGCAACCCAACCAAATCAAGCTGAGACAATCACCCGATGTGTATGTCAAACAAGAATATCGTACACACCTACATACGCACATCCTGCATGTAGGTCAATTTAACCCCCGCCCACGTAGCACGTTTTCTCTAAATAGTAGCCACTAACCATCCTCCACGACTCGACATCAAACCGACAGTTGACACCCGTACCAGCACGTCACCCGATGCACGGGCAATCACACCTAAAAGGTGATATGATAGCGCGTGGTGCATGGTGCATCCGGGCCTGTCAAACAGATAAGAAAGTACGCAGTCTAAATGTAGGGCTCGTGGCGATATGTATGGTATTCTTATGTTGAACACCAGATGGTATACGGCCCAAGTAACGCTAATTAGGGAATCTATTGATCAGATCAGATATCTAGTCCCAACTACTCCGTATAGAAACCAAATCAATGGGCGTGACCACCACTATTACCACAAACTCACGAAGTAACTTCCATTTCACCCTCTACTCTATAACCCCAGCACAAGAATTCCCTCACCTCCCCCGGTACCCCAAACGGAGCGAATCTTCCGCTCCAAACAGAACAGACGAGCAACTCGTATCGAGGCGTCGAGTTTAGATTTTTGAGATCTTTGAACCATGGACCGGAATATTCTGGAAAAGCTCTGATAGGGTTTGCAAGATTTGGGTTTTGGGTTGGGGTTCTCGGGGAAATCGGTTCTGGACTTCTAGAAGCTGCTGAACTTAGGTAGGTAACCGAGTTCTTAGGTCATTTGGTTATCATCCTACAACTGCGAGTTAACTTCCCATGGAGTGGGGGTTGATTGACGGTATGGCGGGTTCAATTTTGGGGTAATCTCAATCTGTAGAGATATCTTGTTTAGGAGATGCATACTCCGAGGAAGGCTGTGAACTACGTCATATCCAAACTGTCTATTCCATCTGGGAATTGTGTATGCGAACAAACCACACAGAAAGAATGAATAGTTCGAGTAAAGTAGACAGAACCAACGGATATACTTCCTGTGGAGACCTAGAGAGCCCTCCGTAGCAAGGCACCACTATATGTCAAACCTTCGGACAGATGTCTGATGTCATCGATATGAATTAGTTAATCTACTGTAAGAGACATGGATAGGCCCTGGTGGCTATACCAACTGTGTAAAGAAAGAACGCATCAAAGTACTCCGTACTCCGTGGAAGAATCCAAGATGGCAAGGAAATTTACCAGTAAAAAAAAAAAAAAGCTGGGCTGATGATGGACGCGGTGGTGAAAGCTAGTCCGTAGTTTAGTTCCAAGGGCAAAAGCCCGAAAGAAGCAAGAAACACGGCTGATCGGATGCTAGATGGGTTCCTGCGGAAAGCGAATTAAACATTAATATGGCCATTAAGATTAATACGACGATAATACTATTATAATTTGTCTGCTGTAAAAGCCACGCACAGCTAGACGCCAAGAAAGGCATCGCAGCCGCTTTGCCTAAAACGAGAGGATCGTCCCTCTGGAAAACCAACGGGAATTCGAGTTGGGTTTTGGCGTTCCAGGTTTCACGGTTAGCAAGTTTGGATGAGAGTTGGTTCGAGGGTTTCAGGTATCGGAAAAGGGTAGACGGCTTCGCGTCAATGTCATATGTGTATATTGCATGGTGGCTGGACTGGACGGTCAATGCAGACATCTACGGAGTATCTAGTAGTGACGGTGTTAGCCGAGTTGAAAACATAGGAACATTTCTCCGTGATCAGCATTCTTTCAGCATTTCAGGAAGGAAGGTAAGTTGGCATACGCCAATGGAGAAATCGCCCGGGGGCAGAAACTGTTGGTCTCGGAAGATTGCCCTTTCTATCCGTACTCCGTATGTCCAAGATCTGCTAACGCTTAGATAACACCTCCCAGTGTGTGGCTGCGTGGCACTGAGTGCTCTAAAGAACCCAATATAGAAAGATCCGCGGGAACAATGCAATAATCCTAGGGCGGATGTACGATGATGCAACAGGACAGATTCCTATGGACGAAAGCCGAGTGAAGAAGTTCCGGAGGCTGTGAAGACTGCGTCGGGTTTAAGGTTGATATAGATCACATTGGGGCGTGGTCTCCAAACCTCCATGACAGGCACAACAGGACAAATCGAATTGATGGCGACCATCCCTTTCGTTAAGGCCAATGACGATCGAAATCGGACAGCGCCGTGGTTGAAAGCGCAAGGGATCAGACCATTTATCATTGGGAAGTGGAGGCGTGGGGAACCGAAAACTCTCCTGGGCCTTAGATCGTGGACTAACAACTTTAGCCGCAACGCGACATTCACGCGATCCAGGGCCTGTCCCCGTGTGATATGCTGGAGCTGGACATTGGGATTACGGAGTACGGAGAAGGGATTATGGACAAGGTTCAGGTATGATCCGTCAAGAGTATCAGGGAAAATGATGTAAGTGCCGGTGGAACGGGGCTGTCAACTTCGCTTCTTTCGTTTCTGGAAGCATCGAGTAACGGCCACAGGGGTTTTCTATCATTGTTGATTATCATGATCGAATGGCGTGAGTGGAAGGGCACCGAGTCAAAATCTGGTTGCTTTCCAACCTAGCACCAATCGATAGCGATTATCCGACCATGATGAAAATTAATATGGCTATGCGAATTGGTTCGGATGACGATTAATCAAAATAAATGAAGCCGACGGCCAATGCCCCTACGGTAGAGGCGCGATCGGCGTTCATTGTTGCTATTCCCAAGTTGATTGCTTCCTCCGAGGGTGGCTCAAGGCTTCAACCTGCATACTCGGTAGTAGAGTTAAACTGATTGAACCCACCGTGCATGAGCAAGTGATTGGTTTGCTCACCTGCGTACTCGTACACCGCAGTCGGATGTGACAAACGGTTCCAGGGGAAGAAAGGGGGACCCAGAGGGGGAGAAGCCTTATCAACAGCACGCTAAGAAGTGGAACTGAATTGAAGATTAATCTGGGAGGGCTGGCATTGAAAGGAGGTTGGCAAATAATCGGGGAGGATTGGCCCCCTTTTCCAGGCCAATCCACCTCTTTGGTGGGATTGGGGATTTTCCTTTTATCCTTCCACCTTTCATATGACTGTCTGGTGTGATTTCTTTTCAAGAGCTGATGATCTTTGTCAGACCAGTACAACTTCACCAGGATGTGGGCAATTCTTGCATCTCTCTGGAATGTATTCACCTGAAGTACTCCGTACTGTACTCTGTTCAGGTATTTGTCCTCAGGGCGGGTCCCAAACAGATTAAATTGATTAATGCAATCAAATGAAATGAAGGAATAAGATAAAATAAAGCAACCGCCACGCGGATGCACGGACTACTGCCACGCACTCTTAGTCAGGGAACCCCTTATTTGCGATAATGAAGAGAATGATTTGATTGTTCTCAGGCGGCAGTCCATTGCTCTTTCCCCTCTTCCTCATCTTTCTTAACTGAACTATTCGTACTCCGTACTCACTCTGCTCCTTTCTGTAAGTCTCTCTCTCCACTTCCACTCCAGTCCTCCCCCTTAATCATCATTCCATCCGCAACACCAACTCCCCCCTTTCCCCTCTCTTTGCTCCACTCCCGATTTTCCCTTCTGTCTTCTCCCCCCCCCCGTTTGGTCTGTTTTGTTTCGGAGCAGTTCTTGTTAACCCGCTTTTTCTTCCTCCCCTAGACGCTTTTGGGTAAAGAAGAAGAAGCAGCTCCGACATTCTACTTCTAGTCTCGACAGCAAGGTAACAGAGAAAAGCAAAAAGAAAAAGAAAGCAAGAAAGAGGTGCAGCTTGCCGACTCGTCTTCAATTCCCGCCCGCCTGCAAAGTTCCACGAACCCCCCCCCCCCCCTGATCCTCCCACCACCGACTCTCTCCCTCCCCCCGTCCGCTTCTTTAAGCTTGGCCTAAGTCGCTAACTTGACCCGCCGTTGCTGTGGACTTTCGCCCTTTAGTTAGGCGCCTTTTTCTTTTTTAATTTTTTTTTCTTTTTGTTTTCGCGCGAAACTCCCGAGGACCTGGGCCCCGACCTTTCGACCCTACCGCAAAAGAAATTTGTGCTTTGCTTGCTTGCTTGCTACTCCGTACTACTTGGTTATCTGCCTGACTACTGCTCTCTCGACCCGCTGTCGTCTTTTTTTTTGTGTTCTCGTTGGGATCGCTTCCGATCACCGTTTCTTATTTCCCTTTTTCCTTTCAAACTGAACGTGTCTCAGGATAAGAGTCCGTCGTTATGGCTTCAAAGGTAAGCCCGTCGCTTCTCTTACGCCTCGTTTTTCCGTCCTCGGTCTTCCCCTTTCCCTTACTGCAATCCCGCCCTTCCGGACATTTCCCATCCATTCCCCCGTCCTTGAATGAACCTTATCCATCTCGCGAATCGACAGGAATCAATTAACTTACGGTCGGATGGCATCTTTAGTTTCTACGAGAATATAAGTTGGTGGTCGTTGGAGGTGGTGGTGTCGGAAAGTCTTGCTTGACGATTCAATTAATCCAGAGTCACTTCGTGGATGAATATGACCCGACAATCGAAGGTGGGCGCTACCGACCGGCTTTCTCGTGCTCTTAAGATCACCGGCTTATTTAGACCCGTGTCCCGCAAACAGATTCCTACCGCAAGCAGTGTGTTATCGACGATGAGGTCGCTTTGTTGGACGTGTTGGATACGGCCGGACAGGAAGAATACTCGGCAATGCGTGAACAGTACATGCGAACCGGAGAAGGTTTCCTTCTGGTCTACTCGATAACATCCCGCCAATCCTTCGAAGAAATTATGACCTTCCAGCAACAAATTCTCCGCGTGAAGGACAAGGACTACTTCCCTATCATCGTCGTTGGAAACAAGTGTGATCTAGAGAAGGAGCGGGCTGTGACGGAACAAGGTGGGTTGATTAAGGGGATGGGCTCAGACTTATTCCATCCTCTCCCCAAACCGATGCAGAGCTGACAGTTGTCCGCGTCTACAGAGGGCGAAGCTTTGGCTCGTCAATTCGGCTGCAAATTCATTGAAACGTCGGCGAAATCCCGTATCAATGTTGAAAACGCCTTCTACGACCTTGTCCGTGAGATCCGTCGCTACAACAAAGAGATGTCGTCGTACCCATCAGGCTCGGGCGCATTCGGTTCCCGCGCCCCCGAAGGCAAGATGGACGTGAGCGAGCCCGGCGACAACGCCGGCTGCTGTGGAAAGTGTATTGTTATGTAATTGGGGAGGAACCGGGCGTTGAACTTAATACCATAGGATTTTACAAGGCGCGCGCACAAACAAAGTCGAGCATACGAAAGGATAACCCAAAGAACCCATGAATAAGAGAAGGAAACACGAGAGAAGAAAACCACAAAATGATTTCTAACCTTCGACTCTAAAGAGAGACGACCGACGGGAAACATGTCTGATCGTCGGAACCTGATTGTGAGTTGTCGACGCGTTATTTCTTGGATTGTGACTTTATACCACACGAGGCTCGCTTCTCAGATGATGTCTGCTTTTTCTTCCACCACCGAAATTCTCCCTCCCACCCTAATGCTATCATCGTCTCCATGAACGTTCGATTCCCCCTTTGTTTCTTCAGTTTTTGATTGTTTTTATTTTTGGGAGAGATTGTTCTTGATAATCCCCTGCCCGGGGGGGATGAATGAGCCTGTCAATAGAATTTTGTGCAATCATATAGGTACAACGCTATTGTCATGGTCCGGACTTCATTTGGGTATTCAAGGACTGTCAAACGTCATATTTTTTTTCTTGTCCGTCATTTCCAGCCATGTATCAATCTATCTTGTGATCTGGATCATAATTTTTATTTTATCTCTTATTTCTCTGGTTTCCATCGCCGAAGCGTGCTTCTTTCCTTCCCTTCAACACATTCATTCGGCTGGCAGACAATCTGTCGGGATACGCAATGCATTTGATGTTCTGCTCGAATCGACGTCATTTTGCGATTTTATCCTGTCTACCCTCATTTCACGCATGCATCGAGGATCGGGTTTTTGTGTTTCTTGTATACACTTCTTGAAGATATTGGTTAATTTTACTGTTTTGGAAGAAATAGCCGAATATGCTACTAATCGTCAGATCCACTTGAATGAGATGTGGTCGCCGTACGACTAATGCCTAGTGGTTTGCTGTTATTCACGGACAGGTAGGCACAGCTCAACAAAATGGTATTGTGCTCTAATCTAAAGTCACAAGATATGTATATGCAATCACTGAGAATACTCCTTCGGCTTGCCTTCCTCCGTGTCGGAGGGCGGGTCAAGCTCATCCTCCTGGGCCACCTTCTTGCCCTGCACGTTCTGCTCGACCTCCGCGACCAACGAATCCATGAACTCCTTGTCGGTTCCGACCAACGTGACCGTGTTGCGCTTCTTGCCCCACCGAGGATAGCTGCCAACCTTGATACCCCGGGAAGCAGTGCGCGTAGCCAGGTCCGTCAGATACGGCGCCACCGTGCTCTCCGGAAGTGGCGTACTGATCAAGTACCGGTAAATGCCCTTGCCCTCGGGGTTAGTCAGGCGCGGCAGCAGGGACGGCTTCAGGTGCTCGAGCAGTCGTTCAAACAGACGAGGCACGCCAGGGAGAATGTGCACATTGCCGTTCACAATGGCAATCGGCACCCACATGTCCTCGGCCACGAACACCGCCTGCTGTTCCTCGGGGAGGCTGCTGTCGTGGGGGATCTCGACCATGCGCAGTTTCGCGGTGAGGTTGGGCGAGGGAGTGTCCCAGTCGAATTGGGGTTGCATGGGATGAGGCTTGGAGAGCTTCTTCATTCGCTCGAAGGCTTGTTGGTGGAGTTTCAGTTTCAGGTTGAAGGCTTTGGCGATTGATTCGTAGGTGATGTCGTCGTGACTGTAGGTAAGTTGGTTAGCTTTCCGTTGCGTGGGTGATTGACCAGCCAAGATCAATGCACATCAAGCGGAATGCAAAGGTAAAGCACTTACGTCGGCCCAATCCCACCACTAGTCACCACGAAATCATAGTTATGGCTCATCCTCCGCACAGCCTCGATAATCTCGCTCTCATCATCGGCAATCACTTCCACCCGCTTGAGCTGAATCCCAAGCGAGAAGCAGTACTTGGCCAGGAAGGCGGAATTCGTATCGATGGTCTAGAATCGCATTAGCCAGACACTCACTCACACACCTGACTTCCCCAAAGGAACATTCTCTAACCAACTCCCCTAACGAAAAACAGAAAAAGAGGGATAGATGGAAAAAAGACATACCTTTCCACCCAACACCTCATCCCCAATAATCAGACACGCGGCCGTATGTATCGTCTTCCGACTGTTCTGCACCGCGGATGATGTCATTTTCGGAAACGGGTTGCGAAAGGGCGAGACTACCGAGGCGGGGACTGCGGTTGCGGTCGCGGTCGCGGTGAAGGCGGTGTTTAGCGTCGGGCGGGAAAGATGACGGGTGAGTTGGTTGAGACGACTGAACATATGGTGGTTAGGAGAAAGGGAGGGGGGAGAGATGGGAAGTGATGAGCTGGTTGGAGGAGAGATGAGAAGACGGAGGTGGAGGTAGAGGTAGAGGGGAGAGAAGGGAGAAAAGGCGGAAGGGAAAGCGGATGAATTGGATGGATTTGGTTTGGTTTGGCTTGATGGGCGGAAGCGGAAGTGGGGAAATTTGGCGTCGCTGTCGGTGTCGTCGTTTGATCACTTTTTCCTCTCTCTCTTTCTCATTCTTGTGTCGTTCGTTTTCGGGTGTTGTCCACGCGACTTGATTACGTTTTTCTTACTGTGTTTGAAGACGTATATTTGTCGGAAGAGATATACCTCTACCATATACCCCCTTCCCCCGGAAATAGAGGACCTGGAAACATCATGGTCTGTTTAACCCGCCTGTCCTATGCCCCGCATCGCATCGCATTTATGCCGTCACCAGCATTCCTGCGCATCGTTCATGCCATGCTCATACCCATACCTGATCTTTCGGTCGCTGTAGCTAACACTAAAATTGCCACTACAGTCTGAATCCCGATTATATTCCTTCTCCCCAGAGACGAAGGAGCAACTACGCAAGTTCCGTCTCGGCACGTCTCGAGCTAAAGATCCGAAAGCTATTATTTGTACGCCTCCCTGCTTCCTCCGTCTTCGGTCGTTCCGTGGAGTTCGACTTTCTGGGGTTTTATACCTGCATTACCAGCGATTCCGCAAGGTCTACACATGGATACAGAAACCCCGCCTGCGCAGAGCTAGCCTCAGACCTATACCCAGACCTACACATACTCTACCACGACCTCCCCACGACCTCCCAACCAAACCAACGAGAACCCACGCATCAAGAACACGGAACAGAATAGCTAATGACACCCAAAAAACAAACAGACACAATCGACAGCAAAAACCAAGAAATCCGTCCCGAAGATGGCGAAGTCTACACGAAAATGGAAGACCTAGTCGATGAACTCCCCGAGTCTTCGCCGCGGTTTGTTCTTCTTAGTTATCCGTTGACTTTGGTATGACGCCCCCTCTCTACTTGGTTGACAAGCCATGTAAATACGTCGAAGAGCCTTTATCGATGTCTCCACATCCCAATAACCGACCTCATCTATTCTCTCACAACCAAGGATCTTGTTCACTGATAATTATGGAATTACAGGCCTCCGGCCGTCTCGCAGTCCCCTACGTCCTTCTATACTACCTCCCCGTGAACTGCAACCCAACCGCACGCATGATGTACGCCGGCGCCGTCGAGCTGATGCGGAATGTGGCCGAGGTGAACCGCGTGATTGAGGTGGTGGACGAGGACGAGATCATTGGGATTGAGGCGAAGTTGCAGAGTGAGGATTAGATAGTTTGATTATTTTGTAGATTGAGCCTTGGATTGGGTGGTATAGATGCATAGGATGGCTGGGTGGTACGGGATTTCTTTGCTATGTTGTTATGTTATAGGGTTAACTAGGGAATATAGCGATTGTTTGGTTTTGCTTGGTATTGGGCGAGGAGGATGGAACTAGAATGGTAGGCATTGTATTTGGAATGTCTAGGGAGTTTATCACGGGTGCGTAGGGTATCTGTTTACCTATATTGCTTAGGATTGGTTGGTATACCTACCTAGATGTTGATCTATACATACCTTCCCAATAGTATGAGAGTCCATTTCCATACGGATGAGTATAACTAAGACCATCTCTAGTCACCTCATTCATCCCGGGACTGGAAGACACGAGAAAAACTGTATCATGACCCCTCAATGGGTCCAAGATAAGCAGGATAGCCCTGAAGGTCAATCAGTAGATACTAGGTACCTAGTCCATCAAACCCCTTAGGTTCCGAGGAGTACTACGGTAAGGATGGCATTATATCCCGTATCCCGCACTCTCTAGGTAGCTTTTCCTAATCACTTGGTCTTTTGCCTCCCGAATGGGCTGCATGATCCATCGACGTACACCTAACAACCATCTCTCGGTAATGTAGAACATATCCACCGTACAGATTACAAATTGATATATAGATTTGGTACCTACGCCAGACTAAGGCATTCCGCCAGTTCTTTACCGACAGTACTAGTTCTAGGTCTATGCTAACCTAGTTATCCCTTTTCTATTGACCAAGTATCTGGATAAGATAGGATCTTCCGGGGATGAGGAACAGGTAGCACCTAGATGAGAAGACCAAGGGAGAAAAATCCATCCTGAGCCTCTAAACTGGAATCGCTATCCTGATAAGGTGATCTAGCTGAGGTCCCGGGTTGTCAGACACGAAATGGCGAGTTAGGAAGGTTGCGTAGGTAGCTTCTAGGCATTCAGAGATATCCATATGAGTGAGCAGATTGGGTTAGAACACGGAAGTATAGATTCATCACATCGGTGGGTGTTTGTGTACGGCTATGAATTCTCTGAGGTGTACACAAGACACAGACACATCATCTCGTTTCATAGCCATAGACCGGTCTTCGTATTTTGTTGATACAACTAGGTAGATAGACTAGGTATTTAGGACAGATATACCCCGGATTCAATCCAATCCATGGGTATGGAGCACTTACTCGTATCGACCGACTGAGTGGTAAATGAACTCACAAAAAAACACATATATAATTATATCTGAGGGATCTGTTATTTTTCTCGAACTGTACTATAGCTTCCTTGTATTGTAGGATATGACGTGGGCGCTGGGAACCTACCTATTGAACATAATCGAGGGGGAAGGGGAAGAGGAGGAGGAAGCAACGCATAAGATCAAACACACCATGACATGTTAAGATCGAAGCTCTACTCCATCGGTATGCGTATTAGTGAACGAGGACGAAAAGAAGTGAGATACTCCTGTTGATCGTGATCGATATCTAGGTTACCGTCTGAGCTGAATGCAGAAGATGCTGGACCTAAGATAGGTCCTTTCGAGATGCTGGTCATATCAGTGCAAACGATGATAGAGTCGAGGGGCGGTTTGTTGTTTTATCCATTGGCGAGACGGAGTCTGAGGTTGGTGAGCTGATGGAATAAATAAAATTTGGATTGAGCATGGAAGAAGCTGCACGGGAAACACAAAGCTTCTGTCATTTGCAGGTCAGAGGAAATGCGAAGTTCATTGGAACAGTAGGAGCACCTATTATCGCAGGTGAAATGTGCGTATGCCAGTCCATATCGATCCGTTTAATCACCGGCATGATAGCCACGGGGAAGAACGGAGAAGACACGAAAAAGTAGATTGAAGAGCAGAGTCCGATTTATAAGCGGTTACCGGGTCTGAAAGGCGATGGGGAAAAGAAACGCAACGATGAAATGAGTGAACAGTTGTGAGCTTACTTGGACAAGTGGTTCATGCGTGGAAGACGAGGAATTGAATGGTGCTTTTTTAGCTCTTGGGATGAATGGATGATGGTTCTCTTCGGTACACTGTAGAGGCATTGGACGAGTTGAATGACTGGATATAGATAGAATACAGCATAATTCAAAATGTATGGGGGATGATATAACTCTGGGCTTCGTATGAACAGATTCCTTAGTACAACCAAAAACTACCCCTAATCTTCTTCCACAACTGCAATCAAATGGTGTTCATACCGAGTGGACAGCATGTGTTGTCCGCACACAGGTTCGCAAGTACGGAGTAACTACCAAGCAAATGATCAAACCACCAAACAAAACCAAAACAACCCATGACAATCAAATAGTCCATTCCCGTCTAGAACAGTCGAACCACATCCACCGTGGATCCCAGCACGATAGCCAGTCCACGCCTCAAACAACAACCGCGGCCCAAATCCACCGTCCAAGCGTACTCCGTACTCAGGTCTCTGGATCAACAAACCCCACAGTGGAACTCCCTTACTCCATAGGGGCAGAAGACTCGACAATCGTCACGACTAAGACCCGTTCGGGTAGGAGTTCCAAGCTTTCCGTTCGACATCTGCAGCGTCGTTGACACCTGGCAGATTCTGAGTCCCAGTGACTAATGCCGGAGATCGGGACGCTGGGTTCCGAGGTTTAGTAGTAGAGACTGGGAAAGGGTCCGAGACTGCGTCTGCCTAGTGCCTACATACTCCGTAGATTGACTGACGACATCTCCAGTTGCGCTCGGCACCTCAGGCACTGACCACTGGCTTTGGGACCTTCGGTTTTACTTTTTACTTCGTCGTTGGCAGCGACTCCACCAGTGGGGTTGACGGGCTGGGTTGACTTGTCTCTTCAATTCCCTCTATTCTGTCTGGTGATTTTGTCGCTTCACTTTGGTCTAGATCGACTGCTAGAGGGGTTAATTCGGAACCCAATGAATCCGATCCTCAAGCTACCCCGTCAACAGAGGGACTAGAATTTACGAGAGAATACCATCCCACCTCCTTATCAACCATACGCCTCTTTTGTCTTAATCTCAATGTCTGCCTGGTCAGGGGTACGCAGTGCAACCGCCCCATGCATGGACAAAAACAAAATGACTGGAAGAATAATGATAATACTACTACCAACGGCACTAAACACGCATGAAGCCAGAACGGTCCCAAATACTATTATCCAACCCGTTAAACCGACCCAACAACTAACAGCAGCAACCAGTGGGGACGAGGGAAAGAGGGGAAGGGCGTCGACGAAGCCGGTAGGTAGAATTTCTCTGACGCTCTCGTCAGCCTGCATGAGACGGGCGACTCTAGAACGAAGCATCGAATTTCGTTAATTGAGTGAGGTGGGCGTGGTACTTTTGGATTTACCGGTGTATGTACGAGGGAGGGGAAGGTAAGGTAGGCAGGTCCACTGTCGAGCAGGAATGGTAATCATAATATTCATAACTAGTGAGAATAATACAATAGCCATAGAAAATACAACTGAAAAGAAAACGAAAAATGACTACTCCATACCGTCGAGTGGAATCCGCAACCCGTCCTGCATGAAGCCGTTGCGGTTTCTCCGGGTTGCGTGGTTGACCTGCTGTTTCTTTCCTTTCTTTTATTCCTTTTCTTCCCCTCCTTTCGTGTCGTGCATCGTGCATGGCCTGGTCTAACCGCTTACGTCGGGTTTTAGTCGCGTCCGGCGCCAGTGCGATCGTGGTCGGTGTGCCCTTTGATTGTAAAGGAGTAGGGAAAAAAAGGGAGGCACCATACGAATCAAGCACATCCGATATTAAGGCACGGGTTATTGATAGACGGCCGAGACTGTCAGTGCTTGATAGTTGTCAATAATAGACGTGATGGTCAGGAGTAAATCCAGGAATCCACCAAAGTGGAAAACCCCCTCCCCCCTTCCCGGCCGCCATGCCGGTACGTCTTCCAACGCGTGGTCGTGAATCAAGCCATGCATCCATGCAACACTTCGCTGGCAGTTACCCGTTGGAACGTAATGATTCTGACTTCTGAGTATCCACGGATCCAGCCCCCGGGGTCGCCGAATCCAGGATGCTAATCCGTCCTGTCAGGCTAATGCTATTTTCATCCCTCAGGAAGCGCCCGGGCTAACCCGCCGTTAGTGTCTACTTTATGTGCCAATGTGTGGCCACCTGATTGATTTCTGTACGAGAAACTGAAATCCGGATTGTTAGGGAGATTTCCAGGAAACGGCACTGCAGGATGACGAAATCTTCGGATGTCAGGATGGTCTATCCGTCCCCGTCTTTCTTTATGCTCATGAACTCCTCGCTGCAATCATCTGATGCAGATGAGATGCACACAGTCTGTCGATCGGTCAAGGCTGCCCGACAAACGGTGATCAAACGATGACCTCGTACGAGCCGGGGGATAACCGTTTGCCTGAATCATTGCGAATGATGAGCATCTCCATCGCCTGCACGATCCATGCCAACCGAGTCAAATACCGCTACTCCGTCTTTCATGACATACATACACCTGTGTACATACTGTACATAACACAGAACACAGAACACCTAGACAGGGATTCATCTGCAGACTAAATTAGCGACTTCCACCCATGTAGGTCCCGGTCCCAGCGGCGTTGGACCGGGATAAGAACACCGACAGAGGGGGTGTTCTGAAGAACCGAGTGCCGGTTTCCACCTGGACAATGGACAGGATCATACAATGTTCTTTTAAAGGAGTCACGTATAGTCCTTTGAAGTCTTCCTCGATCTCGAAATGACGATCGAGGGGAAGTTCGCCGGCCAAAGTCTGGTCCCATTCTGGCATCGGCGATGCTTCCGGAGCGGGACAGCCACTTCACTTTAGTCCCGTCGCATCGGTTCGCCTAACTCCACCGGGTTGGTGGTATTTCCTTCAATTGGTATTTCACAATGCATATGATCTATTATAAAAAAAAATATTAATTTGGTTCCCCACCCGGAGTACCGAAGACTGTGAAAGACTGGAAACCGTCACTCGTTCCGCACGGATCGTTCCATGCGCTTCCCACGGTACGGTTGGACAATTTATCATTCATTATTATTCTCACTTACAGTACTCCATACGGATAGTCTGATTATCAAGAGATTATTCAGGAAGTCTAATTATCCTGCGGCTAATTACTGGCCTCATCTTGGATTCCTTTCCTGTATTTCACTCCAAGACATTCCTGGAAAACGAAGGATTCGGACCCGGTTGATTCGAAGAGATTTCTTAATGTAACGTGAGGAAAGATGTCGGTTAATATTCAATCGAGATGCTTGGGAAATGTCCAATGGTTGTTATGGATTGTCCATCCCGGTTGTCTTCCCCTTAATTCTAACAGTATCGGTCTACTAACCGGGGTTAGTAATACCCCAATTATACTGATTTCCTCAGTATAATGTAACAAAAGAATAGAAAATGAAAATGAAATAAAAAAGAAAAGAAAATCAAATCAAAGAAAATAAAATAAAATCATGACCCATGTGCCACTCCCTTTAGTCTCCATACCCACCAGCGACCCCCCTCTTGCTCGTCCCCCCAGAAAGCCTAATCGACTTCTATTTATCGTTGGCCTCGCGCTCTCGCCCCGTCCACCAGGCCTTTGTTCTTTTTTTCTCTCTCTCTCTTGTCTGATCCTCTGCCGCTGCAGTTGATTCCTTCAGTGGATACCGACAGTGATCTGACCGCCAGTCCACCAATCAGCCGGAGCACCCACTCTGACGGGTTCCCTGCGTGTTGCCTTTTTAATTTTCTTGCTTTGGCCCTCACCGTCTCGCTGGGTTTGGTCCCAACTCTCTGGTTTCGGCGTACGTCCCGTGCGACCTGCCCTGACGAACTATAACTGCCACCCTCGGTCCCTCGACTGGCCTCCTCGAACGTCTTTTCGTGCCCGTCTCTTGTCGAGTTCTGATTTATCGGAAAAATCTATCAGACCAATTATTTATCGTCCGTATATCCGATCTCGAGTCCTCAAGCGCCACCATCCACCTAACTTCCGATACGCACCGTACCAGCGATTGATATGAACCAATCTCTATATAACAATTTTTGAGCTACCAACATTCGAATTTCTATCCTTCTCCTCTAAAGACAAACCAGTCGATTTTCGAATATCTCTCTAAACGCCACAACCACTTTTCGCTCGTCCTTGCGCCTCCACTTATCGGTTTTATTCGGCTCTATAGACAGCAGACTCGAAAGGAAACATGTCTACTGCACACCAATCCAACCCGCCCGGCGAGGCCAAGCCGGAGGGTCTATCCAAGTATATCAAGCGTATGAGAACGGTTTTCCGGAGAAGTTCGACCGCGAAATCCGGATCTGGTTCTCCGTCGAACGTGGAGGGAAAGGCCGAATCTGGAGAGGCCAAACAAGTTGCGGGGTACGTTTGATAAATATTTCATAGTTGATATGACACTCCACTTCGAACGGTCTGAACAGTCGGCTCACCCTCTCTCCATCTAGACCTACCGCAACCCCCAAGCCCACCGTGACTACTCCGGCCCCAAAGCCCACCCCGGCCGCAACGCCCCCCGCCGACCAACCCATCGTCGTCTCCCACTGGAGCGCCATCCAGGAAGCGCGCACCCGCGCCCTCTTCGCCAAGCACGGCCTCTCCCTGAACGACGACGACTTGAAACCCACCGACACTGTCCAGCGCGTCGCGAAACCCATCCGCATGCGCGTGCGCCGGAGCTGCCACCGCTGCCAGACTCCCTTCGGATCCGACAGAGTCTGCGTCAATTGCCAGCACACCCGGTGCAAGAGTTGTCCGCGCCACCCGCCCCCGAGGACTAAGGAGAACCCGGAGACCGCGTTCCGGAAACTCATGGCGCAGAAGGGCAAGGGTGTTGTCTCCGGTAAAGCGCCGCTGCAGCACCAGAGCCAGCTTGGGAACCCGTCCCGGCCGAAGCAGATTAACGATGGTAATCGCAATGAGTACGTGCTGAGGATCCCGTCGCGCACTGGCGGCCAGGATTTGGTGCGGAAGCCGGTGATGCAGCGCGTGCGACGGACCTGTCATCGCTGCGATAAGCTGTTTGTTGCGGGATCGAAGCAATGCGCTGGTTGTGACCATGTTCGGTGCAAGAAATGTCCGAGAGATCCGTATGTCGTTCATTCCTGTCATCTCATACACACATTCTACCCAAAAGGGCGGCAAAAACTAACACATCTTCAGGCCCAAACTAGACAAATACCCCGACGGCTACCCCGGAGATGTCGAACCACCTGTGGAGCTTCCCCCACGGACTTGGAAAAAACCGCGCCGCAGAGTCAGGTACACCTGTCACCAGTGTTCGACCGTCTACCGGTCTGGACAGGATATCTGCGCGATTTGCGGACAGGAGAGATGCGCGGAGACTATACGTGAACCGTACGTTTCTTTCTTCTATTTCGTAACATCCAGTTCAATGATTTATATAACTTCGCATGCTAACTGTATTCTTTGACAGACCCAAACGCGTCAAACCGGAACCAGACCCGGAGATATTCCGAAAGGTTGAAGAACGACTGGCCAGTTTGAGGCTTGCAACTGAATAGCTGGTTTCGAGTTGAGGTTGCGATTCGACTCGTGCTTCTTTTTAGTTAGGTGGGTTTGTTGACCGGACTTATCTTTTTGCTTTTCATCAAGTGATTGTTGGTGATGCAGTTGAACAAATTTTGGTTACTATATATAAGAACGGTGGTTCTTTCGTTAAATATTCACCGCTTAGTTCATGGTCATGTTGCTCGTTCTACCGTAGAGTATGGGTGTAGTGTAGGTGTAGTATAAGCAGGTTTTACTCTTCTTCAGGCCTAAGTTCGAAATACTATCCTACTGAGTACAGCGAGCATACCTCCTGCATACCTAGTAATATCTACCCACGAGTACTCCATATCAAGTACCCCCTCATTAATAGTTACAACCTAGGTAGAGCATAAGACTAGGGAGAAATAAACTCCCTTCTACACACTTACAGTTACAAAGTAGGTAGGATCCCTACTCCCAAGTGAATAGTGGATACCTACACTGTGAGACAGCAAACTAACCCCCTACAGTAGTTAGCCCCTAGCCCCTAGCCCCTAGCACATGGCACAACATGGCATGGCATAGCGTGGAATGTGGACACTCGAGTCTAGACAATAATAACGGAATGGACATGTCGAACCCGAACCCAGACCACCGGGTCGGCGGAGACTCGGGCCCGGGAGGATGTGGATACTGACTGGATTCCTGTCTCCGTCGTACTAATCCTATTCTAATTTCGAGTTTCTTTTTTGGTTCTGCGGATGCGGTCCATTGATTCGGAGTTGGTGATTAGATCAAAGGGGGCCCTTTGTGTAACTAACTAACTAGCAGGTATGGGATTAGGTAGTGTGCTTGCTGGGTTGGTTGGGGTAAGGGGACTGTAGTTTTCAACCTACCTTTGTAGTTTGGACCTATTCCGTTCCCTTTTTTTTTATCTTTGTTCTTGTTTTGTTTTGGTTCTCTCGGTTAGTTAGTGCTTGATGTAACCTATACCGGGTTTTATGTTTCGCGGTGAATTGTGATCTCAGTTCTTGGTGGTTCAAAATCAACGCATCGAACTGTTAAAATGACATAGGATTGCAAAACGTATATACTGGAATGCTGCATCTAACTCAATCAGTGGACAGTAGACAATTGCAGATTCTGAATAACGCTCTAATACCTTGGAGACTGTATCCTCGTACTTTGTATTGACATAGCCTCCTTTTCTCAAAACCCGACAATCACTGATAACATAGTAGAGAATGGGAGTATTGCTCTTTACCTCACTGTATCTATCTACTTTAGGTCCACACTTATTGATAATGATCCTTGTTCGAACGCAAGATACAGAACGCATATTGTAGCATGCCATGGATATTGTTTTGCGCCATGACCGGATCTCCACACGCGGCACTTCATCAGAAATCCGTCACTTCAACCTCATATAATATTTCTTCATGCTTCTCATGCACCAAATATTCTCCCTGGTGGTTGAAGAATCGCTCGCTTCTGAAAACTTACATGCCTGCTTTGGTATTGTGCTTGAATATCCAGCTGGCTTACCGATTATTAGGGAGCTTGTACTAACGAGCTGCTCTAGGATCTATACTCGTGTTACTGAATCGGTTCTAATACCCACGAATGCCAATTTGATCTGTTCTCCGAGAAATGCGCCGATAGCATAGAAGACAATTCCCGGATCTTTTGGTGGATGGTAATAGTCCATTGATATTCGAGTAAGCTACTAAGCTGACCAAGCAGTAAAACATCACAGACTCCTCTAGAATCAAAATTGCTTACTACCAATAGGCAACCAACTACCAAAATCTATACTTCGACCTCTTTGGCTACCGGCATAAACCCTCGGTGTCTGAGGCAGCTGATCCTCGCTAATCCCGCCGCGGAATAGCGCGGCCCCGATATCCAGCCAATCAGCAGCTCTCAATTCCGACGCATCCAATCCGATGATTCAAGGAGCCCTAAGAAGTCCTTCGTGAAAGCTGTCTTGTGAAATAGGCTGGTTGAGAATTAGGCGGCGGTCTGATAAGAGGACTTTGGAATGCTATTTAAGCAGCGGGGGTTCTGTGGAGGTAGGTTAGTTTCCTGTAAGTTTTTTTTTTTTTTTTTTTTTTTTTTTTTTTTTTTTTTTTCCCTTGATGTGGTAGCTTCTTGCTCTCGGTTGTCTACTGTCACGATGACCGGTTTATCATTTGACCCTGCAACGGACGTTCCTGATGTAACAGGGAAGATTATCTTTATCACAGGAGGTAGGTCCTTGGAGCAAGGATCGTATAGATTCCAGATAACTACTCCTGCATTTACCCCCACTATCCAACCCAGACCATGACCACTGATTATGACCACTTCTAATCCCTCCCAGGAACCGCAGGTATCGGCGCAGCAACAGCCCTCCACCTAGCGTCCAAAAAGGCATCACATATCTACATCAGCGGCCGTAACGCCCAATCCGCCAGTTCTGCAATCAAGCAAGTGCAGGAAACTAACCCCAGCACAACCATCACCTTCATACCCTGCGACCTCGCCGACCTCTCTTCGGTGAAAACCGCAGCCCAGACCTTCCTCGCCCAGGAATCTCAACTAGACATCCTCATCTGCAACGCCGGCATCATGGCCACGCCTCCCGGCATCAGCAAAGACGGCTACGAAATCCAGTTCGCAACGAACCATCTCGGGCACGCGCTTCTCATCCAATCCTTTCTCCCTCGTATGCGCTCTACAGCCTCAGCCGCAGCCTCCTCCACCTCAAGCCCAAGCCCAACCGGTATCGATCCGACCGGCAACAAACCGCGAATCATCCTCCTCACCTCCACGGGCTACCTCTTCCACCCCCGCGCGGGCATAGCCTTCCCCACCCTAACCACCCCCCAGGAAAACCGTTCCCCATACCTAATCCTTTCCCCCTGGACGCGCTACGGGCAAAGCAAACTCGCCAACATCCTCTACGCGCGCGAACTAGCCCGCCGATACCCGGATATCACGACGGTGGCGATCCATCCGGGGGTCGTGGACACGGATCTTATTCATTCGCTGTCGTGGGGTGATAGGGCGTTTGTGTATGCGACGACGTTGGGGAGGTTTCTGGATAGGGAGCAGGGGGCTTGGAATTCGGTGTGGGCTGCTGCGGTGGCGGAGGCGGGGATAAAGAGTGGGGGGTTTTATGTGCCGGTTGGGAGGGAGGAGAGGTTGAGGAGGGGGGCGGGGGATGGGGATCTGGGGGGGAGGTTGTGGGGGTGGACGGAGGGGGTTATTAGGGGGTTTTTGTAGTAGAGGAGGTAGGTAGATGGATGGGATGATGTTGGGGTGGTTGATGATGGGTAGATGGTGGATGGTGGATGGTGGGAGATGTGTGCATTCAATTGTTGAACTCTACGTTGGTTACTTTAGAATGGGGTGGAATTGAGAAATCTTTGGACTTCGCAGGCAAACTATACTCTGTGATTGTAGAAATGCATGCTTGCCATCATATTGTATGGCATATAGAATAGAACTATGAGCCATTACTTCAAATGGATGTTTCGGGAGACAGCAGTCGTTGTTTTCTCGCTCCCTATAGTCGGGATAACTATCCGGCGGGGGCTCTAGAGACATTCTCTTTTCTATCGACTTTATCTGTACCTGAAGTGCAAGATGTTAATACCGTATGGTCCAGCTCGGTTATGGGTGTGCGTTTGAAATGCGTAAGATGGAAGCTGCCATTCGTTTTCGCCGATTCCAGCGTTTTCATAGTCATAATTAGATGTGCGCAACCTCAGAAGACCTCTGCTCCCTACGTACACTCAGTACGATCAATCGATCTACTTATTCAGAACTAAAGTAGAGCCTCAAATATACACCGTAGCTCTGATGAACGCCGTGACCACTCCTTAACAGAAACCTTTCCTTCCATAAAGCTAACAATACATATTGTAATGAGAACTATATTGATGATAATAGTAGTACAATTAACAGACTTTCCATGAGACATTCTCTGTAATACACAGATCAAAACAGTACAAATCCAAACACTAGCTTCCTGTGGTATTTACATCTTCTATCAAGATTCCCCCAAGGAGTAAATCGCCAAGGAACTAACAGACCAACGCCTCTATCCCGTTGTTAGTCTCCTGCCTGTTACGGCACTCTCTCCGACTATCCAAGGGTGATGGGTGGATCCGATTCGGACTTTCCCCGGTGGGGTTTCTCTGTCTCGTACAGGACTCCGTATGTTGGTATAGATGTGATATGCCACAGGGGTTATGAACAAATACATATACGGATGTACATGTACGTACGTGCTGTGTATGTAAGTAGCTGTGGCGCTGTACATGTACAGGTTGGGTTATTTTAATTAGTTATGTAGTCGAGCTTGAGTGACAGACTAAATTCATAGATAGTTAGACCTATACGTATGTGCATGAATACGATGCATGCACTTGTTACACCTCCGTAGTGGGGTGATAGTTTGTACTAACTGCTGAATACACATGGCCAAGTCTCCGGATATACAGAACAGGTGTTGACTGAGCAAAGACAATAGATAGAACACCCCTCCCTACCCTCACTGACCAAGTATGAATATGAAGATATTTAGACATGGACACAAGGCCAGAGAACAATTACTTAACAAAAACCGTAAAAAGTACCATCTTAAAGCAAGAAGGTCGTCATACCGCATCCTCCCTGTCATAATCCAAACCAGAGATAGATAGCGCCAATAACCCTTCTCGTGCCTCTGCATATGATTTACTATGCATGAGGAAGAAAACAGCAAGAGGATCAAACCACTGAACAGGCATGTACGGTGAATATGGTCAGGCCAATATCCGGCGCAACCGTGCCGTGGGACGCATCCGCCTACCCACTTTCCGGTCCGGTCCGGGACCCGCCCGCCTTGGTGCCTTGGTTCCATGAGGGCTGTTGATATCATGTTCGGATTATACTTACTGGGTTTGCTGGACGGATTGGGTGGCGATGGCCATTTCATTGTTTTGCTGCCAAATGTGATCCTCAAGTTGCATTTTGGTGGATTTGGGCGAAGGCGAGTAGATGGGTATATGAGAGCTCTTGGCGGAGTCTGCGTCTACACAATAGATGTGGATTGTCTGGTCCATTATGTGTTTTGACATGATGTTTGTGTTGCTGATCCTTTCTCTTCCAAAGGATATCATGCTTGTTTGGGCTTCCAGGTCCGTGGAAGTGTTGACTCTGGAACACGTCAGGCTACAACAGCTTAGCTTTACTTGTGCATCTTCTGTCCAGGAAGAACAATAATAAACAAATCAAGATAATTGCTCTCGACAGGATTAAATGTAGTAAATTACTTTCCAGGAAACCCTTCCTAACCACACAACCCCATATCCCCGTCCTTCCCTCGAATAACCAACTCAACCATCCGATCAAGATCCATGAAAAAGAACTACTCCTCTTCCTCCTCCACATTGAAAGTAAACCACTGCGCATCAACCTCCTCCGCCGGCTCTGCCAAATGCAAAACATCACCCGCCTCCAGCACCCAATTTTCCTGCCCCTGTCCAAAGTCCACCCCGACCCTGAACACCCCATTCTCGAAATCAGCATTATACGCCGTAAAAGAAGTTCCGTTGTCAGTCAATACGCATGCGGCATCTTCCGGGCTGCATTGGATGTATTTCTCGGTCTGGACGTGCTGGATTAGGACTTCGGTGTCCGAGTTCTCCTCGGGCAGCTGGAATTGCCATTCTTCTTGCTCGGCGGGGATTTCGCCGGGGGTGTAGAAGACGACGGATGGGGTTTCGGCGTCGCTGGGTGTTTCCGGGGCAGCGATGTAGTCGCTATTGCGGAGGCCGAGACGGAAGCTGGCTGAGTAGGCTTGGCCGGTGAGGGCTGCGAGGAGGGTGATTGCGAGGGTGGATTTCATTGTGGATGGTTTGAAATGGGGTGTAATGCTTTAGGTAGAAGTGACTGTTTATGATGTCTTGCTGGTTTCAAGGGTTGAGGTCTTGTTTTGGGGGGTTTGCACGGCAGTGATGGGACAGCAAGTGGTTGGTATTTATGTCTAATTAATTCTGAGTGGCATTCTTGACACAAACGAGATCAGCTGAGATGTGTCTTAACTTGATAAGGTTTGTTTTCATCGCTGGAATGTGAGGAGCTTAACAGTGAGTACACCGATGCCGGTCTGGATTTCCTTGCGCGTTCCTGCCTCATCCCTAGCTTGGATGTTCAAAAGGCTTAAACCTCATTACGAAGCAGCCACACATAACTCGTTGGTTCGTTCTAGCTAATGCACTTTAATCTCAAGTAGTCAATAGTATCTTGATTCCTGATGGCACGAAAAGATCAGAATATTGTGATAACGCACCATAGTGGACATTAAGGAAGGAAGTACAGTCACGATGTGATCTTCTACGCGCTGTATGTTCTACGAATATTGATGAGGATTATCTGAGGCCATGCAAGGGGCTCTCAAATCAATCAAACCAAGCAAGGTGGTGGCAGCTGCCATGCTTTGGAATGCTCTGGCACCCCTTCCGGGGTTCTGAGAGGGCATCAAGGGATGCAACAGCTTTTAATTCATATCCGCGATTGGTATAAGTTCGGACTCTTTCCAGAGCGTTAAAGAATCAAAGCGTCCAAAGGTTCTTTCTTAACCATATGATCAGAACTCTTTATCTCTACCTCCCGAACGAAATAATTGGCTTACACGGCCCGGGGAAACTTTCTAACCAACGAATACACCCTTTTCAGCATCAGCACTGTGATAGTCAAATAAGCTGTGGCATTTTCATGCAAGGCAGTCTGGGGATTCGCGTGAATCAGTTCCCTGCAGCAATTTGAATCATGTTTCAGACCTTGCGCGCTTATTAAACAGATGTGAAGAAGAGAGAATTCTAGATATATCCCACTCAAAGACATCGATGCAGGCATATTTACCAAAGACCCCGTAGCATACGAAAAGGCCCCGTAGCATACGAAAAGACCCCGTAGCATACGATTTCCCAAGGAGGAAGGTCCAAAGTATGGTGCTACTAATCCTCATAAGGCGCAAAAACACACTAATTCCTTGGAAAGAAACCCCAGTAATACAGCTAACTTAGACCGAGATTCGTTACTGTTTACTGGTGAATTCAAATCCCAGGTGATTGATACCAGGGTGGCGATCCTGCCAAAGTGGCCAAAAAGTAAAACACAATTCAGAGAGAACAAACCCCTGCACTACAGCACTGCACAATACCTATTCAAATACATAACCAACCAACAACGCCTAGAAACCAACACCCTTAGTGCCTTAAAATCGGCTAGATACAGAAGGATCTAGTCTACCCAGCTAACTCCTCCGTTGGTTGCAGGAGCAGGATGACGGATTCCTCGGCCCGCTGTCTCTTGTCTATCTTGGCTGGCCAAGGTGATCAGGACCAAACCCCGAGGTTACAATCCAAGACGCGCGAGTCAAGAAGGCAGAAGGCAGAAGGCGAAAGGATCGCCGGTCTACTCCGTAAGGCAACCGACTATTCCGCCGTAGTGGATGCAATCGTTATTGGTTTGCTCTCGTGCATCGGCGGCTAATGCGGGTTGCTGTGGTATTCGAATGATAGGGTTGATGTCAGTGGCGTTGGAGGGATTTCGTGTTCTGTAATCCCTGGCAACGAGAGTGTTGAGATGCGATTCTGTTGAGCATAATCGGGATAGGTGGATATGAAGAAAATTTAATACGGACAAAGGGCCAAAGGAAATGCAACCGAATAAGCTCCAGGCTTCGATCTCATTAAGAGTCCAACGGGACTAATTATGCAGAAACGATAGCATAACATGTGCAGGTTCCTGACCCTATCCGACACTTAACAATGTCATCTTACCAATGGCCAACTGTAGCTCGACTTCCACTCACAGAGTGTTTGCCAATTCAAAGTCATACCAAGACGTCATCACTGCTATCCACACGGGCCTCCATACAATGTCACGATCACTGATAACGGCGAGGGCGCTTTCCCGCACCGCTAGACGCACGAACCAAGTATCTCTTCTTCCTCAACATGCATGCCACGCATTCGATATAGAACACGCTGCGTGAGCAATAGCCGAGGGACTCATAGACAGAGTTATTTCCAACAAATCTGGTCTGACCCCAGTTCAAACAATCTTCACAGTAGGCTTTCTCGCAACCTGAACATGGGTACAACAGACCTCCCGCTTGCGCCGCCTTCTTGCCGCATTCCCAGCAAGAGTGATGAGGACAGACGACTTTGTTGATCGTCCATTCAAGTCGATCAATCTTCTGAAGGCATTCCTCGTGGAATGCACGTGGACAGACGGCGCAGTTGATGGGATTAGAACCGCGGCATGAAAAGCAGGTCTGAAAACGTTATCTAGCTGCTCGACTAACATGACGAAATTATTCGACTTACGAGTTCGTGAGACATTTTGGCAGCTGAGCTGCGCTCTTCCTCCTTCTCAGTGCTTGGGCTCTTACCACCCGGAGACAAGGGGGCACTGTCGATTATGCTGTCCTTTGCGACAGCGAACCCATCAATCATGACCGTGCGTTCTTTTCCGATCCTCCTGTCAGCGCGGCAGAGGTCCAGAGGGATAGTCTCTTTGTACACCGAAAATGACCTGCCGCTGGTGTCGACAGCCTCACCGTTAAAGATGTTGGTTCTGACGCGGGCGGATCGTTCCATCCATGCCCTTTCTTCATCGATTGTAATAGAGGTCTGAGGAATAGAGGACTGGGGATGCTCGTTCTCAGTAACCGCGCATAACTCGACAAGGTCTTTCCAGCCATATGTGTTCAGGTCTTTCAAGAATGAAGGTTTCACAGTGCTGGAAATCATGTCGCCAAACAGACCAGACAAAGTGTCGCGCAAGGCCGTTGAGCGATGCTGGTGCTGAAAGCCGTCACCAAATCCGATCGCCTTGACTGGGGTATACGGCTCGACATCCGTGTTCCCTGTGATTGTTTCTGCTAGATACGCCTTCTTGACCAAACGTCGCGTCATCTGCTCCTCGACTGTGCCCTTTGCTTGAATACGAAAGATCTGAACTGGCTGAGTCTGACCAATGCGGTGGACGCGTGATTCGGCCTGCTTCATTACCTGTGGGTTCCAGTCTTCGTCGAGGAACAATACAGTGGACGAGCTGATCAGATTCAGACCCTCGCCGCCGGCTCGGATGGAAACAAAGAATACCATGTACCGGGCATCATTCTGGAAAAGGTACATGGACAGGTTCCGCATGGCACTGGGTGTTCTTCCGTCCAGCCGAACGTGCTTCACATTTTGGCCATCGGCCACGATCATAGACAGGACATCTTCACAGAGGTTCAAGGCTTGCTCGAAGCCCGAGAAGATGACCACTTTCTTACGTTCTGTGATCACGAATTGTTGTAGAAACTTTCGCAGGACGACGAACTTTCCGGAATTTTCTACTATATGGCTGCCAAGTGCGTAATCTTCCGGTATCGCGTCGTCCAAGAGGTAAGGGTGAATCGAGCACTGGAAATTTTAGAACTGCAATTGAAGCTTGAATTTAGACCGGCGTACCTTTCGCAGTTCCATCAGGATGTTATCGAGAATGCGGATCTTTTGTTTCTCTGTTTTGTGTCCAAGCTGAGAGGTTGGTGGGACTGAGACGCCATTGCCAGTGTCTTCTTCGCATTCATCTAGGCCCTCCGCCTGCCTGAGTTTGTGGATACTGTTCATAAACGAAGATTTCTCTTCCCCGTCAAGGAGAGCCCCCGCACCGGTCAAGATTCTGAGATACCAAGAATGCTGTAAGGTCGACAGTGGGACTGAGATAATGGTCTCTGATTTGGGAGGTATATTGAGGTTCAGGGCCGGCGAATCTTTGTTTCGTCGAATCATTACCAAGTTCAGGAACCGTTTGATATCTTCGAGAAATGAGCGATCAAACCTGCCCTCATTCAATGAGAATGCATCGTTAAAGATATCTTCAGTTGATGGGACAAACACGTCGGGATACAACCAGTTGAAAATCGACCACAGTTCCCTAAGGTTGTTCTGGATAGGAGTTCTAAGGCAAGTCTTGTCAGTATAACCATAGAAGCATGATAGAGCTTGAATGACGTACCCAGTTAAGACTAACTTGAATTCCGCCCGCACTCGAGCTAACATCTGAGCCCGTTTGGAATGTCCATTCTTGATCCTGTGACCCTCGTCAAGCACAACGTACTTCCAGTAAAAGGCACGCTGGAACCAAACAATATCGGAAATGAGGGTCTCGTAAGACGTGATCACAATGTCAGCCGCAGCAGAAATGCCCTTTATAGAGTTTCTCTCCCGCCTGACGAGAGTCTTGATCTTCTCTCTTTCTTCAGCCGTGCCATGGAACTTGATCACCGTCAGTCCAGGAGTCCATTTCCGAATCTCGGTCAGCCAGGTCTTCATGACGCTCAAAGGGCAAACCACCAGAAAGGGAGCTGGCTCAGGGCTCATCAAATCGGCTTGTTCTTTCACATGCTGAAACAGTGCAAGTGTCTGGATGGTCTTTCCGAGTCCCATGTCATCCGCGAGGATACCGCCGATGCCGTTTTGTCGGAGGTAGACGAGGAAATCGAGTCCGTGACGTTGGTGAGGCTTGAGTATTGCTTGGACACTGGCGTATAGTCAGCCTCGGGAATCAATTACAGCGCTCTGATTTCTACTCACCCAGCAGGATGTCTAACTGGTCCGACCGGTACTAGGTTTGCGTTCTTGCCGCGGACAAGATTCGCAAAATGTTTTATATTGTTGTCTTCCCCGAGCAATGGAGTCACTAGCTCTTTGATTGCCGCAAAGAAACTGTGTCGTCTGTATTCGATCTCTTGGAATACATGCTCCGCGCTATGGAAGAGAGGAATCGATGGAAGTTCGTCTGGTTTGCCTGTCAGTCATCGTCGTATATCCTCTGGGAGATATGACACATACCATCGGATATCCGGTCTTTGAGGTCGTAATCTTCCGGCTGTAACGGCGAGCTAGGCGGCGTTTGAATGGATATAATCGGACTGCTTGGTGGAGTCGACAAAGGACTGGAACCTGGGGAGAATAAGGACTTCGAGTGGAATGAAGGGGTAGAGGGTGTTCGAGGAGAGCCGTAGGAGCTCGTCGGAGACCGCATCTTGTCTATTTGGATCCCAAGTCCGAGCGAAGTCTGTCTTGGTTTTCGAAGGGCTAGAGTAGAGCGTTGATGTTTCTCTAGAGGTGAAAGAGGGTAGAGCAGACTGAAGAGTAGGTAAAGCATCATTCCCACGATGTAGTGAACGGCCAAGTCTTGAAACACAGCAGTGTTGGCCCCCTGTAGGGGCCAGTGAATTCTCAAGCACTTGTGTTGAGACATTGGCGAGAAATGAAAACCACCGGTGATGCCAAGATATCTGAAGGTATGGGTCGAATTGTGTGAGACGGAGGTGTGCAGGGCATGGAAGTGAATTTATGGCTGAGGTGCAGCTGAGCAAGCCGGAGAGAGTGGAGTAACACAAGCAAAGTGTCAAAGCTTTATTCGGGATGAAGAGGTGCGTTGCTGAATGCAGTATTAGTAGGAGTCGACATTATAGGGTGCTGTTGGTTGGTGAGTTCTTGGGTTGGTTTGCTGTGTTCTGTGTTGGAATGAACGTGGAGTGAGAATGTGTTAAGTATTCACCACTTGTGACAAGAGAACTGCTTTGTTGCATGCATATGGTAGGGTTGTAGGTGTAGTGAACGGCTTGGTGTTACGCAAGGGACTGTTGGTAGAAAGAGAAGATGGATGATGGGAAAGAGAGAATCAGTTTAGCGATGAAAGGCGATGACCTCATCAAGTGGCATTCACTTTTCTGTTTCCAGGATGCCAAGTGAGTTGATAACAGTGATCTTGTCCCCCACAACTGTCATTTTTAGGCAGCTTGACCTTTCAAGCTGGTGCCGTAAGACCATCAATGTTTTGGGTTTGTTGGAAACTTTTGCTTGGTCAACATGGGATTATTTCAATTTCCATCGACTCGAGTCGGCTCACTTCTGGAGTAACACGCAGAAAGTTGTCGCCAAGGTTTGTAGTTCAGCCATACAAGTGGATGTGGGACGTCGTTCCGATAAGCTTTAACTTTATGCCTTCCCCAGACTCGTGTTGATTTAAGGTTGACTTTTCTGGGGCATGGCTTCAGTGAAGCCTTGATCCCGATGATGAACTCCAGATTAGGTTTCCGAGAAGATTGACTTCGTTTCCAAGACCTTGTCTTTGAATTTTCTTTTTCTGAATCAGGGGCCATTGTGCAGATTAGAGTTGCCTTTAAGATTAGCGTTGTCTCGGTGTCAGTCTCCTGGCTGAGACAGGTGTTAGGTGAGTAGCAAAAAGAACCGAAACAGCCCGTAGAAGTCTTACATGAATTCGTTAGTAGGAAGCCTAATCAAAATATACAGGTTGTCCTTTTATATTAGCTGTAAATCCAAGATGATCTGATTCGTCGCCTTGAGAGGAAAGCCTTTCAGTCTCCCACACCGTAGCTGTCACCCCTCGATTGCTTAATGATAATGACGTCTTGGAAGTCCGAGGATTCAATGAGCAGATGCCTCTTGAAAATGTCAAGAAAAGGAAGTCTAGATCTAGCAAAGCGTCAACGAAGTAATTTATAGTCCCATCTTCTTGGTTGACACCCTGCTCTTGTCCTGAGGGAGGCTTTCCAAGGAGGTTTAGGCAGAATCAACGTTAGCCCAAAGCACTCTGTCTTGTTATCTAGATATCAATATATTTCTCGGTTAGAGATCATCACAAAGGAATTTGTCTTGAGGACTACGGTTGAATATTTCACGAAGTTTAGCCACTGAGGGTTTTAAGAAGTTGAAAGTCGATTCCCCGTATGTTCGCGATGTACTCACTGAGAAAGGCATATGGAAGCAGTTCATCCTAAAGAAAATCGTGCAGACCTGGCCAGAGAGCAGGCTCTGTTTTTTTTATAGTATCATGGAAGTCAGGGACGACTTCTTGATCACATAGACCTTAGGAAGGTATGCTAATGCTAGTTAACACATTTGGCACACATCCTTCCACGAACATCGACCTTAAGAGAGCAGAGTTTGGAGATATTTTCAGGGCTTCCATAAATGATCTATCGGGAAGTTTTAGAATACTAAGTTAACCGGTCATTTTTGGTATTGCCCGATGTAATATTGTCGGGGGAAGGTGGATTATAGTCGCCTCAGGGCAAATATATAAAGCGATCTTCCTGACGTTTTGCCGAAGATACCATTTTGTGCTACCTAATGACTGGATTCCTACTAACTTCGCATGCCCTTTTCAACTACTAAAACGGAAAATATTAGTCTCTTCCATTTGTTACAGCTTTGAGTCTTAATAACCGGTCGGCGTTCTATCCTACATGAGACATTGACCGGGAATTAGGGCAGCCCGACCATGTGATCCTTCCTTATCGCGATAACAAATTTCTCCAACTCCGACATCATCGCAATTCTCCCCTCTCCAATAATCAACCCTCCTCTGTCCTTTCCAAACCCATGACCCCTTAACAACTACAACTACATTCTGAACAACAACTCCTCTCCCTAAAAATGTCCACCCCAACAACAGCAACAACACCAAAACCCCGCAAAACCCACATCGCCGAAACGCTCCTCTCCCGCGCGCACTCCCCAGACACAGCCTCCGACCTCTTCACCGACCGCATAAAACAAAAGCCCCTCTACCTACGCCCTACATCGCCCACCCCGGCCGATAACCGCAACCGTCGTCGCCACCACCGACTCCGCAAGAAAGAATACTTCCTGCGCAAACAGAAGCCCCGGGCGCTGTCGGCACGCGAGAAGCGCGCGTCAGGTATCTTCGACCTTCCTGCGGAAGAGTGCAAATATGCGGTGTTTAAGGGTCTGCATGAGCTTTGGGTCGGGTATATGCAGGAGATATTGGATTTAAAGGAGGAAGGGGGTGGTGGTGCGAGGAGGGATGCCGGGGCGGTTACGCCGCTGTCGCATGGGAGTAAGTTGGCGAGTGCGGATTTTCATGGCGCAGAGGTGCAGGTGGTTCGGAGTCGGAGTCAGGGGAGGGTGGGTATGAAGGGGATTGTGGTGAGGGATACGAAGTTTACGTTTGTGATTGTTATGGAGGGGGATGTGGTTAAGAGTGAGTTTTTGTGTTGTTCTTATCTCCTTTTCTTTCCATATAGGAGCACTGTTCTTGCGGGTGATTTGGACCGAGGGAGATTTTTGCGATCATAGGTTGACTAACGATTTATGTACAGCCATCCCGAAAGAACAGACGATATTTCGGTTTACGGTGCCGTTGCCAGGGTCGCAGTCGCAGTCTGGCGCCCCCGAGCCCGACACCCAGAAGAATGAACCCAGCGCCGAAAAGAAGGAGCTCACGTTTGAATTGCACGGAAGCCAATTCCTGAACCGACCTGTCGATCGCGCAAATAAGAAGTTCAAATGGCGCAATGTGGAGTATCTTTGAGTGACTCGCGGTCGTTCACGTTCAGTTGCTATTGGATGATGAGAACATCTTGATCCTTACGAGGATACAGAGACGAGTTTTTCCATGCTATCATAGAAAGACCAAGGGAAAATGACACTGCAGGGTCACACATTTGATCTTCTCAGGCTCGGGCCGACATACTCTGTATGGTGTATGTGCCGAACAGAGCGCGCCTGGTATGAGCCTTGAGCGCTGAGCAGAGTGGCACTGGTCGTGACAGTTTGTGCCTGAACAGCTTTTCCTACTGGGAACTCGCTTATTTCGTCGGCAAGCCTGCCTGATAGCCACTGGCAACAAGCCAGATAGCATCCCACATACCTACCGCGCCATCGACGCTTCCTCCTCAAGCGGTCACTACTGATTGTGCGGATAATTTTCAAGATGATTCTTAAAGCCATAACAAACCCGATAGGCCGTTTGTTGTATATTCTAGATACAAATTATATTCTTCATATTTGGTACGGAAAGTCCAGAATAAGCCATTCTTCGTGCAATGCGGATGTGGCACCCGGAAGTATGTCTTAGACAGATAGTAGCAACTGGCGAAGCAGATCAGCCTAGCCACGTCGGGCTGAACTATCCAATCCTGTGACTCGAAGCGACAGGGACCCTCATAGGCGGTGGCGCTTGATGTATCACGCCTGATAACCGCACCGGGGAGCGCCGTGATCGTAACTCATGCGTTTCGTCTTCATTGCCATGACACGAGTCCCTAAGGGAGTAGGCCGTGGCAGGAAAAATGTGCGGATATGATACTCTAACGGAGTGACAGGCTGCAGGTAACCCAAACTCAAGTATACCTTGGCCTCATCTCACATTCCAGCCCACTCAAGACTGAAGGTCCTGACATTGTCACTCTCCCCATCAAGTGCATTATCCTTCTTCTCAGCACCGCCGATGAGGAACCCTTTCTTGACACCAGTACCCAGACGGCCACCAGCAACAAGGTCCATCAAGTCAAACTCCTGGTCCCATTCCGTGGAGACGACCAAGAAGTGGGAATGGAAGCGCAAAGAATCACCCGGGTAGGCAAGGTACTGACAACCGAATCGAAGACCCGGGGAGAGGAAGTACCCCTCCGAATGTAGATGAGCAAACAAGGGATAGGACGAAGGCACTTGTGGAAGCGGCATTAAATGCTCAGCAGCCGGCTTCGACGGAAGCGGTGGGTAGGATGTCGGAGGAGTTATTCCCAGGGCAAGATCGGGAGTGCTTGAAACATTTGACGAGGTCTCACTAGGTTCGGACTTTTGATTATCGGCAAAGAAATCAACAATTGGCTCCTCAGGTTTATCACCGGCAGAAGCTTTCTCAGCGGCCTTCTTCGCCTTCTTGGCAGCTATTTTCTGCAGGGACTGCTCTCTTTGTTGTTCTTTGCGACTATTCTGCAGCTGCATGGCTTTGAGACCTTGGGATTCTAGATCATGCAGGTACTTCTTGCGGTCTTCTTCCATGAGGGCCTTCATTCCCTGCTTCTGAGCGTTTACCTCGTCTACAATGCAAGCTACACCTTTCTCCACCAGTAACCTTGCCTCCTCGGGCATCAGCTCCAGGGGTAACCCCAAGAAGACATTTTGCTGGGGGATCTGCGGCAGAGTGCCGGACAGGACTCCGCAAACATGATGCTCCCGTCTCAAATACGTGACAGCATCAATGGAGAAGAGAAAGTATTTCCCGGCGATATACGAGATCGGAATAGGAAGGGAGGGCTCCGAATTCATTTTAAAGGGGACACGAGGTCAAAGACTAGTAGCAAATCTGTAACCATGATCGACGTTAGCTTGAGCTTCACAAATATAGCTTTCACATCAAGACCAGGAATATAATGCAAATCATTTTCAATACGTTTCTCAATCACGTATGCTCGTTATGGAGATATATAAATGAGCTTCAGGGGATTGACAGATTATAGTAGTTATATAATCATGCAAGAGCTGGTACATCAAGACAAAAGGAAAAATGCAAGCTTACCATTAAGTACAAGGCGACATCACAGGATAAAAAAAGCTCTGGATTGTCGAGCAAACCAAGAGCTGGTGTCGATTGAGATGATGAAGGTGAAAGAGGAAGAGAAAATTCGGTGGGCGAAGCTGAAGAAAAAGAAGCCCTGGCGGGCCGGCGCTATGCCTCTTTGGACGGGTCATCTGCACGGATCAACTGGCTGCCTGAGGCAACACGAGCGGAGCTACGGGAAGAAGACCGTCTGAACCTGGATGTTATTTCACACCTTCTATCTACTCCCAGCTCGACAGCAGCCTTTGCAGCCGCCATGAACTTCTTTCTGTTGCTCTTCCTAGTGTTCTTTGCACCTGTTCTACTACTCTTGGGTAGGTAGCTTTGACCCCATCCAATACCGCGAGTGTTTGGTTAACCCTGTCGACCAGTGTGGCTGGCGTTATCGTCGTGTCTCGGAAGTCGGTTTCGCTCCCAATTCCCCAGAATGAGACCCGACTCCGACGCATATGGAAGGGATTACCTTCGCACGATGGCCTCGTCTGGGCCTGCGATGTCCGAACAAATCGAGCTCGAGAACCTGGTGGAATCTGACCGCGAAGAATGATCGATGCCTTTTTCTACATTCGTAATGGCGTTTCTTTCAGAATTCAGAACTCGAGATCCGCTTTCTTCGGCATTCCGCCCGCTGCACCTCCGTCCTGCGCTTCCTTGTCTCCTTCAGCCGGCGGTAGACTGAACGGTTTAACCTCGAACCTTTTCCGACTCAATGTAAACGCCCAGTCCTGGCCAATGTTTTGATCGCTTCCTCCGCCACGTTCATGTAGCACGGGCAACCGGTGTACCTTGAGCATGCCCTGCGGTGGTTCCTCATGCGCTGTCGCAGCTCCCGAAGTCGCAAGGGCGTCTGCCGAATGAGGGAAAGGACACAACTCGATAACTCCGTCGCTCAATAGTTCCATCCATCGGACAAGACCGGAAGATCGCGGGAACAAGGATAGCGGGATTGTGATCATGGCTGTCGCGCGCACTGTGGGTGAGCTCAACAGAGCTTTGAGGGAATGAAGGAAAGGCAAGAGATTCTCAGGCTGGCAGACTTCCGGCGGGTATATCGTGGGATTGAGCAAGGACGGCAGGATAATGCGGTGAACAGTGTTGGGCGGACTCTGGGCGATGGCAGCCTGGAGACGCTTGTGAACTGAGACAAACAAGGGTTCATTGGACGGCGCTAGCGGGATATAGGTGATGTTTGTGATACCCGGATGGGTCAGACGCTTGGTGAGATCGAAGGCGTGGCAAAATGCCGGCTGCTCGGCCTGACTTCCGTTCTGTGCTTGACTTTGATCCCCCGAAGGCGCAGCAGGGGCTGTTCCCGTTAGTACAAAGGCCTTTCGCCAAACCATTGGGATGAGTGTGATCCATACCTCTTGATCCGGCCACTCCAGTCCCAAATTCGCCCAATCGTTCATATCTCCAGGCAATCTTCATCCGCTCCCCTTTGCGTTTATCCTGCTTATCATCGGCGGCCTCTGCAGGCCCAATCAGACCCGGGAGACTTCTACCCCATTGCTCGGGCATTCCGACAACGTGAACTTTCTGATCCTGCACAACACCTTCCGCCGCATAATATCGTAGCAATGCGCCCGCGAAATCCGTAGTCCCGTTCTCCTCGATCAATAATGTCTTTCCTATCGGAAGACCACCATGTCCAGCGAGAAGATTATCCAGCGATGGCGCGCCTGTCGAAGTAGTTGGTCGTCCATCGTCGGGCGAGGGTCGAATACCGGGACTCGATTCCGGCGTATTTGCGGCTTGCTGCGGAGGCGCGGCGGGATTCTGACGATCCGCGCCGGTCGAAAGACCTATATTTCTCTTGCGAAAGGACATTTTGAACTCTTGTTCACGAATTGGAAAGTTGACAGTCTCGCGATACTTTTTGTCTTTTTTTCCAGGATGTGCTGCGGGGCAGGCGGGCGGCGGACTTTCCTGCGGGCGGCAGTAAAAGCGGCGGTGAGCCAAAAAGCAAGCAGAAAAAAAAGCTGCGGCTTTGTCTTTTCCTTTCCCCGTTCCCAGCATCAATCAATCTCTTGTCCACCACTCTCTCCGACCTAGCCATCGTTACGGCGTCCATTTCCTCCCTCATTTAGCGCCTCTCTGCCGGACGGACTCTCCTTACCTTCTTAACACACCCACCCGATCGATTCACTAAATCCATACACTCCGCGGTCGCAACCATGTCGGACCCACTCCTCTTCGAAGACACCTTCACGATCACCGGGATCAACTCGCAGAAATACGACCGCGTTGCCCGACTGACCTGCACCTCGTCCGACACGGCCACCAGCTTCACGCTCGATGTCAACTCCGAACTGTACCCCTGTGTGGTCGGCGAGTCCGTATCGATGGCTCTGGCGTCGACGCTCTCCCTCGACGGTAAGGAAGACAGCGGCACAAAGACGGGCTGGAGGGATGTCGGAATGGGCGAGCAGACCCTGGCCAACGACTACGACTATGTCTGCCACGGTAAGGTCTATCGGTTTGAGGAGGGTTCGACGGCCGGAAATATGTAAGTTTGGACTGCACTGCACCGTGGTGGTTGGCGCGGAGGGCGCATTTCGTCCCTCCCCATTCCATCCTCGTGAAAAAGGAAATGTGAGCTGTGCTGATTCATTCCGCCTCGGTTGATATAGGGCCGTGTTCATTTCCTTCGGTGGATTGTTGCTTTACCTTGAAGGACCCTACAAGAAGCTGGCGCCTTTGAGAATCGACTACGTGTATCTGCTCATGAAGAAATAGAAAGGCAAATGTCCGTGCTGCTGTGAATAATCCGTTATATTCGATACTTGGACATCTATGAAAACTGCCCTCTTTTGAAGATCCTGGTCCCTGGGACCATACCAAACAAAAGGCCCTCCCGAAAGACAAAAACAAGAAACAAAGTGCACATTGGTTGGATGATTTGGTTGCAGCGTCGGCGTTCGATTGGTGACTGGCTGGGTAAACACAAAAAAAAAACCCATGAAATAGAATATCAAATCTTTCTCTTAAAATGCGAATCCGCTGTACGGTGATAATGTATCGTCGCGAAGGGTAGCTGTAGCTCATTTCACAAAGTGAGATGCCGTGGGAAACTCCAACCGGCGATGCATCTTCGCTACGATCTCCAGAAAATCAGGCTCGTTTTCGGCCGTCAGAATGCCGTGGCGGATGAAGAAATCGATCAACACCACCGCGCAATTCGGCTTGAACTCGCCATTCGCCAACGCCTTCTTCGTCTCGTCCACCGTGTATAGATAAAACGCCTCGACCTCATCATCGCAGGGCTTGGGAACAACCTCCGTCCCGAGCTTGATATCGTAAACGTACTCCACCTCAGGCTGCGAGAGATCTGTTTCCCCGCCCGCGCGCGGGTCCCGCACATAGATATACGAGACACATCCGGCGGCCGTCGCGTTCGCCCGGACAACGTCCTCCGGCAGGGACGCCTCCTCCATGGCCTCGCGCACCAGACACTCGTACGGTTTCTCGCCGGTGCTCATCCCGCCCGCCACGGTATTATCCAACATGGCGGGATACGTCTGCTTGGTGCGCGAGCGTCTGGGCACCCAGATCCGGAGGCCCTGCTCATCCTCCACATAGCAGGTACAGTGAATGCCGTACGATACGATGCCGAACAGCGGACTCGCGGAGCGCTCCATCTCGAGCAGGAACTGGCCCCCCGGGCCGAACACGGGGTACATCTCGTTGCGCCAACCCTTGAGGATCTGGAAGGTGTCGCGCTTGACGGCCTCGTCGAGTGTCTTGGCGACGAGCTGTGTGCGTTGGGCTGGGGTCGCGTCGACTGGCGTGGTCAGGGTAACGGTTTGCTGGGTTGAGTCCACGGCCCAGCTGTCTTCGGGCCAGTAGAATTTCTCCGCGACGGACTTGACGATGTATCCGAGAACAGCATCGCAGCCGTTTACGCGGAATTGGTAGAAATTTTTCATGTGGGTGGCGTAGAAGGCTGGGTCATCTTGGTGGTATGGAAATCTATTTGGGGGTGTCAATGGGATTAGATAGGTAAATGGCTTCACATGGAGAGGAGGGGTGACAGGGATAGAGAGAAGAGAGAGTTACTTGTCGCATTCGTTGATCAGGTCGAGATTCGACTTCACCATCTTGTCGGTATATGAGCGAGAGAGAGGAATTGAAAAGAAAAAGAGAGAGAGAATGCAAATGCTGGGACCCTATGGACAGCGCAATATATACAGAAGTAAATCCATCTGCACCCCTCCAGCCGCAACGGGAAGGACGCCTTGCCGCTCAGGCCCACCAACCCTTATCGATAAGGGCATTTCCATTTCGTCACTGCCGGCTTTCTTTCTGCCGGATTCCATCATCGAAATTCTAGATAGCTTCCCGGCCTTTATTGCTGCTCGTCTGCTTCTTATACCTTTCACGCTAAATCGCCTTGGCTATAGACCTTTGACACTACCATATTCCTCCTACACTATACGCAATATATGCCATTGAGTCGACTCGCATTCCTCTGATCTCCTTTCTTCCCCTCCACCCCCTCTTTCTCCCCGCCTGACAGAAAATCTCCGCCATGTTCTCCGTCATCGTCCCTGGCAGACCCTGTCTCACCGACATCGTCGCAGTCGACGCACAGCCCAACGGCCAAGCCACCAAGTTCGCCTTCACCTTCCCCCTGGAGCCTTCCTTTACGGAACTCGTCGTGTTCTTCCTCCCCGGCACCGTCCTGCCCCAGGACAGCGCAGCCGCCATCTACGTGCAATTCCCCGACGCCAACCCTCCGCCCACAGGGCCCGAGTTCCGTTTCATCGGCGCGCTCGCGAACGAGAAGCCCTCATCCGTTTTCAAAGTGCAGCCGCCGCCGTCGCAGCCCCGTCGCACAGAGGCCCAGGAGGAAGACGAGATGCTGGACGCAGGCGCAGCGGGTACGGCAGGGGGCGCAGCACCGGGCACGACAGGAATGGTGACGTTAGGGATTTCGATCGAGCCGGTGCAGACGGTTGCGCCGCAGCTGGCTGCGCTGGAGGCGGAGAGCTCGGGCGCGGGCCCGTCAACAGACCTTGTGCGACAGACGAGGCAGCAGAAAGAGGTGACGACGAAGGTGCTGGCGCAGCGCATCATCGGCAATGCGTTCAACTTCCTGGCGAGCTTTGCGTCGTCAGATCAGGATGTCGTGCCGCTGAAGTCGTTCCGCGATTGGTGGGCGAAGTTTGAGCGCAAGATTGATATGGATCCGACGTTTCTGGAACGTGAGGATCCCAGTGCGTCCGGGTGATGGGTTGTCGACCGAGGACTATTTGGGCTCGTTATAGGTGTACTTTGTGGGATTTTGGATGTCCCGATGCATTTGTGGGTATATTTTGTTTGGTTTGGCTCGTTGCACTGTATACTTTGTTTCATTCTGTCTGTCATCTCGTTTGTTGCCTGTCCCGGAAATGAGCTTTGAAGCGCAAGCATCATAGGAGCATTTATGGTATATACATCTAAAGCGTTATCTCATCTATATAATTCATCAATCTATCGCCTAAACACGTAAATCAGGACAGAGGCGGCAGATTATTATATACATCCTTGCCGCTATCCGTTGTCCTCTGTTGGACTGTTCAACGCCCTGGCCTATAGCCTATTCCTCAAGCAAAAAGTTCAAAAAGGTCGCACCAATCGCAACCCCGTCATGCTCATTCTTCGCTCTCTCCAAGGCGTCCTCGGCCTGCTCCTTGGAGAAAACCCCCGCCTTGCCCCGCAGTGTGACAATCTCGGTGACGATCTCCTCGGTGAACTCGGGATGGCCCTGGACGGTGACAAACCGACCGGGCAGATACATGCCCTGCACCGCACATCGGGGTGATGAGCCCAGAGAAATGACACCAGGGGGGAATTCCGAGACGATATCCTGATGCATTTGTTGGATGCGCTAAATTTGGAAGACACGCATTGTCAGCTCATTCGCCCACGGTAATATGAGACAAGGGATGGGGTCTCGGTCTTTACGAGTTTGTCCTTGCCAAACAGCTTCTTGCCCTGCTCGGTCAGGTCCATGTCGCAAACGGCAATTTCCCAGCCGGCATCACTCCGACCGACCTTGACTCCTAGCGCACGTCCGATGATCTGATGCCCGAAGCAGATTCCCAGAATCTTGATGCGGTTATCTTGAAGAGCGGATTTGGTGTATTCGACAAGCTTGAGGATCCAGGGATCGCTGTCATAGGAGTTGTGTTCTGGGATGGCCTATTAGCTTGGAGTCTGGAAGCCACGCCACACGCGAGGTCAGAAAGCACCCACTCGATCCCGTCAACAGAAGCGCATCTACATCCTCTGGGTTGGGGTACTCTTGAGCGGTCACCACGTCCCAGCGCGTGAGTTCGAGACCAGAGGCCGGGTCCAGCCGGTCTGGTCGATCCAAAGCTTCGGCACTGGCGCGGAGGAGCGATGAGAAGACCCCAAAGTAGCCGCCATATTTCGTGTTGATTTTATCTACTGGGGTGTCGCATTCCAAGATGGCAATTCGGAGAGGGGCCATAGTGAGACAATGGGAAGGAAAGAACGGTGTACAGCCAACGCACTCCCGTATCCGAACCGGTAACGTGGAAGGTGTGAATCATTCGGAATACTTCGCCTCTTTATCGAGAGTAATTCGGAGGCGATCGCTGATCAGCCCCGCCACTGCCCTGGTTAGTCATCACGCAACTACATGCCCCGTCTCAGTGACGACCAGTGCAAGTCTGACAACTTCACCGCTCAATCTGTTGGGGTATTTGTTTCATCTGCATGGCGGCCGTCTATTTGCCTTGCTACTTGGGCCCTGGAAGTGAGATGAGGCTTACCTACCTGATGGAGGGCCTTGCCTTGTTAGCCCGCTTCATCAGCCCTAAAGAATTGACTACTCGCAGGCATGCCCACACGTTCCCCTGATCTGCAATGTAGCCTTGGCTGCAATATGACAGGAACGTCAAACTAGTTGCTTTGTGTCTTTATCTACCTTCTCCGTCTATCAAAAAGCTCTTTCTAGCGGTTCACCGGCAGAGAAGGTCCTAAGATGTGATTTTCCCGCTCACCGAAGGAGGTTCTCATCCCATCTTCATCATTGAATGGGCATGTTTCTGCGAGAAATACGTATCCTTCGTTTCCCTTCAACTGGTCTCGGGAATTCAATGTGTCGGAACAATTTCGTTGGGTTGCATGACTATATCGGTCTGTATTATACTCCTAAATCAACCGGGGTCTCACACACGGATGGACTGACCTTGCCCTTGCTTAGCGATGTCAAGCCCCGAAAGACTGAAGTGAACTCAGCTCCCTGGAAGTCGAACTGCAAGTCCGACAAGAAACGCCGTATTTCAGCAAGGATAGAGGTCTTGGCGCTTCGTATACACAGGATAGCAAGCGTTTAGGTGGGCGGATGTTACATCCGCTTTCGCCTGCTAGATGTGAGATGGTCTCACCCATATTGACCAGATGTCATTTACCGATCGTTTTCCCCATCTTCTTCCCAATGATGCTCGCTGGATGCTCTTTCGATCTCAGAGACGACATAGGTATGGCATAGGGCCAAAGCCATCTGACTAACGCCGGAAAGTCTACGTGGCTCGGTGACTTTTCAATTGCCTCCGATCCGATCGACTCAATCTAGGTTTTCCCTGGTCGGGATCCCAGAGACGTGTATCCCACGGCGAGACATAGCGAGACCTCCAACCAAAAGCTCTCAATCAAAATGGCTAGAATAAGAAACAGGTGAGCACATCAGTCCCAAATTGGAGAGCTTGTCCAAAAGCAAGACGTACACACTAATTCAATCTCGTTGAAACATTCGTCAGTGGAGGTGGTGATTCATGAAGCGGTGTAGATGACGGAGTGAAGTTGAGACATCAAGAACTCAACCCGGTTTACCATTCGTGATGACTATCTTCCAATGAGACACCCGTCCGATCTATTACACCTTGGATGAATCATTGGAGTCAAAACCTCGTGAAGCTAACAAGAAAAAGAGCGGTCAACTCGTTCAAGTCTAGAAGTCACTCGTGAGGGTGGAGGTTCTGGAAGACAAGTAAAGTTTGAAGGGCCATCACACCAAGCCATGTCTGCCACGAGATCGGGCATGAACAGACACTGAAATATCGCACAGGAAACGAGAAACATAACGAGAGCTTGGTGCTCCAGATAATTTTTATAAAGCCAAGGTCGAGCTCGCGGAACTATCCAGGAATCAACAGTGAACAATCATCTCATATAATACCATGCACACTTTCACATCTGTCCGTACTTCCTTTACAAACATGCCACTCCACGCTATCATAAATGAGTTGGCGAAAGACCTCCAGGTACTTTACAAGTACCAAAAATTTAAAACCAAAAACGAGGCAACGCGCAACGCGTTCGAACACTTACCAGATCTTGCGAGGGTGAGGGTGGCCCTTGTAGGGCATGACGCCCTTACGGGGTCGAGGATATCGAGTGAGGAACCTCAAGTAGAATACCCGAACCCCCACCTGAACGCGGTCAAATGCTGACAGCTTCCCATAGACCATCGATATCCTCGTCGAAATTGAGGGATCAACACGACCCCTCGAAGAGGCTATGCATCGAATTCGCTCTAAATATGCTACATATGCACCGGGACACTCCAAACTCTCGCACGGCGGCAGAAGGACGCGGATTCGTTTTGTGCCGTACAAATCGGTCCTGCCACCGGACCAGAATGGTAACGTCGACTTCCCCGCGAAAGGAGACTATATACCAAACCTCCAAGGCACAATCCCTCAAGCCTCAGTTCCAAGAAGAACCTCAACAAGCATCCATCGTGAATATCAAGAGACGGGAGAGGCAGAAGTTCGCCAGGAATTTTCGCAGGCTCGGTACCTGGCAGTGGCCACCCCGAAATCATCCCTGGCTTCCTCTATATCACACGCGCTTACTATCGCTCCGCTTGCAGATCCCTCCGTTACCACCACTCCTATTCACGTCCTATCTAATCTCTCTAAGTCCCCGGCCTTTGCCGGTGGCCCCAGTCGTGGCTCCTACCGTGGCTCCTACCGTGGCTCCTACCGTGGCTCCTACCGTGGCTCCTACCGTGGCTCCTACCGTGGCTCCTACCGTGGCTCCTACCGTGGCTCCTACCGTGGCTCCGCCTGTGCATCTAGCCGTGCGCCTTCTTCCGACTCAGGTCGCACCTCTACACGGACCTCTGCGCCTGCCCTCTCTCCCCCCTTCTACAGAGACATACTTGTTGCCGCCTTTGTATTCTCTACTTGTTTATTTGTAGGGTTTCTACTCAGTCTAAGGAAGAACGGGAAAGGTGTTGAAGACTTGGTGAGCAACCGCGGTGACGTGATTATAAATATCTCAACTGGGTAGAACTTCATACTTTCGGTTTTTTCTTTGGGTTCTCAACCTTTGTACTTTTTCTTTTTCTTTCTTTTCTTTTTTTTTTATTTTGCAATCCTGTTTCAAATGTTTTTTTTGTCATCTTCTATCTTCTCTTTGTATATTTTCTCCCATATCCAAGCTACCTAAGGAAGGTCAATTTTCTAGGTAGCCAAAAGAGCGCGCTAAAGAGATGTTGAGAACTCCCCGTGTGACTTGGTGAGCCCCAACTAATGATTGAGTCAAGTAGGCGATCTAAAACTAGAATCCTGGTTTGTAGGTCCATGACTCCGGCATCTTTGGGAGCTTTCCCTCTTTAGCGAGCTTTTTGCCCAACCTCTTTGTACGCTTGTGATACTCATCGTAATCTTCCGCTTCAGTCGCAGCATTGTAACACATCCACAACGGCTTGATATATTCATCGAAGCGATCGAAATTGGTGATATCCAGGAGGGGGTCATCTTTAAGAAGCGGGACCGACTCGTGGATCCATGGCAAGACACAGTTGGACTTTGCGGACGATAGGTCGGCATCTGGGCCCAACAGCTCACTGTCTCGGGCATGTTGATAGATGAGAGATTCCACATAGGCAGTAGGAGTCAGCATTAGGACCGGCGGGTCTATCGGGCTGAAGCGGGTTTGACGGTACGGTGGGTAACCGGGCAGCCCAGGATCACTTGCCAGCATGTATTGGGACCCATAATAGCCCTTATCCGCTAGCAGGATTGAATTGGATGGCAACCACCATAGATATTGAGACTGCAAAAATAGACCGATGTGCAGGAGGTGGTCATGTCCCGTCTCTTTATCTTGAGCGGTGCCTCGATACCAAAATCTGTAATTAGGTTGGCGGTTACAGCATAAAAATGTCTTTAGGCTCTCGTAATCCAACTCCTCCTGGGTCTCGTCAATCTGGGTGTCGTCGGGCCCCAAGGCGCGCAGCACCTCAATCGCTTTATCCATATACTCATCCGGAATGAGAAATTCAACGTCCTTATTTTCCCCTTCTTCTCGTCCTAGCAGTTCCAGGTACCGTCCGATCCCATATAAGACGCAAGGAACGCCATTCGATCGAAGGATATGTGAAACATCGGTCGCAGGCTTAACTAAACCATCTTCCTTCTTGTAATGATACTTGGGAAGTTGAAGAGGCATTTTGATAGCGTAAACTCTTGCAGAGTGGAACTGTTCTCAATTCTTTGGGAAGAGAGGATAGGATTGGTTTGGATTGTAGACGGAGAGCACAGGAGCATGCAGGTCTATTTATACCTCATCCTCTGTCAAGGCCTCTGTAGTGAATGTTGGAAAAAATAGTAAGAAGCTGCTTTTAAGTGAGAATCTCCCCCAGAATGTCACAAAGAGACCTATCAAGCTTTTAAAGCATCATAGTTATAGCTTAGTTCTCACAGCACGGACTCTAAGAGGACCGGATGAACACAAAGAATCCGAACGCATCAGGTTAGGCATTCTTGGGTCGCACACAATGAATTATATTGTATATTCCTGCATTCAGTCCTCTCTCGTTGGACCTTCCCTCTAGAGTCCGGATTCCCAAGCATACCCAATTGTTATGAGAGACTGGGTCAAGTCTTTGAGCCCGGCCGAGTCCACACATGCGCCTGAATTAATTGTTCAAGTGCAAGTGGAATCAGGCTCGCCAATGAATTTAATATGTAACTTTCCAAGTCTAGGAAGCAGGTCTCTCGGAGTTCTCAAGCCATTGCCGGGTAGAGCTTCTTTGTCTGTTTTGCCTTCTTCATCTTCCCCCCATTTCTTCTGATTTATTGCATCCCACCTTGCGAATAAATGGATCTAAATCAACTTCCCGTCTATACATACCTCTTTACTTTGAATCTTTCGTTTTATGTCATTCATCGAAACAAAAGAATACCTTATGCATATCATTCTCCGCTTCTCAACACGAGGAAAACACGGTTTTCAAAGAAGATTAGAGTTTTGGAACCAGTCCATCCCATTGCCATCGTATGTTCCCAGCGAAACAAATGCTGGAGCTCTGCCTGAGGCTCTCCACAGATATAGATCAGGACAGTGCAGGATCACGTGGAGTGAGTCTGGCCGGAGGAAGGCCGAATTCTCATCACGAGTCGACCTTCTTCATTTAATTTCTCTCCAAGATTTGTCTGAGCACCAGACATCACGAGAAGTCGAAGAGAATTTCTTGCCACTTCATCAAACCATCTAATCTAGAGAATCATGATACCAGGTGGATTCTTTCCCGCAGAACTGGTCGATTCCCACTCCGGCCATGCTCCGTAGGGCCAGTGTATCTCTAGTGCGAGGCGAACCGAGTCACGGCGGACCAGCCCGAACGTTCAAGACCTTTTAATCCCCACACAATTTAACCGACACCATCATGATTGGCCCTTGGCGATTGCTACAGTCTTGGGGCTGTCGACGATCTGTCATAGTAACATGGAAAATAGCACGCTATCGCGAGATACTCCTAAGCACGCAATTTGTCGCATGGATGAGGCCTTGACCAGCAGAAAATTCAAAAGAAGGACAAAGGCAATATAACAATCATGGGTACTCCTTGCCGAAGATTTGGATCCTTCAACCGTCGGCCACCACGCGAAATCCATCCCGAGGATCGCTCTATCAGTCTATCCGGCCCAAAAGATTAAGGTTCGTCATGGCTGGCCAACAAGCTTCCGTCTCGGTCTCATCCGACAATGCGCCGGAACACAATGAAAAGAAAGTATGGTATCACAGCACGCTTTTCAATGCATTTATCATCGGAGGAGTGGGCTTTATGGCCCCGGGTCTGTGGAATGCCATGAATTCCTTGGGTGCGGGCGGTGCGCAATCGCCGTATTTGATTAATGCCGCCAATGCGCTGGTGTTTGGTCTCAGTAAGTCTCGGTGAAGCTTCTGATTCGGCTTCTATTGCACTCAATGCTCTACGCAAACGTTTGAAACCGGACTAATGTGCTTTTGTTAGTGGGCTTTCTATGTCTTTTTGGCGGCCCCATAGCGAATCGGATTGGATTGAACTGGACACTTCTACTAGGAGCGGTTGGATATCCGATCTATTCGTACGTTTACTCAGTGCCTTTTGGAGTCGAGGCCAAGGTCTTGTGATAGGTCGCTAACGTTTCATCTTCCAGGGCTGCCTTGTATACGAACAATCGCTATGTAAAAACCCCCCTCCGATGGCGCATCTCAGACTTCCTAACATTGATACCAGGGAAATGTGTGGTTCGTGCTGCTTGGATCCGTTGCATGCGGATTATCGTAAGTGATCACAATTTCGGCCGAAGATCATGAGCATAGACTTACCAAGCCAGAGCGGGTCTTTTCTGGGCTTCCGAAGGTGCTGTAGCTCTGGGGTATCCAGAGCCAGGCAAACGAGGCAGATATATGAAGTGAGTTAAACTCAAGCTCCAAGAATGCTCTGTCAAGTACGAATGTGGCTGATTTGGATAGCATCTGGCTCTGGTTCCGCACCGGTGGCCCCTTGGTTGGCGGAGCCATTCTTCTTGCTCTGAACCAGTGAGCTTTTCACCGTGAAACCGCAAAAACCTCGAGTCTATCTGCTAACCTGGGACAGCTCCGCTGATGCCAAGAGCAAGGGCAAAGTCGGCTCACGTATGTTCAACCTATTGCAGATCCGAACAGAAGAACATGTAGGCTAATTTGTTCGCAGAGTCATACCTCATATTCGTCGCCTTGCAATGTCTCGCAACTCCCCTAGCAATTTTTCTATCACCACCTGAAAAGGTTCAGCGGAGCGACGGAAGTAAAGTGAAAATCGTTGTTCAGGACTCGTGGCGTGCGGAGATGCTGGAGCTGTGGAAACTCTCGCGCCGCAAAGAAGTAAACTTTGATCTATCTCGGATGCCTGGTCATTTGGCTAACGGTATTTTGCATATAGGTCGCCTTGCTGTTACCGGTATTCTGGGCAGCGTACTTCAATCAGTACTCGTCAAGTACGTCTTCGTGTTTATCTGTTGATTCGATCTGCTAACCCAACGCAAGACTTTCAAACTTACTACTTTGGCGTCCGAGCTCGCGCTTTGATTGGATTTGTCAGTGAGTACTATCTTATCTACCGTTCAATATCACATGCAAGCCCTTGGCTGATCTAATACAAGGCAATTTCTCCAACCTTATCTCCTCGGGGATAATCAGTCGATTCCTGGATTACAAGGGGTTGTCAATTAAGAAGCGCATCACGTTTGGGTAGGAGCCAGAATACCGATCCAAATCCTCAAAATCTAACAAACCTCTAGTTTCTACTATGTGATCATCATTCACATCATCGCTTGGGTCTACGCCTGGGTCATCCAAGAAAAATATACTGCCAATCCTCCGTCCTACGACTGGGCTGACAAGGGTTTTGTAGAGGGATTTTTTGTCATTATGCTATGGTGTATGTCTCCTCAGCCCTTACCCATGCAACAAATCTAATCCTTGAATTATAGACTTCAGTCAACAGGCCCTGCAGAATTGGCTTTACTATCTTTTGTCCACCATGACGGATAACATTTCCGAACTATGTATGATCGTTCCTCATCAACTTACATTGCCACCTTCTAACCATCTCTAGCTCGTTTCTCTGGCATTCTCCGCGGCCAGGAAAGTTTCTCCCAGGCCATCTCCTTCGGCATCAACACGCGCAACTGGCATGGAGGAAGGGTTCCTCTTGCAATTAACACGATCCTCCTGGGTATGTTTATCTCTCTCAACGCCTCCACTAGCTACAGCATGTGCTAATCCTTGTTATCTCAGGTCTCGCGGTGTTCCCTACCTGGTGGGTTGTTAAGAACCATAACCCAATTGAACACGATAAGACGGCACCCCGCGATGTTCAAGATGAAGAGCAGGGTGTTGTAAAAGATGAAACGGTAGAGTCTTCGGACAAGGGAGGCTATGTAATTGGGGAGACTTCCACGACGAAATAACTGGCTAGATGCATGGCAGCTGTTACCGAGCGGCTTTTAAGCGGTTCGATGCTCATGACAGATTTTGATGAAGATTATAGGACTTATAGAATGCATCGGCGTATAATGCAGAACTACCACGTGAATACTCCGTACTAATAAAAAGGTTTTATTGATAGTACCCCCTTAACAAGCTTTATGTAGCAAAAGCGCCAAAAGCCCTCATGGCTGCGACCAATCTTGAGGCTCGTTGAGGCGCCTAAGCTAAATGAACCCCTACGGCCAGGAATTCGAGATTGAATTTAGATCCTTCTGCTAACCCTTAATCATCCTTGCTAGCTAAGCTCCTATACTCACCAGCAAAGGTGCATAAATAGAAAGAGCTGAAAAGAAAAAGATCACCTGACTTCCCCAACCCTTCATCTCGAGAGAGGTTCCCCTTCAATCAAGCTGTGATCACTCAAAAAAAAACAAACGCAAGCAAAACCCAGAAAAAGAAAAAAAAATCAGTCCGATGACCCATCCCAACACTCCAGAAAAGGTCTCCCGGTTCACATCCGCGTTATCCTCCAAACGAGGCAGTAAGCTGCATGCGAGGGCTCTAGGTCCGATGACACAATGTTAGCTTGTTCTGATCAATCAGCGATGTGGATTCACATTTCTACGGGAAGCGCGCGTGGTTGGACCAAATCCACGTCCGATGCAGCATTACTCTTTAATCTCGCGGTGGGCTGAATGGCAGGTGGCTTCTTAGCGTCCTGCTTAGTGCCTGGTCTGTGAGGAGAGGGAGAGGGGTTGAGGTTGGGGGGTTTTTTTCATCTTTCTGGGTTTTGTGAACCTGGATGATTGATTTATATGAGGTTTTCAGATTAAGAAAAGGATGAGCAATTATGAGAGTTTCGATCCAGTTAGCTGAATGAATCATTACAAGATTTATTGTTTAATAATGATCATGCTAGGGACGCTGATTTCCCCCACGGCAAAACCACAGCAAGTGGATCCGCAAATATCGTCGCAGTGGAATCGAGTCATACTCCAGTACGCTGCATTAGCGTCCTTCTGTCGGTATATCTTCGTCGCTCTATAAATCTCTTTGCTTTCTTCTTGTTCTTGTCCTGTTGGGTGAGACAGGATACAAAAGTTTTGGAGACTCATTGCTTTGGGTTGTTTAATTTCTGGCGAGTTTCTCCTGACTCGGGTGATTATTTAGCCATAAAAATCTTTCACTTCCCTTACCTTCTCCTCTGATCCCTTCCACCAACACCTCCCTCCCTCCATTCCACAGCTCAGGAATGCCAGGAACCTCACGGGAGCCTCGGGGCGCTGCTATTAATGAGACAACCCCGCTCCTAAACAATAATTCTCCCGATTTACCCTCATATTCTGGCGAAGTCAACGACGCGACAGATAATGGATCGTCCACCGTATTGTCGTCGGACGATGACCCCACTCTCCTCAGTCTCTCTCGGGTCAATTCGCTCCCTCAAGGCTTAGAAATCGAACCCAATCTCGAGCGCATCCCTTCATTCACGAAGCCAGCACCGACTGATCCAGAGGGGGGTGCCTCGAAGGAAAGCACCGGCTATGCATCGCGTTTCATGAATGTTTCGCCGGTGAGGTTTTGGCTGATCTTCTCGGGCATCTTACTGGGTTATGTCATAGGGTTCTTTGACTCAACCTTGATGGCGTCCAGTCACCCAGTGATTACCTCGCATTTTCACGCTTCGAACGCAGCCTCGTGGTTGTCCACGGCGTTCCTGTTGACGTCGACTGCGTTCCTGCCTCTGTTCGGACGGATCTCCGATACGTTCGGCCGGAAGCCCGTGTATTTGTTCGCGATCGCCATCTTCTTTCTTACCACCGCCTGGTGCGGGTCCGCCCAGAGTATCGGGAGCTTCATCGCAGCCCGCGCCTTTTGCGGGCTTGGAGCCGGCGGTGTATTCTCCATGGGAATGATCCTGTCCAGTGACTTGGTCCGCATCGAATATCGCGGGGTTTACCAGTCCTACATCAACCTGTTCCTCGGGGTTGGGGGCTGCTTGGGTCTCGCCTTCGGTGGATATCTGTGCGATCAGGTAGGATGGAGAGGTGCGTTCTACGTCCAACTGCCCTTTATCTTCGTCTACTTTATCGTCGCAGCGTGGACCACCCCGGCCGACCTGGGCGTGAAGACGGCCAGAGCCGAACGCAAGTCGTTCCGGCAGTTGATCAAGCAACTTGACCTGGTGGGTTCGTTGATCTTGGTCCTCGGGGTCACGGCGTTGATTATGGGTCTCAACCTGGGCGGCAACGTGTACAGCTGGACGCATCCCGTCGTGATCACGTCCTTGGTCATGGCTATGGTCTTGGCCGCCGTCTTTGTGCGCTACGAACGCAACGTGGAGCGCGCGGTCATGCCGATCTCATTCCTGTCGAGGCAGCCTCGCGCGAACCTTATCTTTGGAAACTTTTTCGGATCCATCGCAGTCAACACGATGGTATTCAATGCCCCCCTGTATTTCCAGGCCGTCAAGCTGGCGACCCCGACGGAGTCGGGACTGAGGCTAGTGGCGGCCACTCTTGCCGTCACCGTGTCTAGCGTCTCGACTGGCTTTTTGATCACCTGGTCGAAACGCCTGAAGCCGACGGTGATTATTGGAGACGTCTTTCTTTTCCTTGGCGGTTGCGCAGCGGCTTCCATGGGTATAGGCACGCCCAATGGGATTGCCATGATCTGCGTTGCCCTCTGCAGTCTCGGGCAAGGGTTCTCCTTTCCGTCGTTGATGGTATCCGTGCTCGCGACCAGCGAGCCCGACGAGCAGGCCGTGGCGACGACAACGCTGGGCTTATGGCGGAACCTAGGATCCGTGATGGGCGTTGCCACCAGCAGCTGGATCTTCCAGAACACTTTGGTCTACCATCTCGAGCGCATGGTCACCGGACCGGAGAAAGACCACATCATCTTCCTTGTGCGCAAGTCCGTCCAGGCCGTAGCCACGCTGGACCCGACCCACCAGCAAGAAGGTAAGTTTGTTTCTCATTGTTACCTGGAATCCCTTGCATGGATGAGGCGTGTGAGTCACATTTTCTAACAAATGTGCAGTGATTGGAGCGTATGCCGCCGCCCTTCGTGTAACTTTCGGGTCTGCGGCACTCTGGGGCGCAATGATGCTCCTCATGCACTTTCGACTCCGGTTGCCTCGATTGGGCAGTAAGGCTTAATTAGCCGACTGGTGTTCCCTGCGCACTGTCTGTTATTTTACATGATATGCTTACTGTAAGTGGTAGCTTTCTTCGGTTCTCCCAGTAGGCACTAGTAGTGCGGCAAGGGCATTCATTTGCAGCGTTTTGCATGAGACATACAAGATCTTATACGATCTAGACAAAAGTTTGAGATATTTTCGGCCATGACTTTATCAAGAATGACTACGATGTATATACACTATTGAATGAGAAAAGTTATGTATCACATTGAAAACAACTATAGCCACGTTCAATAGTATCTTTATCAGATCCGATGAGAGCCGCTAGACTCTTCCGGGTTTAGCCGGCCGGCATCGGGATTCCCCGCGCAACTCGACGACTCGTCTCGATTTTGCTTATCGGACATTCAACAGCCTCTTCTGCACTTCGCTCCGTTGGATCTCAAGGCGCCGATTGACACATACTGTCTTTGATACCTGTAAGTGAGTCTGTTGGTGATACTGTTCCGCCAAACGTAGCATCCCTGCAGCCGTGCTAACCGGACTTTTTCCAGCTTTCGACCCCCATTGTCGTCCTTCAATGAGCGCATCGATTAAACGCTATACTCCCATTGTTTCTTCTCGTCGCTATTCCTCCTTCGATTCCTTTCCGACTCTTCCTTCCTACGTACACGGATCTCCCACCCAGTCATCGGAGCTTCTTGCGACAGATAGGACATCCCCGGTCGTCAAGATGCGCAAGCATCATAGCTTAAAGGGCTGATTGCGAGGCATAAAACCAAGAGACTCGCGGTTCCGGGTATCTTATCGTCCGAGGACAGGCTGGTGTATTCCACCATGACGTCTGCCGTGGAAGACCACATCTTCCCCGCCTTGGATCTAGACATCGCCACAGACCTGCTCGGCGCAGGGGACATCCTCGGCCTAGAAACATCGAACGACAACGTCTCGTTATCGGACAATCCCCCAGGTGACAGCAATACTCGCGAGGGCGAGGAAGACGACATCCCGACACCCAACAGCGGGTCGTTGAGCGCGTCACGCACCCCCGGAAGCGACACCCCGCGACGACGGCGCCGCGAGGCCGTGATCAGGAAGTCCCGACGCGTGCGCACCGGCTGTCTGACCTGTCGCGAGCGGCACCTGAAATGCGACGAGGCGCTGCATCGGTGCCAGAACTGTCGGAAGTCAGGCCGCGTATGTCGCCGCGGCGTGAGGCTTAATTTCATCGACACGCAGGTCGTCGCGCCGCCTCATGACTTAACCCCGTCTCCGGGACATCGGGTCACGTTCCGGGATGAGTCGAGACATATAGCGTCGGAGTATGTGGGCGGGTTTGAAAGATATCCTCCCCCAATGGTGGAACCGCAGTTGGACTCGGGGAGTCTTGTGAGTCCGCCGTTGTCCTCGCGGTATAATACGACGGGGGTTTCGGGGAGATCAGGCTCGGGGATGGGTCAGTCTGATGGACTCGGTTACTCGCCGAATGGGCGTTCGATTTCGACGCCTCAGTTGCTGCCCGATCGGAGAGCGTCTTTTGCGCCCTTCAAATCGGCGAAGCAGGGGCGAGTGGGACCTAGTAATGCCTGTCTGAGTAACCCGGAGGAGGTGTTTTTGGTGCAGACGTTTGTCGAGGAGGTGGGGCCGTGGATGGATGCGATGGATGAAATGAAGCATGTAAGTCGGTTAGGCTGGTCTAGGCTTCATTTGCTAACCTTCAAAGTTTACGAATATCCTGCCGTTTCATGCGCTGGAGGAACCGATGCTTCTCAAGGCGTTCATGGCCTGTGGTGCTCGCCATCTGTTCCAGGTCAACCCTTCGTATGGCGAGGGGAAGGCCTCGTATTTCCATGACTTGGCATCACAGGATCTTTTAGGGTTGTTGCAGGATCCAGATCGCGACTCTGTCCTGTGTGCGACGGCGGCTGTCATATTGAATATCTACGAATCGATGACCTCCAGGTCGATGATATCAGTCCACGGCATGAACCACATCGCCGGCGCAAGGGCCCTAATCAAGGAATGTCGATGGGACGCAACAAGCCCAGGTCTCGGCGGGGCATGCTTCTGGCTGAACGTCAGCATGGAGCTACTCAGCTGTCTACACTTCAATTGGACATTAGCCTGGGACCCGGACACCTGGGGCGTCGACATGAACATGGAGCAAACGCAGCCCAGCGTGGCGGGGAACGAGGAACTCTGGACCCATCGCATGGTCTACATCTGCGCGAAGGTCACGAACTTCCGGTCGACCTTCTCGCACGTCCATGGTCTAGATCACTCGACTGCGCAGATCGACCAATGGTATCGGGACTGGTGCGTGTATAATGAGTGGTGCGACCAGTGGGCAAATGCCGTGCCACGTTCCATGACGCCGCTTGGCTACCTGCAGCCGTGGCAGACGAATTCGAAATCCGTGTTCCCGGAGATATGGTACGTGATTCTTTTATAGGATTTGGAACTTGTCTTTCTCATCAGTAATGCCTAGGCTCATCAAGCGATCGTCCATCATCGCGCGACTCTTCTACCATACCGCTCGCATCTTGTTGACAAAGATCCATCCGCTCGAATCCGAATTCAGTCCCGAGATGCAGAGCCTACAGCAGAGTCACGCGCACGATATATGCGGGATCGTAGCACATACCAAAGATCGGTACGTCTCTCCCTCTCTCCACCCTTCTCCCAGAATTCAATTAACCTATAGGCCCTGTATCAGCGGTATCTCCACCCTCTGCACCCGTTTCCTCTTCATCGCCGCATCCTGCCTCGCCACGCGAGACGCGCAGGACGAAATCCTCAACACAATCGACCGCATCAAGGAGACTGGGTGCCGCGTCGAGCACCTCAAAGACGAGCTACAAGAGGCGTGGGGCTGGACCCTGCATCCTCATAGCCATGGCCACGACGTCGCCGTCGGAGTCGAAGTCGACAGTCTCTTCGGCGATCACGCATTCAACCCGGATCCGGATCCGTCGTCATCGATCTTAAAAATGCATCCTGCGGTCGTGTCGAACCCACTTCTCGCTTTCGCGGATTTCGAGATGGAGAATCATCCGTATCAGGGGTTTTATGTTAAGCCGCGGGAGCAGTGATGTGGGAGATGAGTTTAAAATTCTTGTCTGTATATATAAAATATGGATGTCATGGGTGGCGTTTGGGCTTTTTGTCTTGTATAGCTAAGATACCATAATGTATGTGTTTCTGAATTTCCTGAGGGTGATGATAGACTGAGAAATGTTGACCGGGCATAACTTAGTATTTACTAGATATCCGGACTTAGAAAGCCAACAAATTAATAACAACCGCAAAGAATGGCATCAGATGGATTACAGATAGTCCAAAGTGCCCCAATGTAAATATCTTAAACGCTTTGCCCTTGTACATCTGGCTGGTATGCAGTAGTAGCACGACCCGCAAAGCAATGCCAAGACATCCGCCTCTTAAGATCTTCTTCCCGTCTGCTTCCATCCATCTATCCTCCATCTCTTCCACTCCAATATCAAACTATCAAATAACCAGAAACTCAGCCCTCCTCTCCCTACCTCTATTCCCCTTGTGTAAACTACCCACCTGCAATTCATTACTCCTCGCTACCAATAACGAAAAAGATCCAATGAATCATCCCCCCCTAACACCAACATACATTCTCCGCGGCCACGCATCCGCCATCCACAGCCTCCACATTTTCCAGTCCAATCTCCGTCTGATCTCCGCGGACGCAGACGGATGGATCGTTGTCTGGGACTTGGTTTCGAAACGCCCCGTCGCGGTATGGAAGGGTCATGAGGGGGCGATTCTTCAGGTCAGGGCGTTCTGGGTAGATGGGGAGGGGGTGCAGGTTTATAGGTATTTTTTTCCCATGTCTGTTATCGCCATATTTCTCCATGTTTGATTTTCTGTCTCTGAATGTTATGTTTGAGAATGGATAAGGGATATGCTAACAACACACCAGCCACGGCCGAGACCATAGACTTCGCATGTGGAAGATCCGACCACAAGACGAGGCGGTCATGCAGAAGACTCTCCCTGTTGATGTGCAAACAGAATCAGGAACCCAGGGACAGAGCGGGAGCCAGCCATGGATGGTTCATTCGCTACCGGTCAACGCGTTGAATTTCTGTGCGTTTTCGATCTTGTTCGTGGATGGTCCTTTTCCCTCGTCTTTGGGGGATGGCTCAAATGAGGGACGCCGTGCGCGGACGCATTCAGGAGTACACGAAGAATTAGGGACAGACACAACACCTCCAGGCAGCGAGGAAGTACCCCCTACTACTTCTACAGATAAAGCCGTTACTCGTCTCCTAGCGGCCCCAAACGCCCTCGACTCCGGCGCAGTGGACATCTTCCATCTCCCGCTCGAACGACGAGTCTGTACGATTCCGCCCCCAGCAGGCATCAAGCCCGGGATGGTGATGGCCGTGGAGCTATTTAGGGATTCCACGAAAGGCGACGTCAACGTAGCGTCCGGCTATGAGGACGGACACGTGATGGTGTTCAGATGTCGCGGGGTTCTAAAAGATCGAGACACGAGTACAGAGCCGTGGAATCGAAAATGGGACTGGGAAACGCTATATGTATCGCGCATTCACACGCAACCGGCATTGTCGATCGATGTCTCAAAGACAGGGGGATATGTTCTCTCATCGGGGGCGGATGCGATGCTTGTGAAATATCCTGTTCCCGGGCGGGATGGTGCTGGTACTATTGCCGGTGCTGCTGGAGAACCCTCCGAGAGAGCGCTCAAGACGGTGAACACGAAACATGCAGGCCAGCAGGGTCTTCGGATCCGGGATGACGGAAAGATCTTCGCTACGGCGGGGTGGGATTCCAGGGTGCGGGTGTATTCGTGCAAGACGATGAAGGAGGTGGCTGTTTTGAAATGGCATAAAGACGGGTGTTATGCGGTGGCGTTTGCGCATGTCGAGGCCGCTAGCGCTCTAGATCGTTCTAGGGAGCAGATATCAGAGTCGGAGGCAGGGATACAGAGTGACGACAACATTTCCACAGGTGAACTGATCAAACGCACAGAATTCTCCCTTGCGACTGTCCAGCAGCAGAGAAATCAGAAAGTACAGAAAACACACTGGTTAGCGGCCGGGTCTAAAGATGGGAAGATCTCATTATGGGACATCTATTGAACGAAAGAAGAAATTGCTTTTTGGGGAGGCGTCGTCAAATGCTATAACCTATGTACATGTACAAGTCAAAACTAATAACCCAACCCAACCGATTCCACCCACCAGGCACCTGAATCGATCAAGCCAGGTTGAATTCATTAGCACCCGCCATCTGCTCCTTCACCTTGGCTCTCATGATGCGCGCCGCGCTGGCCGTATCCTGAGAGCGAGCGACATCGTCGTCATCATCCCGGCCACCGGCACCACCAGCCTTCCTCTTCTTCCCAGCGGAGGCCGTCTTCCGCTCCGCCTTGAAATCCTTCTTCGTGTCCTCCTGTCCCGGCCTTAGACCCGGCACATTAATCTTGCTGGGCCGATCCCGCAACGCAAATGCCTTGGCCAAATGACCCAGATGCAGCTCCTTGATATTGAACATGCTCCGCTCATTGGCGATATGGGTGGCATATGCACGAATATGCGATTGATACGCCCGACGCGCCATCTCCAGATACTCCGGGTTATCGAGCGCCCAACGCTCAATGTCCATCTGGAAGTCGGTGGCTTTTTCCTCCCAGTTCTTGCTCTCGGATTGGATGTTGCCGCTGAATCCACGCTTGATGATATCCTCGGCTGTGGTGCGGGTCAGCGCCTTGCCACCGTCGCGGTATCCGCGCTTCAACACCTCCACGTAGTTCTCCTCGCAGCCGGGCATCAGGAAAACGAGGGCGCGGCCGTCGCGGCCGAGACGCGCCGTTCGACCAATTCGGTGTGTGTGGTCGTCGGCGCTAAAGGCAGGGTCGTATTCCACGACGAGGTCGACGTTGGGGAGATCCAGACCTCGCGAGGCGACGTCGGTACAGATCAGGACGGAGGGGTCGCGGCTACGCGCGAACGAGGTGAGGGTGGAGGTTCGGACGTGCTGGGGGAGAGAACCGTGCAGCTTGTGCAGAGTGACGGGATTGGATTTGGTCGAGAAGGCAGTGGCGGGGGCGATCGTGCCGTGGGGGGAGAGTTTCTCTTTGGTGGTGTCGTTGTCGTTGTCGTCTTTGTCTTCGTCTTCATCTTCGTCGTCCTTTTCGCTGGACTCGCTTTCTTTTTTGGCGTCCTTACGGGAGTAATGGTTCCTTGTGAATAGCTCGAAATGGAAATCCACGGAGTCCGCGCAGGTGACGAACACAATGGCCTTCATGACCGAGCCCTTTCGCATGAATGTCCGTTTCAAGAAAGCCGTAAGTGTAACCAGTCTCAGCTTGGCCGGCGTAATCGCGTAGGATTGCTTCAGCTGCGCCGGCACCCGGAAGGCCTCGTCCTTGTCGTCCTTCTTGACATCTCCGTCCTCGTCGGCGGGATCGGCCTTGACGTGAATCGCATCCTTCAGACTGATCTCACCCAGCTTTTGCACGTTCATCTTCAACGTAGCCGAGCAAAGAATCGTCGTCCGCTTCGTCGGAACTCCGGGGATGCGACTGGGTCGTTGTCGCGCGTCCAGTTTCTGGATGATGCCCTGTAGCTCCTGCTCGAAGCCCAACTCCATCAATCGATCTCCCTCATCGAGCACCAACCACCGCACATTACTAACATCCAGCACCTGCGTGTTGTCCAAATGATCCGCCAACCGACCGGGCGTCGCCACCAGGATATTCAACCCCTTCCGCAACCGCGCCTTCTCCGACTTCTTCTTCTCTCCTCCGATCACCGTCCCTGCCACGATCCAATGCGCGCACCGCAACAGCCCCTCCAGCACCACCGAAATCTGCTTACACAGCTCGCGCGTCGGCGCCAGAATGATCGCAAACAGCCCACTGTCGCGGTGCACGTTTCCGTCCGCTTCGCCCTCCTCCGCCTGGCTCGCCGTCCGCTTCTTCTGGGACTGCGAGAGTGCCATGATCCGCTGCACCAAGGGCAGTAAATAAGCCAACGTCTTTCCGGAACCGGTCTCCGCCTGGATAAAGGCATCGCTGTCCTCGTCCTTCAGCAGCTGCGATATCGACGCCTTCTGAATCGCCGTCGGCGCCTTCAATTCCAGTTTCGTAAGCAAATGCGCCGCCAGAGTCGGCGACAGTCCCAGATTCGTAAAGGTATCAAGTCCATCGATCAGCGGCGCATTCGTCGGCTTGGCGTCCTCCACTGCCTCCTGGTTCTGGGCGTTTTCCTCGGCATCCACGTTCTGCGACTCCGGGTTCTTCGAGAATAGCGAGGAAATAAACTGTCGTGGGTGCTGGTTGTGCTGTCCCTTCTGCCCGTGTCCGTGTCCCTGCGGCTTCCCCGACTCAAATCCCCCATCGGTACGCTGTCGTTTCTGCGGTCGGGATCCGGGATTCACCTGGATGCGATTGGGATTGCGCACCGGGCGGTCGCCGTGCGCGTTCGAGTCATCGCCATCGCGCGGCTTCTTTGCGCGATGCTGCGCTTTCTTCTTCGCGCTGAGTCGGTCCTTCCAGGTGCCGCCTTTTAGCTTGGGTTCGGGTTTCGAGAAGTCGTTGTCTCCCGGGAGGGAGAAGTTGAGGAGGAGGCCGTCGTCGGCCATTGTGATTCTTCGGTTTCCTTTCCTTCCTTGGTTATATATAAGGAACGGGGGAAGGGGAAGGGGAAATGGGGAGGTGGTGTTTGTAGATGCTCGGCGCTGGAGTAACTTTTTTTTACGGGCCTGGGCCTGAGGCCTCAGGCTGGCAAGACGGGAAATTTCTGCCGGGCCGGTTTGCTTCCGAGCCCTGGCATTCTGCCCTAATTTCCTTTTTGGTATGTGAACTATACAGTGATATGACAGATATCGACAAGGAATGGCGGTTTGAACTTGGGTATTATTATGTGTCTATTTTGTACACGACCATAGACTGGTCCACTAAGTAGAGCGAGGCTTCATGATCAAATTGTCAATCAACCTGACCGGCACCTTCCCATCGCCTAGCCCGCAATCCTCACCCTCCTTGGACGCTTCCAACGGTGCCATCTTGATCGCGCCGCTCAGAATCGCCCCCTTGGCCGGATCCACCACCTCCAGCTCATCCAGACTCTCCGGATCAGCCAACGAGATATAATCCACCTCGTAGAGCGCTCTCTCCTCCGGCGCCAGAGCCTGCTGCTCCGCTAGCACCCTCCTCGTCACTTGATTCGCCGCTTCCAGAATCTCCCCCCTCCCCAGCTTCCCAGAGCCATACGCCTCCTCAGCGGCCCTCAACGCCCGATACAACACCAACCCAACACCCCTCCTCCTCTCGCCAAGATACACATTCCTCGAACTCATCGCCAACCCATCCACCTCCCTCACGGTCTCCCCAATGCGAATCTCCGTATCGACATGAAAATCCTTCACCATGCGCTTAATCACCACCGTCTGCTGCACGTCCTTCTGTCCGAAATACGCGCGATCCGCCCCCGCAATATTAAACAACTTCATGCACACCGTCGCCACGCCCCGAAAGAACACCGGCCGGGACGCGCCCTCGAGCCGTCTCGAAATGGGGGTAATCGTGACAAACGACCCATCGCCGTCAATCTCCGATGTGGGCGGTAAACTCGGATACATAACGTGACTAGTCGGCGCGAGAATCGCCGTCACTCGGCCCCCGCTCTTGCTTTGGGCGTCGAGTTCGGCATTGAGGGCTTGTAGTTTCGCGACGTCGCTGTCCCATGTGCGCGGGTAGCTGGATAGATCCTCGGAGACGCCGAACTGTGTCGGGTTCACGTAGATGCTGACGAGGATGTCGGTGTTCTCGGCGGCGGCTTGGCGCATCAGCGAGAGGTGGCCTTCGTGCAGAGCGCCCATGGTGGGCACGAAGCCGAGGGATTTATTGGAGAGGAGGAGTTGGCGACGCCATTGGCGGAGGGGGGACGGGTCGCGGAAGACTTGGATGGAGGGGGAGGTGGACGAGGAGGAGGCGATGGTGGAGGCCATGGTAGGTTGTTTTGTAGTGAGGCGCGAGGTGGTGGCTTTTGGATATGTTAGATTTGATGGATTGGGTTTATTGGGTTCAATGGAGGGGAGTGGGAGGGGGTGGAAGGGAATGGATCAGATGGTGTGGGTGGCCTGAGTAGAATTGAATCGGGGATCATACTTGAAAAGGCCCTCGTCCAGCGAAACATCGTGATTCTTGTAGAGAGAAAAGGAGAGTCGAAAGTCTCCGTGGAAACTCTCAACGGTTTGCTGTTTGCTGCTTTGATGTTTGCACTGCGCAGAGCAAACAGCGCCGCTTTGGGCGCAGCCGGAAAGCTCGGTCAGCTGATAAGGTCACGTGGTGATAAGTCGTGGCATGTACGGTATGTTTTGTTCTGTAATTTTGCATTGTGTTTACATCTTTTCGTTGCATGCATCCTTCTTTCTAACGACGACTTCTACAGGATGAAGACTAATGACTGCTCTGGATTTTTCTTCGCGTGAGAAATATTATCTACTTGACTGAAACGGTATATACATGCTATCTCTATAGAACAAGCCTGGTTCTTGCTTGGCGGCTATTATATATATCAGTTCAGAAAAAACTCGAAGGAAACCCCGGTCACCTCGACTCCAGCCAGCTTCTAAAACAAAAAGCTGTATCTGCGGTTTGCCCCGGAGGTGGAGGAAGTAGGAGTCACGGCAGTCAATGAGCTACTGCCTAGAACGCTTGGTGAATAACTTGATGGTGTCATGGAAGCCGTCGACGCCACCTGTGACGATGCGCTGAACATAATCTTTGTAGATTCCGCGGGCGACAAAGACATAGATGCAGAGTTTGACACCCCGGCGGAGCTTGTAGTCACAGCGTCCAATTCAGATGCAGCCGTAGACTGAGTCCCTGAGGTCGAGCTGCTAGTGATCTCAGTACTGCTCGGTGCAGTCATAGACGAAGAGAGATCTAGATCACTATCCAAGCTGTACAGAGACCAAGCCTTATAGCCGCCACCTATTGAATTGTCAGCTGGAATGTCTAAGATCATACTCCCCTCTGTAATCCATCCAGAGTAGTCCTTTCCTAGATGGCGTAGTGTATGAACTTACAAATCTCTTTCGCCCATCCCGCACATGGAGTATCACAGTTATCCAAGGAAATCTCGTACTTTTCGAGTGGTTTTTCGCTGCCACAGAAGCATTCCACGCCTCGAAGAGCCGCATAGTTCAGACCCAGGTTTCCGCATCGTCTCATACAGAGATAGGGCGTCTGGAAGGTGAATGTGTTGTCGGCGCGCATGTCATCTCCTAGACGGCGGTAACAGGCTTGTTGCTGGTATTCATAGGCCTGAGCCGAGCTGGCTAGGATTAGGGGGATTGCTGCTGCGCTCAGTTTCATATTGGTTTTTGGTTTTCTGGTGAATGTTTAGTATTGTTTTTATGTTAGGAGAAAAGGAAGGTAAATGGGGACAAAGGGAATTGTTCAGAATGGAAGAAGTGGTGAGCAAGGGCATAGAGCCTTACCTGTGGTTTATTGTCATCAAACCCCCAAAATCTGAAGGTGGCAGCAGAAACTCGGCCCCCAAAGGGAGAAGTGAAAAAGGACGATGCAATCTTTATGCTGATTACCCGATCGGGCATGGTTGATTCTACGGATACCGAGACGGGTAAAATACCAGATACCAGATACAGGGCGACCCACGTGACTCCAACCGAGGCTCCGTCCGGGGAAAAAGCCGGGGATGATCGTACGTTTTGTTGGGAACGTTGATCGCCATGTTTCCCCTCAGTTGACTACGACCTTGATTCTACTCCCTACCCCTACCGGCTTAGACCTCTCACCCATCCCCCATCAATGGCCCTCGATCTCCTCCCCGTCTGCCCTGACTGACGACCACCTTTCCTGCTTCCACCCTTCCTACTCAACTCCCCGTTCGTTTGCCGCCACCCAGCCGACCACGATGCCGTCGGAAAAGCCCCCGGTCGAACAGTCGGCCCCGGACCTCGAGATAGTCGGCAACCAGCTCACCATCCACCCGAGCGGATTCACCGGCGGACCGGAGCCCCAAGATGACCAGATCACCGAGCGCAATCTCGTGCACCACATGGCGCGCTTTCGCGAGAATCCGTTCGACTTCCTGCGCGAAGTGAGCCTCTACATGTCCGGGACCGGGTGGCGCGCCTACGACGATGTGATCGGCCAACCGATCTTCTACAATGGATTCTCGGAGCGCATGAAGGCGAACATCTTAGCGAGTCCGATGCTGCGCGGGAAGGTCACGGAACTAGCCGAAGTACGACTGGCGGTCGAAGAGAAGGAAGGGCTACTACAGGCTCAAGAGGGGCCGCTGGATAAGCGCAGAGTGCAGCGCCGGAATGAGCTCGAGAGTAATTTGAAAGAAGTGGTGGATTCGATGCTGGATAATATGATCTGCAAGATGGAGAGCAAGCGGTTCATTCGCGGCGCGTATTATTTGTGTACGCAGCTGCTTACGCGCGCGTACCATCAAGGTTGGTGTCGGTCGGTGTTCTAGGTGGTCGGTTGCTGATTTGTTACTGCTAGGAATCCATGTGTCGAGTGAGGAAGTGCTGCGGTTAAGATCGGTCGCCGAGGAGGCCGCCAGGAAGAAGCAGTCCATCGTCTTTTTACCGTGTCATAAGTCCCACGTGGACTACGTTTCCCTCCAACTGATTTGTTATCGTCTGGGAATTGGTTTGCCCGTGGTTGTGGCCGGCGACAACCTCAATATCCCCATGTTGGGGCCATTTTTGCAGCACGCAGGTATGGTTGACTGCGGGGTGGAGTGTACTCTTGCTGACTATTGCAGGGGCCATGTGGATTCGGAGAAGTTTCGGAAACGATCCGTTGTATCATACTGTTGTTCAGGCGTATATCGACACGCTTCTGCAGGAAGGGTTCAATTTCGAGTGTTTCATCGAAGGTGGAAGATCTAGGACTGGAAAGCTGTTGTCCCCGAAGTTTGGAATCCTCAGTTTTATTTTAGACAGCGTTATATCTGGGCGTGTAGACGACACGATAATCTGTCCTGTCAGTACGCAGTACGACAAGGTCATTGAGACCGAGTAAGTCACTACTTCTTCACCTGTCTTGCTGATATTGACATCTTCTAGGTCATATATCAGTGAACTGCTCGGTCAGCCGAAACCCAAAGAGAACCTTGCTGATTTCCTCTCCGCATCCTCGGTCCTGTCGCTGCAACTAGGACGGGTGGATGTCCGTTTCCACGAGCCGTGGAGTCTCAAAGAATTCATTGGCCAGCAATTAACCCGGTTGCCGAACCAGATCGGTCCCAACGGTGGCACACAATTGAACCAAAAGGAACGGGGCCGGATACTTCGTACCTTGGGTTACCGAGTCCTTTCCGATATCAACGACGTGTCTGTCATGATGCCTACTGCCCTGGTGGGAACTGTCCTGTTGACGCTTCGCGGGCGTGGAGTCGGCAAGGGAGAACTGGTGCGACGAGTCGAATGGCTCTGCGAGCGGGTTCGCGCGAAAGGAGGCCGAGTGGCACATTTCTACCGATATCCGACGGAAGTGGTCGTTGACCGCGCAATCGAAGTATTGGGACATCAGATTGTGGGCGAAATCGATGGCCTGGTGGAACCCACCTACTATGCTGTCGACCGCTTTCAACTCTCCTTCTACCGCAACATGACCATCCACCTGTTTATCACGGAGGCATTGGTCTCCGCAGCCATGTACACCCGGATCAAGCAGGGCGGCGGTCCCTCCTACCAACGCATTACCTACTCGGATCTCCTAAGCCAAGTTTCCTTCTTGTCCCAGGTATGTTCCACGACACAAACATCCAGACTCTGCTAACCCTGCCAGCTCTTCCGTGGCGAATTCATCTTCCCCCCGGAGGGATTGACCACCAACCTGGAGCGTACGATTCAAGGACTCGAAAAAGACGACGTCATCACAGTCACCCGCGAACCCTCAGGAACACCTCTGTACGTCGAGCTGAGCGAATCTGAACGCAAATGCGGAAGAGAGAACTACGACTTCTACTGCTTCCTCATCTGGCCCTTCATCGAAGCATCCTGGCTCGGCACCGTATCTCTCCTAGGACTTACCCCTCCTCTCGACGGACCGAAAGAAATCTGGATTGACCTGAAAAAAGCACAAGATAACGCCCAACTTGTATGCCTTTCTCTTCCCTCACCCTTTCACTACCCCCTTAAATAACGCCTATAAACTAACAACCCACCAGCTCGGCAAAACCCTCTACCACCAAGGCGACCTCTCCTACTTTGAAGCCGTCAACAAAGAAACCCTCAAGAACTCTTACCAGCGCTTCGCTGAAGAAGGCATCATCCACGTCGTCCGGGGCAAAGAATCCCGCGCCGCCCCCGTCATGCGCATCGCTCCGGAATGGACTCCGGAACGAGACCCCGCCACGGGGAAGCTCCTGGCCCGGGGGCGTCTATGGGACTTTACGGAGTTGATTGCTCAATCTAGACGTGAGGGGTGAGTTATCCTCCCCTTTTCCTTCACTTCCCGTTACCCTTTCTTTTCATCTTCTGTCTCTTTTAATTTATTTCAACTCCTTTCCTTTTCTTTTCCAACCCGACCAAAAAAACAGATTCTCAACAGGATTTGCTAACGCCCCACCCACAGCAAAAACCGCCGCGACGGTGCAACCGTATCCTCCCGCGTCCTCATCATGTCTGACGCCGTCGGCCGCATCCTATTCCAGAGCGCGGCGAGCCCGAACCCAGAAGATAGCGTGGACGTGTCGTCGCGACAGAAACGAAGAAAGGATATTACGACAGGGTCGGGGGCGAAGTTGTAATATCCCATTCCTACAATACATATTGCATACCATACGCACTCAAGGCAAAAGGTATGGAAGGCATATTATTGTGCTTTGGATTTCCGATTTCATGCATATGGTATGTATGTACCTGCCTGCCGTATATCCTACGTGCCTGCGTGGAGGGTGCTTGTTTTGCTGATTTTGTGGTTTTTTTTCTGTGTCTTTTGTGTATACCCTACTTTTTTGTTTCAGTTCATTCATACATTATATATTCATACCCCTGTCGCCTATTACTGTTTAATTAACTATACCATGGTTACTACTTATAGTGAAGGTGTATTTGTATACATAGATAATAAACCTCGTTGACTAGTTTAATATACTTCTACGCTTTATCTTCCCTTACAATCTCTACAAAATGATACTACTAGAAGATTATTTTTAATCCAATATTCATATTTATTTCATCTCTTCACCTGAACTCAGTTCATCCAATCCGGAAAACCAGCAGGCTACCAAGTGAAGGGTCAAATTCGAGACACAAAAGAAGTAAGTCTATGATACATACAACATCATTAAACGTATATATCTTGAAACAGGGAAACAATTGACTCCGGGGGGAAGCAAAAAGGTCGGATGTCAATGTAGGGGAAATGGGGGGAAAAGGGGATAATGATGAGTCAACCAGTCAGTCAGTCAGGGCATGGAACTCCAGAGTAACATGCAGCTGAGGTGGTGGCTCATCAATAATCATTCAAACAATGAAGAATAATGGTCGAGACAGCTGGAGGACTTTAAAATAGCCACGTGTCTGACGTCAACTGTCCCTCGCCAATGAGTTCCTGGCGCCAAAAAAAATGAATATAACTCCTCGTGAAATGCATGGGAATAAGGAAAAGAAAATCATTATATAAGGCATTAATCTTGCGTCAAAGGGGTCGTGATTGGTGATCGAAGTGGGTGAGATCGAGAAGGACTGCCAGTTCGTGAACGGCGGCCGTTAGTCGTAGGTCCCAATGCTATCGGGGCCAGATGATCTCGACTCTCCGTCCTCACGACCAAACCCGCTCGATCCATTGCAGACCCCGCCGTAATCCCGAGACCGATGGTCCCCGTGGATGAGTTATCCAGGCCGAACTTCAGGCTGGGCGTGCTGCTGCCCCAACTGGCGGCTCGTTTGGGTGGCATGAAGCCCGAACCGGCGTCAGAGGAACGGCTGTCGTCCAAGGAGCTTCGGCCAGAGTGGGTGGCTCCGAGGTCGAATTCGTGGGCGCCGTCTTCGAGGACACGCTCGTATGAAGGGCTGCGCGGACCGCCAAAGAACGGTAGCTTGCCACCGAAAAACTTTCGCTTCTTGGGATGGTTCGGATGCGATGGACCGCGACGGTGGAGGCAAGTGTTAATCTTGTGGTATACTCGCAGGCGACGGCTCCGCCCACAAAGGAAGAATAACGCCATGACAACGATTAGCAAGAACAGAATAAAACCTGGAGCCCTGCGAGAGGAGGCTTCTTCGAACAAGGCATCATGCCACGAGGTGTTGTGAGGGCCCTGAGGCGTGGGCATCAACTCAGCACTCGGGTACTGGAAATCGTTGGGAACGCCGGCAACGTTGCTTCCAAATCCAACAGGCAGGAATTCTTCCGTCTCCACAGGCACCTGTGACGATGCGTACAGAACCATCTTTCCCAAAGTCCAACTAACTTCGGTCGAGTCAATCTTGTTCACTGCCTGGAAAGGATCAAGGTAGCCCTTGTCTTGGCCCTTTTGAATGACTTCTTCCGTTCCGTTGTGACCAGACCCTGTTGTATCCTCGAGTCCCACACGGGGAACTCCAATCCCATCGTGCAGCACGTTGATGATCCACGATGCCTTGAAGCAGAGCTCATGAGCCTTGTCGATATCCAGCTTTTTTCCCCACTTATGCTGGATGATGCCGTCCTCGATAGTGCTCCAATCTTGCGAGCAAAACGCTAGGACGCGGTCTTGATAGGTATTAAAGTCGTACGTTTTGTCCTTGTGTCCCATTTCGAAGATGTCGTGCGTCGTATGCCAGTATTCGCTGATGCCGATAAAATGATTCACGTCAAAGTCAATGGCTGGAACATGGACTCCGTGTAGGAGACAGGGAGCATCAGGACACGGGGCATCCTTGTCTAGTAACGGGAAAGTCTGTCGAAGACATTCATCAAACTTTCCGGTTCCTAGTAGATACTTTTCCGCCGCCTTCGCTTCTTCTGTCGATATCGTCTGTCCCTCAAGAGTGGTTCGCAGTCCGGCTGGCAGACATGGGTCGGGGAGCTCCTTGATAGTATCGACTGCGCTGGCTGCCTGAAGCGACTCCAGATAACGTCGACGAGCCTCCCGCACTCCAAACTCAAGCCAAGAAGTGACGAAGACCCGGTGCTCTTGGTCCGATCCGTCGACATTGCGCAAACGCAGCAGCGTCAGGTCGTTCGCATGCTTCTTGCTCTCAGTGGCGTTTGGCGCAAATGCAATCTGCGCTGATGCGCCTCCCATGTCTAGGAAACCGTACGTGTGATGGCCCTTTCCATGATCATGCTTTTCAGGGGCGTCGAAGCTTCCTAGCAGATAATTGGATGCCACCCATCCGTAGAGACCCTCTGTCACCCCCGGAATCACTTGGATATGAACGTCGCAGTCGGGTAGCATGAAGTCGGAGTTGGCGCGGGCGTACGAGCAGATCTGATCCAATAGTAGGTTTCGTTTCACGTCGGGGAGTAGTCGCATTCCCGCGGTGGCGAGAAGGAAGATAGGCGTTTCCTTGATAGCATCTTCCGGCACAATCTTGCTAGCGTGTTCCAAGAGTTCCGCGAGGTGTTCAGGTCCGACTTCTTCGGGGCGATCAGCGAAAGACGATACTCCTGATGACCACTGTGTTAGAAAATCGGCGCATTCCCGCTCTCCCCCGTACCATGTGCCCGATCTTACCAGGTCGTATTTTCTTGGTCCAGTCAGATTTTGTTTTGATTTCCGGCAGAGACTTGAGGTCTTTCGCATCGGCCTCTTTTCGCGCAACGTTGTTGTTCAACCAGCGATAAACATGTACTCGAGTCCCCTATCGCAAGGGGTTAGAAGACGACCGACAGACTAATTTTGTCTAACTTACAGACGATCCTGCGTCCAGGACAACTCCATAATGCCCTATTAAAGAGAGGTCAGCATTGACAAGGCTGAGCGCAAAAGGGGAAGGTCTGGTTACATTTGCCCATTGGGAAGGATATTAAAGATTATGATTATTGTATTTTACCGATGAGCATGACCACCGGACAGACGAGTTGAGCGAGTGGAAGGGTAGCGATCAGTTTTATCAATTGCCAGTGTCGAGATCAGAAACGGTTCTGCAACGGCGAAGACGAGTTGTCGGGGGAGGAATGCGAGGTTGGGGGCGGCGAGGAGGGGAGAGGTTGGATCCAAACGAATGGCCTTGCTCAAGGGAGCAAGATAAGACACAGCAGGGAGAAAAGGAAAGAAGCCAAAGCACGATGAGGACCCTTTTACTGTCAGCAACGACGGTAGCGTGGTACCTCGCTGTACGGGGCGGGAGGAAGAGGGAGAATGCGGAGGCGGAGGGGAGGAGGGAAAGAGAGAAAGGAAAAGTGACAGTTGAATAAAGATAAGACGAGAAAACGGACGGCAGCGGATGGCGACAGCAATGGACGCGACAGCGGGGAGCCTAAGGCATGGCTCATGCCGCATGTGGTAAAGCGCGCAACCCACGGGAGGGTCTGGTTTTATCCTGCTTACGGACCCTTTACACGGGTAAATTACCGGAGATGATATGGTGACTTCTGCCTTGGCGTGGACAGACTGCCAGGGGGGGGAGCTATTTAAGTCGGAAAAGTTGTCAGAATGAGATATCTATCTGGCATATTTACCAACTTTGGTTTTTCCAAGTCAAGTTGCGTTCGCAAAGGATTCCTACATCTTGTCTGTCGGATCGTTGTATACTACTAAAATAAGTACACGAAATGATACCGGGCAGTGACAGTACCGGGCTAGGACAAACCAGGCTTAGTTACACCCGGGGCGGGACCTCTTACCAGGATGTAGATAAGTCGGGGTAACATTGGCAATATCGACGCCCTTCTTCAATCCACTTTCATTAAACCAAAGGAACTCGGCGCGGTACCCCGTCAGAAAGTCTAGAATCCTGAATCCTCCCTGAATCTGGAGAGACCAAATGCCCCTGAACTTTCGTAGTCAATAGTTCCTAGTTATAACTTACTCAGTAGTGTACACCTGAATTCAGTCGACGGTCCAGCCCGTGTCAGTCGCACCATCTGCCATCGACCTCGCGATCGGCATTCCGACCAGATTAACCCTTTGCCCTACGGGCTGCAAGTGGGCAGGTTGTCCCTAGATCAGAAGACAGCCGATGTCTTGAAATTGAAATAATAATAGAATGGAAAGGGTTTTGATAGGGCCGCGATAAGAACGCCGCCACCAGAAAAACCATTAAAGAGGGAAAAGGCAAAAGTAACTAAAAAAAAAAAAAAAAAAAGTCCAAATGGGGGCATACCCTGGTCGTATTGACGTAAGCTTCGGGTCCTCCAGAGTCCAGAGCCCATGCAAGTTGGGTCCCTCCCGTCCTTTGATTGGCGCAGGTGCCAAGCCAAACCAGATTGGCAACTGCAGCTAATAAAATTAAATATTGAATAACAAAAATAAATAAAATATTCTGCTGCCGTGCGACCAAAACACTCCCAGCCAAGCTTGGTGCATTCGTCATCCCCCCTTTAGCTTCATGCAGGTCGACTGCAGCTGTTGGTCAGTAAACCACCGCGCTCGGTCGACCATGACGCCATCCACCACGTTTATACTTGTCTGTAGCATACGGAAGGAGATTCTTGAGCACAACTCATCGGTAACGAATCGGAGAAGATAAGATATCGTGGTATCCTTATAATTGCTATTACTATAGGCGAGGTCAGCCGAGACCATATCGCGCTATCGGATGTGGGATGACGGATCCCAAGCTATTCACCGTACGCAATGAGGCATGACGTGACTCTTTCTATGTTAACTCTAGATGTCACCTGCTTTCGTCTCCCGTGACCCGATCTGCTCATCCTTGGACTCGGATGGCTCTGTCGACACTCCCAACAGGGTTGGGGTGCTGTGCTCCGGCGTCATGGACCAGTCGCCAATCTGTTCGTCAAAGAACTGCGCTCGATCGAGCCCCACCATCTCCGATGCCTCGTCCACCCGCAGATGCAGCCCGGGAATGTATTTGAGGATCAGCAGTAGAATGCAGGACACGGTGAACGAGTAGCCCGAGATGGCACAGATCTCGGCCAGTTGTCTTCCCACTTGCGCCCCGTTGCCGTCGATGCCTCCGCTCGCCAGAGAAGAGCCGTCGAGCGACGAGATCGAATCGCTTGCAAAAATCCCCGTGAGAAAGGCTCCCACCATACCGCCAATTCCGTGCAGTTTGAAGACGTCCATCCCCTCGTCGATGCCCATCCAGTCGTTGATGTCTTGCAGCAGGGAGCACACGATGCCGGTGACGAATCCAATGCAGGCCGCCAGCCAGATGGACACGCAGCCCGCAGCTGGAGTGATTCCAACCAGCCCGGCAATCGCGCCCTCACAAGCTCCCATGACGGAAAACTTTCCCTTGTGCTTAACCATGTCGACTAGGACCCACCCTAGGATACCCATGCACGCGGCGGTGTTAGTGTTGAAGACAGCCATCATCGCACGCATACTAGCGTTAAGGCTCGACCCTCCCTGTCTTTGATCAGCCCCTGTGGTAGAAAGAACATGCATGTGGATTACATACATTAAAGCCAAGCCATCCTGTCCATAGCAGTACGGTGCCCAGAAATACCAGCGTGGTGTTGTGCGGCTTCCGCAGCGACGGATCGCCATAATGTTTCCGCTTTCCGAGCACGATGGCGTATGCCAACGCGGAACAGCCCGACGCGATGTGGACGGGACCACCACCGGCGAAGTCGATCGCGGGAAGGTTGTATAGCCATCCGTGCTCGCTCCATGTCCACCGGGCCAAGGGACAGTAAACAATGGTCGCCCAGCAGAAGCCGAAGATCAATGATGGGAGGATGCGTCCTCGCTCAAAGGCACCGCCTGCGACGATCATCACCTGCATATATCAATGAATAGGTGTCGCTGCATCAACAAAGTAAAAGGACTTACCGTGCAGGCACAAAAAAGAAGTTGGAACAAGCAGAACACAATTTCCGGGAGCACCGCTGACCCAGGAGAGGGTGCCACCATGACGTTCCTCAGTCCGAAATTCTGCAACGTGCCGATGAAGGGGCCTCCATCGCGAGAGTATGTCAGAGAATATCCCCAGAATAACCACTGAAATGTGGTTCTACCCTGCGATCAGTATTTTGACTTGATACGCTTCTGCGAAAGGACGCTTACATCGCAAGGATCATAAATGCCTGGAAGAGGAATGCTAGTGCCGACTTTCTGCGAGCGAGGCCGGCGTAGAGCAGCGAGATGCCGGGAAGGATGAGGAAGACTATGAAGGTGCATGCGAGGATATAGACGTAGTTGTACTCGAATCCTGAATATTGAGCGTTCACGTCGATCTCCTTTGGATTGCCGCCCTGCGCCATGGAGGCATTGAACACTGGCTATTCACAATGTGTAAGTTACACATCCTGAGGAACTATGTGCAAAACCACTCACCTCGGACATGGCGATTTGCTGGTGGAATTACTCGCGAGAACGAAAGAAATCGCAGCGTTGCTCTCGAGGAGGATCGCGAAGCTGATCGACACCCTTTCGATTGAATGAACACGATCTCCATCACCTTTATCTACCCCCCCTCCTCCGCCCAGGGCTGAACTGCAATATCTTGGTGGAGTCCATTCCGACATGCATTCGCAAAACTGATCTCATTCCACCTTATCATAGAGAGCCAAGAACCCCGAATATAACCAACTTCAACCCTTTCGCGCGGTTATCATCCATAGCGGGCGATCATCACGAGCCCTGATAAGATAGGGATTCTGTGACGGGTTACTATTGGTCTAGAGCTGAACCCCGGATCGAGCATCCCTGGGGAGTTTAGCTCTGCGCGCCTTGAGGAGTGGCTTATTGGTGGGAGATAACAGCTCCTGCAGAGCTGCAGTCTGCATGAACCTGGCGTCGCTGTCTGTATAGTGATGATCTCACATGCTTTTGGTTGTTACTGTGAGTCCCCTGCATTGTGAAAGCTGATTTGAGACAGTGGATAATCAATCTAAATGCCATACGAGGTCTCAATTATTTACTCGTGCTCATTGATAAAACAGTTCGGATGCGAAGCGAATTAGATGTATCCGATAAGCTGCGTTTTGAATTGTTATGCAAAATGCCGCAACACACCTAGACTGTGGGAATATCAGACGTCATTTCATTCTCAGCTGCATCATTTATGAATCCAAGCTGGCCTACAACCAGAGCCTTGAAATTCCCGCAAACCAGAACGAGGAAGTCGAGGGCCCAAAATCTCTGGCAGCCATCAAAACCGACCCTTTAATTGATGAAATGAGACCATAGAACTCAGACTACTGCGTAGTCCAGTCTGTTTCGGCTTGTATTATATTCAGAGATAAAAGCTCTCAAGCCAAGACTTTAAAGCAAGGGTGGGCTCTCCAAATATCCTCAGAACATTGACTCGTAACTGTAAGGAACAGTGATCCTCACAACAATGTTTAGCCCTAAATTTAGGTACAATTTCTACACCAGGGATATCCATAACCCCTTACTGCTTTTCTTTACGTACCTTGCGGCCCTTGGTATGTCTGCCAACCCCCACCCACACACAAGGAAGACTTGAGCATAGAGTATTAATTAATTTAGATGGTTTGTAGAGATCATACTAAAACCTACGTATTATGGAATAGCCCTTGACTGTCTACTCCACTCATTGAGTACGAGAACACAGTAACGTGCCCGTTCTGGCCATGGCTTGGGCAAAGTTCTAGAGGTGGATGTACTGGATACTTGACTCGAACACTAGCGCTATCAATTGTCTAGCATAGAACTGCTGGTTTAGGAAGACAACCCCCACCCCCCAAGGTCATACATATATTCTGATGTCGGCATCCGTTGCTTTTTACTTTAACCATTTCGGTGACCGAGATCTGATAGGACTCAGTACTACTGACAATATAGAATTCCAACCTTCATTCAAATCCGATGTCTAGATTCCGGGTAGAGGATTGATCATGAGACTTATATTATCCTTCGATTATCATGCCGTGAAACTTGCTTTTGCATGACAATTCAACCTCCCGGTCCGGGGAAGGTTACACTACCGTCTACTTGGACAATACTGCAATTGCATCATGGATGATATCTCTTATTGACACCGAGATTACGATAATTGTAGTACCAAATGCGAGTATAGCAGAAAATTTATATTTCGGAAGATTTTGTACAAGAGAATGTTTCCAGGCATTCGCTCCATAAGAAGCTCATGACAACTGTCCATTCTCCTTCGTTATTTTCTCATTCCATTCATAGGATTTTGTGTTTAGTTCTGCCCATACCCCCATACAAACACCACACCCTCTGACGAGATGCTCTCCATCCACGCCGCAGCCAGCCTGCTTGCGCTTTTCGCCATGGCCGCCTCAGCTCGACCGATTTTCATACACGACGGACAGGAAGTTGATGTTGTAAGTGGATGTCTGCCTCATTACCCAAGAGCTCCACTTTAAGATCCACCTGCTTCTTCCCATTCGATTCCCCTGCATATTCTCAGACATGATCTGACATAGTATATTTATACAAGGTCACCATCTGGCAAGAAACCAACCGCACCGGCGACAAAATGGGTCTATGTGACTTGAACAAGTGCGTAGAGTTCCCACCTGGAAATGAATGGTAGGTAGATCAGTTGTCTACCTTGCAGACAAAACCGAATAAGTAACCCAAGCTGAACCGCCCTTCTACTTCTAGGAACAACACTATCTCGTCCATGATGGTGAATGATGGGTATTCTTGCACTGCGTGGGGGTATGATAGACAATTTATTCTCGGCGTTTGATTCATGTTACTGATATGTCCCAGGAACTCTAATTGTGTAGGTAGCCCGATGCGGTCGGACATGCGTGGTGCATTTGATGATCTGAATATGGAGGGCATGAATAATATGATTGGGAGTTTGATGTGTAGACAGGTTATGGATTGAGTAGCTTTGGAGAGCTGGAGATTGGAGATTACCTGAGGCATGGTGCTAGGTCCTGGCAAGAAAGTAAAGTTCTTAAGCTGCGATGATATGGAGTTTCCTCCTGGTGTCGTTATGTTGGGGGTATTCGAGGCCAATTTGAGAATTGGAACCCGCTTTTTAAATGGGAAGATTCCTTATTGGTGATTGATCCCAAATAGTACCTCTATATAGTAATCATTGCTAGAAGAGTCTCATGCTTATATCGTCAGATGGATCCAGGCCAAGAGTAACTCACACTATGAATTGGCGACTTGGTTGATGCTTACAAATAGACCTATAATCTTTGTTATGCCATTAAGTGTCATGAATAGAAGAATTTAGTGAATGAGACTGAAATTGGAGCCGTGAAGTAGAGACCTGCGCAAGGATGTGAAGAATCGAAGATGGGCTGGAGGCTGTTGGTTTATGTCTACTATACAAATCAGTCTAGCCTTTCTGGGTCTAGTCAGTAGCAAAGCACGCTTTACCGCTTCTGGATACCTGCGGCAAAAGCACGTGACAGCCGCTGACTGATACTCTCACCGCCCGGGCAAAATCCTGGGAGAATTGCGGCTCCGACGATTGGGCGTGCGCAAAGAGCTCCAGCTTCATTTTATCATCCGTTGTCTTTGCTCTGTTGAACTTGCTCGATCCGGTCCTGTCTTTACGGATCGTCTATTCCTGCCTCTTATTTACATTTCTTACTTTGCATGATACCCCAATAGAACACCCCACCCACACGCCACCATGCGATTGACCGTCGAACTCATCCAGAATTCCCTCTCGTACATCAACCCATTGAAGGATCGAGAGCTAGATCTCCGAGGTGCGTTTTACATAAGGGCCTGAAAAGGACAGATACTACACTTTTGAAAAAGAGCTGGATTGATATCGTTTTGTGGTTTGCGCCGTTATAGGACACAAGATACCCGCTATTGAGAACTTGGGTATTGCCAGGGTATGTTGATCTTGCATTGCGTCCTTCTTTCCCGGGAGGATCTGAAGCAGGAATGATTAACTGACGAGGTAACAGGAACAAGATGCAATCGACCTCACAGATAACAGCATTTCCTCGCTCGGAAACTTCCCCTTCTTCCCCCGCCTTCACACGCTTCTCCTCGCGCGCAACCGTATCAAGCAGATCCAGCCGACGCTAGCTTCCTCGATCCCGAATCTGAGCACGTTGGTGCTGCACTCGAATAACGTGACGGAGTTGGCCGATCTGGACCCGTTGCGCAACTTGTCCAAGTTGACGCATCTGGTGTTGTTGGAGAACCCAATTACGAGGAAAGAGGTATACATCCTATTCTTGCGCGCACACCCACAAACAAATCCCTGGATGCGAAGTCCCCGATACTATTGGCTCGACTCTCGTATACTAACATCCCACAGAACTACCGATACTGGGTGATCTGGCGACTCCCCAGCGTGCGTTTCCTCGACTACCAGAAAGTGAAAGAGGCCGAGCGCGAAAAAGCCAAGGAACTATTCGGAACCGCTGAAGAGCCCTCCGCCCTGGCATCCAAGATCATCGGAATCAAGTCGCGCACCTTCGATGTTCCCTCGGGCGGTCCTGCAGACCGGGCCCCTGCCGACAAGGCGGTGCGGGTGCAACTGACCGAGCAAGAGCGGAAGCGAGTTGAGAAGCTGATCCGCGAGGCGAGGAGCTTACAGGAGATCTCGAGGTTGGAGAAAGAGCTGAACGAGGGCCGGATACCTGGGGGTGCGTTCGATGTGGGCTACGATGAGGAGGATGCGCAGATGCAGATGTGATGAGTCGATACTTCGCTGAAGTTTGGGGAAGATGCGGAGCTGGGACCGGGTTCGCTGGTTCTGGTGAAGAGTATTAAAGAAAAGCTGTATGGGGGTTATATGGTGTTTTGGTCTGATTTTTTATTACTATATTTTATCATTCGACAATGTGCACTTCATGGATGGTTTGGCTATTTGCCGATGCTTGCTTATGTTTGGATGATTCCGATTGACTATGAGAACAAAGTGAGACGCGGACGGATTTTCATTAAATCCGGTGCCGAGTCCATGTCAACTACATCCAAGGAGGTGTACGAATGTACATACCTGTAGGTAAAGAGACAACCACACCAAGCATCAAAACACAGCCTAGCTACCCAGACGCGCTTTATAGTCCTCAAAGTCAAGCTTTAGAACGTGAGTTCATCGTAAACCCACTACATATAGGAGTAAAGATAACACCCCATCAGACGCCCAGATGGTAGAGAAGAACCGACATCAACCACTCCGTGTTCTCATCATCATCTCCCACAAAAATGCCCACTGGGAGCAATCATGGTCTGCTTCGGAAGAAACATTACTCCCCCTAGCCTAGTTACCAAGTCCTTCAGAAGTACCATCTCATCCAGGACCCACCATCACCACCCAGCAACAACATCAACAACAACAACCGCAACCACCAGCAGCAACACCTACCCAAGATGACCCTCCTCGCCAAGCAGCGCTGGCAAACCCGCATCTTCCTAGTCCTGGACATCTCAAAACCCAGCCTACGACCCTGCCACGGGCCATCTACCCGAACAAAACAACCTCCCTGTGGCGATTGTCCGGCTCGCTCGGTCAAGCCGAGACCGTCCACGCATATGCGGCGAACCAGCCCGCGCAAAACAAGGTGAATCGGGACGTCGCGCGCGCACACAACGATAACGGGATCGGTAGCTTCCCGCCCTTCGTTGCGGACTATACAGCCGGGCCACCCTTGTATACTAATCCGCGCGATCCGTCGCTGCTTCTGTGAACCCCCGGTCTATAAGTTTTTTTTGCAGCGTCAGTCCGGCTGTGGCTGGCTGGCTAGTTGGCTGGGTGCATATCTCAGTTTATAGAAGAGCAGCGAGAGAGCCGCGCCACGATCGATTCTATTCTCCTTATTGGGATTCCGGGGTTGGCAAACTACAAGGCCCACAGGTCCACAGACGTCGACTCGAGGGGTCAGGTCACATTGGAGGGTTGCTCTGTCGGTCACAGTGTAGATGATATATGATATTGTATTGCGACAGGTGAGTCGATTCGCTCGGTATCGATGATGTTATTGCATCGAGAGCAAACAGTTCCTTATCCGTATCAGACTGCATCGATCATGACACACTAGATACCACTCTACAGTGAGGCAACTTAGGCAGGCCAGTCCTGCTTCCCTGCTCTCTCTATTGTATGTAGCAATGACTAGGTCAGGAAAGGTATGCAGTACCTAAGAACGGAAGTCTTATCTCCGACTTGCGTACAAACATTTACTACAAGTAAAGTAATATCCAATCAAAACGAGGGACTGCCAGAAAATGAATATAATATAATCTCTCAATCAATTGAATAGATGAATGCTTAATTACAAGAAAAACATAAAGAAACCACCGTGTATAATGAACAAAAGACAAAAAAGACATTAACATGACATAGACAATGCATCAATCAGTGTAAACAAAACCAGAACCGAACCAGCTGTTCCATCCGAACCCGGAAAACTTGAATGAAAAATCAAGGTATAAGATGAAAAAAATGTAATAGAATGAAATAGTTTTTCCGTCCAAAATTGAACACTCTTCTTTGAAAGTCCCCCCTCTCTCTGACTTGGGTATTGTCAAAAGAATAAAAGAAATCAACAGATCTAAGACGATCCCAAAAGCTTGAGAACGGCTTCCTTCTCCTCGACAGGAAGCATGCTCAACACCTGCTTCACACCCTTCAGACCACCGTCCTTGTCGCTGATCAATAGCTGGGCAACATCCGATGCCACGCGCTCGGTCTGCAGCGCCTCGACCTTGTCCTGGATGAGGGTCTTGTTCTCCTCGAACCAGGTGGCAACGCGCTGGTCGTCGTTCTCCAGCTCGTCTTCCAGCAGACCAGTCCATGAGCGCAGCATACGGAGGTGCGCGGCGCGGGCAGACTCGGTGGTGTCGGTCAGACGACCAGTAGGAGCGGGGGTGGGGACGGCGCCGCTGCCCTCGCGGTAGTCGGGAGAGGGCACGGCGGCGACCATGCGCTTGACAATGAGCTCCTCGCTGAGACGGCGGCGCAGACGCCAGTAGAAGAAGCGACGGGCGTTCTTCCAGGTGAGAGGACGGCGGATGGTGTTCTTGGCCTGCATACGGCCGGCGCGATCGTGGAGGTCAGCGAACTGCAGGGCGATCTGCGTGTAGACGGGCAGGAGCTGCTCCTCGCGGGCGGCCATGCGAGTCTTGATCTCGGAGAGCTGCTCCTTGCTGAGGGACGTATCCTCCAGGGAGCGACGCAGCTCGCCGTAGGTGGGGTCCAGACGAGCCATGGTATCCAGCTGCTTGTCACGGCGATACTTGATGCCGACGATACCCTCGGGCTCGAGAACACCACCACGGGCATCCTCGTCGGCGTACATCTCCATCTGGTCGGGGTTGATGGTGGGGTCGATGACAACCCACGAACCACCACGGAGCTCACCGAAGGGCGGGATGTAGACGAAGACGGGCTGCTCGTACTTGACCAACGCGTCGACGATGTACGATCCGTACTTGAGGACCTCGTTGTACATGTCACGCTGTCCACCAGAGAAACCTCTCCAGTTGGCGAGGATCATCACAGGCAGCTGCTCACCGTTGTTGAAGTCACGGAGAGCCTGGGCGGTCTTGTAGGCGGAGTTGGGGTACCACACGCCACCGGCCTCGGTGCTGATCATCTCCATGGAGTCAGGGTTGGCAGGGTCGGCAGGGGTGACGTTCTCGACAGAGCGAGTCTCGACAGCAATGACACCCATAGGGATACCACCCAAGCGAGCACGACCAACAACGACGGAGCGAGCCCATCCACCGAGAGCCTCCTCGAAGGAGTTGGCGTCGAACAGACCGGGCAGGAAGCCTTCCTCGTCCTCCTTACCGTTGATGAGCCATCTGGGGTCATAGGTCTGCTTGGGAGGAGGGTAGTAGGCAACGTCCCGATCCCAGGTGTCGGACCAGGGACGGACAGGGCTGGGGCTGCCCTTGCTCTCGGGAACGAAAGCCATCCACTCGACGATCTTCTGCACACCCTCAAAGTCATCGTTGGCGGTCATGTGAGAAACACCGTTCTTGTACATGATCTGGGTGCCACCGAGCTGCAGGTTGGAGGTGTAGACCTCACGACCCAGCAGCTTGTTGATGGCAGGGGCACCAGTCAGGATGATGGGCTGGCCCTCAACCTGGATGGCACGCTGTCCCAGGCGGACCAGGTAGGCACCGATACCGACGGATCGGCAAGTGACCAAGGTAATGGTGAAGATGTCTTCGTAGGCCTTGGAGGTGGCACCGGCAATGAGACCGGATCCCTTCAGACACTCGACACCCAGTCCGTCCTTGGCACCGATGACGGTGGTGATCTTGTGGCGCTCCTCGCCCTCGTCGAAGATCTGCTCGGTGATGACCTCGTTCTTGCGGCTGGCGTCAAACTGCTGCTTGACCTCAGGGGTCAAGTACAGGTACTTGAAGCCGGCCTCGGGCTTCTCGGGGTTGTTCCAGGCAACCGAGAAGTAGGGGATGAGCTCGTCGGCCATACCGATACGGGCACCGGAGTTGGCAGAGAGGTAGATGCGAGGGATACCGAGCTTGCGGGCCAGTTCGGTACACTTGTTGAAGAATCGGTCTTCCAGAGGACCGAACGAACCGATCTGGAAGGTGATGTCGTTGGCCACGATGATGAAGCGACGGCCACGGGGGTACTCAGGAGTACGAGCGGTCACGAGCCATCCCACCATACCGTGAGTGTTGGTGCCGGGGCCTCTCTGGATCTCGACCAAGTTGTCGGTGTCATCGAGGACAAGTTCGGTGTAGTCAATGCACTCGCCCACGGGAGGACGACGCTCGGCCAGCGAGGGAACCTTGGCGATGGCGCTGGTCCAGCTGTTCTGGAAGGCCTGGCGGAAGAGCTCGGGGAAGTCGTACACGTACTGGGTACCCATGAGGTGGGCCTTGTAACGCTTGGGCTGGAGCCATTCCTTGGTGGGGTAGGGGGTGGCTACGGGGCGCAGGTGCATGGAGCCGAGCTTGTTGGTGCCGCCGATGCTCTGGAAGATATACTCGCCCTTCTCGGACTTCTTCTCAATGTACAGCTCCACCTGGATGATGAAACCGTAAGTGTTGGTGATGATCACCCGCAGAGGGTAGGGCAGTCCGGTGGCAGGGTCGGTGCACAGAATGCGGATTTCGGCACCGGTCACACGCAGGCGCCACAAACGACGGCCGAAGCGGTCCAAGAATCCGGCCAGGGCCTCCTCCACGTCCTTGGGCTGCAGGTTGAACACGGGGGAGAAGTTGATGAAGATGTGGTTCAGATCAGAGTTGTTGTTGCCAATGATCTCCAGGGCATCGAGAATGTCGTTCATCAACCGGTCGGCCTCCGAGATCAGATACTCAGCCGTGGGGATGTCGTCACGCAGGCGACCTGGACGCACGACGGCACGGACGAAGTAGCGCTTGTCGACGGCCTTGTCGTTCTCGGGGCCCTTGCCGATGGCCTCGTACACGTGGATGTTCCGGTTCTCCGTGAAGACGGGCTTGATGCGGAATTTCGACAGGCGGCTAAGTTCCAACTGGAAGGCCAGAGCGGGCTCGCTGTGACGAATGCTCTCATCCTCCTGGTAGAGGGGTCCACGGAAGGTGTAGTAGCCGGGGTAGATACCGTTCTTACCACAGATGAACGTCACGCGACGAACGCGACGGGCGAGCAGCTCCTCCTTGACATCGGCGAGAAGACCGTTGATCTGAGCGACGATCTGGTTGTCGTCCATATCCTCAACGTCA